TTGTAAAATTTTCATTTTTTTTCTTCTAATTTATGTTAAAAATTTCCAACCTTTTTATTTACCTTATTACAATTTATCTTACTTTTCTCCTCTTTTTAATTCTTTTTTTGTATTGTCATTAGTTTTGTCTTGCTCCATTGATTTGTGTTGTCTTTTTTTTCTGACTAATAAGACATTTGAATGTTTGTTGTTGTTCTTTTAGTCATTTCAGTTTGTTTATTCCTTAATTTCTTTTAATTTTATTTCTTTCACTGTTGTTACTTCTTTACTTTTGTTTTTGTTTGTGGTATTGATTCTTTGATAAGTTTGTTTGTTTGTATTTTTCTATTTTTGTTTGTTTGTTTATTTCTCTCTATTTCTCTGCTTTTTCAATCTCTTATTTTGAATAATTGCTTGACTTTCTTGTGTTGTTTGGAATGTTGTGTTGTTGTTGCTTTTTGTCTTTTTTTATTGTTTCCTTTGTTGTTTACTTGGCTATTTTTTCAGATGTTTCTTTTCTTTTTGTGTTGTTGTTGTTTTTTTCATCTTGTTAGCCTGTTAGCAGGATCAGCACATAGGAGGGCACTACAGCACTACTGCACACGTTAAGCAACGGCTTTCAAGCCTTGGGGGAAAAAAAGGATGTTTGGTTCTCTTAGAGTTTTCGATATTACGGCAGTGTGGATCCTGTAGGTGTCACATGGCAAGACATCAAACTCTGACAAGCCGATCAAAGAGATTCTGTTACCAAAAGAAACACAGTTTCAGTAGAGGGCCCCTCTGTAAAGCCAGACTGATTTGAGTCAAATAAGTCATTGATATGTTGGAAATCAGAAACATGGTTCTAAAATTTGCGCTAAAATAACTTATAAATCAGACTGTGATTTTTACCTGTATGTTGAGTATTTTTTTTAAGTAGCGAGGTGACCTGAGCTAGCTAGAAAGAAGAGTTGGTAGTATTTATGACAGCAGGGTTAAGTGTTAAAGGTGGGGGAAATGGTCTGCAGAAGGTTTGAGAGAATCAGATCCAGTGGACTGGTAGAGGGCGAAGAGTGTAGCAGAAGCCTTTAGACTCAGAGAAGATGATAAGCAGAGTAAGGTGCCAACAGCAAATATGTTTGGTGTCAGCAAATAGGAGGTTTTAGGTGTTAGTAGAGAGAGAGGATTGAGTGATACACTAAAACAGTTTATGTGCATCTCTGGCAGCACAGATCTTGCTTTGATTTGATGCATTTTAAACTGATGGAAACGCAAGTTTTTAACTGATGTTAACTTTAGTCTGTTGACATGTTCTCCCTGCTGCACTGAGTCATGCCCTTTGCTCTTTGATAACCCCAGTGAGCCACAGACTAGTAGGGTTTTGACACAAGAGGGCAGAGTTTGAGCAGAGACGAGGCTAGCAAGGAGCAAAGTGAATCTGTAGCCAGAGAGAGAACTTGTTGTGGGGAGGCATGGTAGACTCAGAGAAGATGATGAGCCGAGTAAGTTGCCAACAGCTGTGGTATGATGCCATCTGTGAAGGAGCTTGAGGATGCTGGGGTAAGGCAACAGAGAATTACATAAGGAAATTAAATCTGACATATGGAATAGGGTGACAATCAAATTTGCTGTGGAGCAATTCTGAGTGATCATCAACAAGTTTTTCAATATTGTTTCATGGTTAACATGAAATCGGCAATAATAAAACTCAATCTGTCTGTCATGCTCTGTCTCCTGAGCGATCATCCACTGTTTTGTTGCACACCCTGACATAAGCATGATCAACCACCTGCCTCCTCCTATTAGAGGTTGTTAATGCAGTGCAGTTATAAGACATCCCACAGATCTGTGTGTTACGAACATCATCCTGTTTTTTTAAATTCTTTTTTTCTCTCCACAGTCATTCTAACTCACAGACACAAACACCAGGTACAACAGACTTCAAATCACTAAACCAAAGTTTTATGTAATAATATCACCTCAGTCTGTGATCACCCATTCTGCTGTGCTGGTGTTTGCGCACACAAGAGAGAGAGAGCAGCCTTCACTATGCAGGCAAAAAGCTTGTCATCATCATTTAATGTTCAGTAAAGTCAAATGAAAGTTAAAGGAGCATTGTGTTGATTTGATATTGGAGCGCAAAAGTGGAATCTGATAATACTAGAGTCTCACAGTTAATTCAGAATATGTCCAGGCTTTCAGACTGAAAGTAAACTTCTCTTTTTGCTTATTATCTCCACCAAGGAGGTTATGTTTTCGGTAGTGTTGGTTTGTTTGTTGGTTTGTTTGTTTGTCTGTTAGCAACTTTACAGAGAAAGTAGCAGACGGATTGACCTGAAATTTTCACCAGAGGTGCGTCTCAGCCCCAGGAGGATCCCATTAAAATTTGGTGGTGATCCGGATCTTCCTCTGGATCCAGGAATTTTTTGAAGGATTCTTTATTATTGTGAGATAAGGCAAATTTTTGCGTTTAATTCTATAAAAATGGCCAGTCTTTAGTAAAAAATTACACAAAAGGATCTCAATGAGTTTTACACAGTGGTGTAAATGGGCGGCACAGTGGTGTAGTGGTTAGCACTGTCGCCTCACAGCAAGAAGGTCCTGGGCTAGAATCCTGGTCAGGACATTTCTTGTTTTAGGAACATTATGAACAGTGAACATACCAGTTTAAACACAAATAAAGTTAATAAAAGACACGTAACAGTAAAAGTTTTGGTGTGAATCACAATATAAGGGGGGACATGAGCTGCTTGGCGGAGGTCTGCGCTCTCCGAGTGCTTTTCTAGTTCTTATTGCTCTCTCTGTACCCTCTTTGTCCTCTCCTAAAACTTCACATGCACACGTTGTGGAGAATTTCCTGGACAGGCAACGGACTGTATTGTCTGCAGTGAGAAGGGAATTAGAAGAGAGGGAGAAAAGCAACACTTTGAAGAGGAAGATTAAGTGAGGAGGCTTTGAATGTCCATGTTACGGTTTGTTGGATTTTCAATTTTGTGATAATATCTCCCATGATAGCTGTGATATATCTGGTATACTTGATATAATCCACACCCCTACTCCAGACTGCTATTTCCAAATGCCAAAGGTAACAGAGGGTTAAGAGAGGCTTTCTGTATTCAGAATCCAAATAAAGAAAGATGCACTCACACCCTACCTTTTCACGTAGTACTCAGAATTTCAATAATCACAGAGCAAATGTTAACAGCATGTCCAGCTGTTTAAATAATGAAGTTGTGCTACCATACCTCGTGTGTGTGTCTCAGAACATACTTAATTACATTACACCCCCTCTCTTCCTAAGGACCTTGAGGAAATGAGGGTGTTCAGTACCAAATGTCAAAGTGTTTTCCATTCCCTGTTGCGTTAAATGTTAAGTGTTTACTCTGACAGTAAGTGTACAGGTCTGTCAATGTCTAGAAAAGCAGAGCTCTTTGAAGCGTACGCTCAGGCACTCAACTGAAACATAGAGTCAAGATAATGTTTGTGTAAAGTGAGTAATCACACTCATTAAGCTGTCAGCAATGATTTTTAAGATCAATTTGCCTCATGTTCAAGGATCAACTGTTAACAGCTGACATCCAACATATGGCAAATGTCCACTTCATCTCGTCTGATGTTGCCCTTGATGACGATGTTCAGCTAAATTGAACTATTACTAATAAACAGGCTAATGTTTTAATTTGACTAACTTCGGCCCTGTCCACACAAAGATGCGTTTATGTGTACCCACAAAGGTTTTTATTGTTTTGTCCACAAAGAAACAACGTTTTTGGAGCCTGATTATGCTAATTTTGAAACCAAATCCCAGAGTAAACAAACCTAAAAATGCCATCCTTGTGTTTCCGTGTTTACAACCCATACACATCTCTTCTGAACCAATGACACCATAGCCTCACCTCTCCTTCAACCTGCATGCACCATCTCCCTCTTACAGGCTCCATGTTTTATTCTGTTTTTGGAGAATTTCTGTGGCAGCCTTACAGGCCTGTCACATACACTAAAGCGTTTTTGGAGGTTTTGTATAGACACAAACTTTCTGAGACATTCACAGAAAACCTTTTTAGAACAAAAAAGAAATAGATTGGTTCCATCTCTATGTGGACATGACCTGAACTTCTTTAACAAGGTCCTTATTTCTTACATCGAAGGCAGTTGGCCACACTGTCCCTAATATGTAGATAATGGACATAATCTTATATTTGTAGAGATCTTAATCACTGCCCTTAAAAAGCCATAAAATTTATTATCATCAAACAGAAGATTTACATTACACATTTTTGTGCAATTTATATATTTTAAAAAAGGGATGTATCACCTCTCATATATACATACATTTATTTCCAGCTGATCTTATGTTCAGCGACATAAGATCTAAAGAGATGGATATGTGTCTTGTACCCATCACAGCCTCTCTTAAGATTTGTATTAGAGACATTTCAATGAGCAGCTGTTCTAGCACACTCTTTGTAGATTAAATGGTCCCAAAGACAGTTCTGCTTAACCAGTACAATTACTTGTGTGTACAGAGAGGTCTTATAAAGTGCTACAGGGAGACATTTGTCCTGGGGACAGACGAGCGGATGATCAGCACATGATGCCGCCCCATTTGTCAAGGTTATGAGACTTAAACGCACACATACTGAGACACACACGGGAATTGAACTTGAGTGCAAACATGTGAAGAGGCACAAATTTCAACAACAGAAAAAGTATGTGAAAATACATATAGGATGTAGGATCTGAGTACGGCCTCCAATGGAATACCACCAAGACCTGGTTGGTGACTGGTAAGCATCACCAATCAGGTGCACAGCTCACAGCTATGGCAAAGAATGTAAACATGTAATGTGCCTCAGTGCTCCAAGGATTTTCAGAATTAGGGAATAGTTGCATAATCTTGGTTAATTGATTCATGATGTCAATTTGTTCACTGAGTACTTCAAAGAAAACAATCTTATGTAAAATTCCTGGTAGCTGTCAAATAGTGTCCAACTTTACCATAGCAGTATGATAAATTTTCTGTAGTCTACACCACAATCCTGGAATTACGGCAAAGACAACGCCTCTATAATTTCCCATGCACAACATACCACAATAGGTAATCCAATACCAACAATGAGAGGGCATGGGTAGTTGTGTCTGTGGAATTGCCACTTAAAATGTTAAATGAGAAGTCTATTGTTTGTAAGTTTGTTCAAAGTATTTTGATATTAAAACTTGGTCAGAACTGGCCTTGTGTGTGGTCCCTCATGGTTTTGAATTCAGCTAAGGTTTAAAAGTCATCTAGCGTAAGGCTTTTTTTTGTGGCGGTTTGCTATCCACATGAGGACATTACTGCATAGTTTGTACTGTAGTTTGCCATTGGTGTTTCTAGTCTGTTTTTGGGGTTGCTAAAGCACCTTCAAATTGAATCAAAGCACCCCCAAGATTCAAGAGATTTATTTTAACGGTATGTCTAATTTTAAGTTACTTCTACTTCTTAATAATGACCACCAAAGAGTCACTGACAGATTTATGACCCCTAAGGCAAGACAAAGCGACACAGATTAAAGTAAAAGGAATCCTCTGCAGAGTACCCATACTTGCATACACTGTATACACAGTACCTGTCTATACACTACATCTCGTGCATTAAAAGTCAGTATAGAGGCCATCACCAGACTACTTTTAGGATCTTGTGTATGTCCAAGCTTACCAAACTTGGCACATGCATAGGGACTTGTGAAAATGTATTGACTTATGGGTCTTACATAGGACTTTTCCTTGATGGCTAATTAGTCTTTCTTAATAATTTCCAGGGGACAATCTTGGACAAGGAGGTGAGTCTAATCTGTCAAATTTGACAGAATAAAATATTTCTGTATGTGTTCAGGCCATGACCCCAATTAAACATATTAGTTTGAGTCTGATCAGAGCATGAATGGCTGAGACAAAGACTCGTCCTGTTTCATGGCAAACAGCCAAATTTGAGAGCTTGGTGTGATTTCACATGAGGAATTTTGCACAGAAGCTGATAGATTTTTCTTGGTTCGGACTTCTTCTAGCTGTTAAACCAGGTATGTTGATCTAACATACCTATCAAAGACAAATATGAGAAAAAAAAACCTGTCACATCTTACACAAAAAACAAACACATGTTTTAACCCATTGTCAGCATCTACACCAGCTGGCAGGTCGGGCTAAAATTGATAAAAGTGAAGCACATTAGGTTAGTAACTTACAGAAATTGGCTTAGATGTCAGAAATAAGCTGTCTGGTTAAGTGTCTGGTGTAATTTTCATTCAGTCCTGTTTTAATTCCTGAAATCCCCATCCTCGATTAGTTGGTCCAAATAACTCACCTATCTTTGGGGGTCTCAACTACCCCAGGACAAATTAGAGCCCTCTGTAGTGTTAAAGCACTTAGAGAGGTTGGCATGACTGCAAAGTAATATATAGGGACAAGTCCACATATCATTTACCTTTTCATGGAGCCAGTTCCAGACACAATATTTACACTCCTCTACTGTCTCACTTTCAATATGAATGTCATACGGGTGTAATGGTGGGAACAAGTTGTCCAACATCTGAGACAGTGGCAGAGGCAGTAACAGAGGTATTACATAAGATAGATGGGATCTTTGTGAGCCGATGGAAAAGGTGTAGTGTTTAAGTGCTGAGTGTAACTGCTAAGAGTTGAATAAGGGTTGGGAAACACAGGGCTACATATGTTGAAACAGATTGGCTTCAACAGATTTTTGTATGACGACTGAAAGACTGTGAATCACACATTCAACAACTGCGCCTGTTGAGGGATCACAGATAACATGATTTACCAAACCAAATAAAGCCGACTGGAAGCATCAGAATCCTGCACAAACTTTTGCAAAGGTGACCGTTTAAAGGGTGAACTAACATACCAGTTTGTGGCGGTAAGGCATCAATTTGTTGTTTGACGACCACCAATAAAACTGAGCTCTAAAGAAAAAAGCAGAAGAGCAGGAAAACAAAGAAGAAGAATAAGGAGGAGTAGAAGTAGAAAGAAGAAGAAGAAGAAGACGTAGCAAAAGAAGGAGGAGGAGAAGTAGAAAAACAAGAAGTAGAAGTAAACGAAGTAGAAGAAATAGTGGAAGAAGTAGAAGACGGAGAAGTAGAAAAAGAAGAAAAAGTAGAAGAAGAAGTAGAAGAAGGAGGAGAAGTAGAAAAAAAAGAAGTAAAAGAAGGAGGAGGAGAAGTAGAATAAGAAGGAGGAGAAGTAGAAAAAGAAGTAGAAGAAGGAGGAGAAGTAGAAAAAGAAGAAGTAGAAGAAAAAGTAGAAGAAGGAGGAGGAGGAGAAGTAGAAAAAGAAGAAGAGGAGCAGGAGAAGTAGAAAAAGAAGTAGAAGAAGGAGGAGAAGTAAAAAAAGGAGTAGAAGAAGTAGAAGAAGGAGGAGAAGAAGAATAGATAGAAGAAGAAGGAGGAGGAGGAGGAGGAGAAGAAGTAGAAGAAGAGGGAGGAGGAGAAGTAGAAAAAGAAGTAGAAGAAAAAGTAGAAGAAGAAGGAGGAGAAGTAGAAAAGAAGTAGAAGAAGTAGAAAAAGAAGAAGTAGAAGAAAAAGTAGAAGAACAAGGAGGAGGAGGCTTCCTGCTGTCTATGCTGTCTGTGCTGCTATCTACTTGAAAAAAAAATACATTAGGAAGAATGTCATTATTTTAATATTCCTGCTACTTCCTGTCATCTTCTGATGCCATTTTCTGTGTCCTTCACTCTCTTTTTCCTTGACTGTTAGCAACACGTGTCCGCAGTTGGATCCCTTTACACTACTAACTCACACATCTCTGATTAACATGACCTAGGTCAGGTTGGCGCTGTTCCCCTCACACACCTGTAGATTTGTGTCTTCACCCCTTACACATGAACAGATTTTTGTGCCAAATAGCCATGCAGACTGTCCCCAACCAGTGCAGACTGGTTCACACTTTGCCCAACCGGGAAATCATGGGTCAATTCTGGCAAAGTATCCTGCAGTGTGTCCTCAGCCTTAGTAATATAGTGAATTCAGCTCGTTCATTTGCTTTTAAATTTGCTAATGTCAACTATGGGGTCAGCTACTGAAATACAGAAGGTGGAGAAGCTATGCAAGCATAATCCAATAAAATTCAGAAAAAAGAAACTGCCTTTGATGTTACCCCTTTTTTTGAAATATCAAAAAGAAGCACCGCCAAACTTAAGTGGTCCTGCAGCTTAACAATGGACACTGTGATTCTGACCAGGGCGATAGTTAACTGTTGCTATCATAGTGTGAATTTGAGAGGCTATCCGGAGTCGTTTAGCCATCACGAGGACAAGCACTGCAAGTCAAGCAGAAAAAAGCCCTAAAGCAAGAGACTAGTGTGTGTGTGTGTGTGTGTGTGTGTGTGTGTGTGCGTGCGTGTTGTGTGGCCCACTGACACGGCAGCATTGCTCTCTTTATCTTACTAGAATTCTGTGAGTGAGCAAGCTATTAAGAAGGCTGTGATTTGACAAACATTAATCTCAGACAACACTGCACCAGTTATTGACACAGTTTCAGATTCAGTTAGAACATCTAGTCTGTCCTAGTATCTTGACTCTTGTTCACTGATTTTTACGCAGACTTCTCTTCTTACCATTTTCTCTTTTCTAAAAAAAAAGGGACGTGATCTATTGAGCAGCTAAAATCCTTTGCTCTGTATCTGAAAAGTTCCAAGATAAGTACATTGGTTATTGATTATTAGTCAACTGATTGCAGTATTTCCATGGATATTATTGGGGGAGGAAAAAGAATAGGATAAATATTTGAATAAAAAAAGAAAAGAAAGTCACTATTATCTTCAATATACTGTCATTGGTAATGACAAAAATGTGTTTTTATTCAGAAAAGATCATGGTGATATAAGCCTCGAGTGGACCGATGCCAATTATGCTAAAACACCGTTAATCAGCCCCATAAACCAGCTGACTGATTAATCCGTCCGTCTCTGATGCTGACATGTTGTCTTCAAACTATTTTCAATTAAATATAGACTTAAAATGATATTTAAACCCTGGAATTCTATTTAATCAACAATTTGCACAAAATCTTCCTCCTTGCAGAGCCAAAACAGGGTTGAAAAATGGTCTTTGTGTCTGGTGGGGCTGGCAAAATAAAACTGCGTGGTAATAAGGAGATGGGGACAACACTATGGTTTACTCTGTGCAGCATATCAGCTGCAGCTACTTCATTTAAGTGTCTCCAAAACATTGAGCGCACCTGGGCTGGCATATTAAGTACAATTACCAACATTTTTTTTTATCTGTACAAGAATGTGTGAGCCATTTTCTTTATTTTCTGAGATTGTACAACAAGGTGCAACTTGCTTTCATTGTTTCCTGCAGCGTCTCTGCTCTGAATCAATACAGACACAGGATAGATACCAGACTGTCTGTCTTAGACCCACTCATGCATGCTTCAAGCCTGTGATAAAGGGAGGCTGGTGTGTATGTTCCACGTTTGATAGATAATAGCTATATGATTAGATGTAATAGCTACATAATTTCTCCTTCAGAAATTACCGTAAAACACTGATGACAGCAGCTCGACACCTGGACAGCAAGCAATCTAAGGTTCTTCCAATACACCACACAGACTTTGATGAGGAAATGACACTGATCTGATACAGTATTTTGCACGATGTTGATTCTTTATTCCTCTGAGTCACTGGTCTGAGACACATCACTCAAACAATGATTACACACTATGAAAGGACAGTAATCACAAAAGGTAAAAGTCTAAAAACACCAGCTGAGCAGGAATGCAAAGGCATCACACACAGTCAAAGTCATGGCTAAACAAAAAGGTAGTATTAATGTCTTTTTGGGTGGGGGTGGGGGGTTCCTATCCCTAATGAGCTGGTGTAAAATAAGCGATTAGGATAGATTCTTGGATAGAAAAGCATCATATTTGACAGAGGAAAAGGGGAACTGAATAGGCAGGGAAAAAAATCGCATAAAAAAGTGATAATGGCAGAAAAAAACGAAAGGAATGAGATTATCTTTGGCCTTTCCCACTTTAATCCATACATCACAATACGTGAATATAAGAGGGCCAGGAGAGAATAAATCTGTAGTATGACAGAGTCGATAGGCACACTTAGCGGACAAATGAACATGAGGGAACAGATGCCGTTACACTGTGGACCTTGGTAATCTGTCTCTCTTAAAATGGATAAGTATGCTTAGATGAACCCTTGGGCACTCAGTAGGACAGATTTGCATGAGCACAGTTACAACGTTAGTGTCATTAGGAGAAATGTAGCTGTTCTACTATTGTGGCAGCTCTCCCATCTAGCAATCTTATGAAATCCACGTCCACATAATATCCAGTCAAATTGCAGATAAAGAACTAGGGTTCCACAACAACAAATATCCCGATTAACAGGCCAACAATGATCAAACCTTACTATAAATCCACACGTGTCCACGGTTTGACTGTGAGGTGTTCTGACTGTGACGCTCTGTGCTCTTTTATTTTTTATGTTCATTTTTAAAAGCACTGTGATGAAAAGGATAGTCAATTTTTACATCACCACTCTCAAACCAAGAGGTGTATTAGATGTCCTGAGGATGGGCAGAAGATGAATAAGGAAAGCAGCATAAGGCTCGTATCGCACGTAGCAGTTAATCTGTCATCCCCCCTCTCCTCTTTTTTGCTTTGAGCAACGAGGAACTGATGTTCAGAAGATTGGAAAATCTATGCAGAGGATCTGGGGAGATATTTCAAGCGAATAATTAAAAAGCTAAATTTGTGTGTGTGTTAAGTGTGTGTGCGTGAGTGTGTGTGTTTGTGATGCCTGTGTACACCTCTTTTCAGACATGCACTGTGAGTAATTTGTAGAAAATTTCTGAAGCCCTAAACCTAAAATGTACCTGACTCAAATGTTTAATCATATTCCACCTCACAGGGGGAAGCCTTTTCTGTAAGGTGTGGGGGTGGGGTGGGTGTGGGGATCTCAGCAGGCTGATCATAATGTCTGCTGCAGTCGTCACGTTGCTTAACAATGTTTTCCAAGATTAAAAACCACCAATCCATTCAGTTTTCTCTGTCAAATGCTTTAGTTGACTTTGTATCATAAAGTCTTGGCATATGTGTCCATGTGTAAATTCACTGCTGTGTTATTGTGTTATTGTTGGCAGGCAGAGACAGAGTTGAGCACTTGTACATGTTTTTATCTCATCAAGACTCATTTATGCTCCTCTTATATGTACGAAATAGATTTGTAACCATCACAGCCCTTGTTCTTCCATGTGTGCTTTAAGAAAGCATACCGTGATTGCAGTCTTCAGTGTTTTACTGAAACCTGGTTGAATCAAAACAACTCAGACTCCACTGTGGATCTACCTGGCTGCACTCTCATAAGGTCAGACAGGTCAGAGATGCTAAAGCTAGCGGCAAGAAGAAATAAGAATAAGAATAAGAAGGGATGGGGAGGAGGTCTGGCTTTATTTGTTAACCAGAGATGGTGTAACCCTTCACACATAACTGTCAAGGAGAAGTGGTGTTGTTTAGATATTCAACGGTTGGCAGTTGCCCTTGCCCATATTATGTTATTATGAACTCCAAGGGAGTTCAGTCATATCATAACAATATTTGTTTACATCCCACCCAAGTCGATGGCTGGAATTCCTCACGCTGTTTTGCATGATACTGTTGCTAGGATACAGACTACACACCCTGAGGCACTAATAATAATATTAGGAGACTTGAACCATGTCACCCATGTCAGGATGTGGTAGAGAGATGCACACTGAAGAAGGTGAAGGCTACTCTAACAAACATGGATCATCCACCTAACAAAAACCTTGATGGACCAAAGGGCCAATGGTGGGGGACGGCTCCTCTCACTTTGACTTAGACTTAGAAGATCTTTTGTACCCTCAGCCATCAGACTTTACAATTCTTCTTTAAATAGTAGATGGCGTAAGACATGAGACACCGGACAAACAATTATTCAACTCTTATTGTTATATCAACTCTGTATTGTATTGTATTGTATGTTGTGTATCGTACTTGACAGAGTCTATCGTATGAATTCCTGGCTTCACTACCCAACACTGCCACATGAGTTTTAATAGTGCTGAAATGTTTGGTACACAAGCTTGCAGAAAATGCTCTGAAATATTGAGGAAATGAAGGAACAACACGTATGAATGGCTAATATCAGCATGTGTACCGAACACAGAGCATAAATGAGTACCTGTTGCTCTTTCAGGTTACCACCGGTGTTCTACTTAGTAGTGCTTCCTACCAAGATACTAAGCAGCTCTGCACATGTGTCAGGCCAGAATTCTAGGTTTAGGTCATCAGTGTGAACATAGGCGTTTTTGGGGTTGCTCAAGCACCCACAAACTGAAACTTAGAAAATCAGAGTACTTATCTTCAGTATTGCTGGCTAAAGGAAACTGTCCCCTGGCACAAAGTTCACTTTCCATCATTAATTATTGAAGTAATCCAATAATTGGTTTTGAATTGGTCTCATGGGATCCTAACTCCTTGGTATTCACAACAGATCATTATGTATTTCTGACTTTCAGCTTTAAAGGGCAAAGACAAAAATATACAGCCCTTTTAGAGATTTAGACAACAGTTTACCCATTTTCTGACCACTGATTCAAATTTATATTTATTTTTACACTATACACTTTTGGCTATCAACTGCAACTGTTTGAGAAACTTTAAAGATGTCTCTAGTGTGACCCTCAGAGACAGACATCTAAGGACAGCTGTTCCTTCTCTTTCTTCCCTGCCCCCTCTTCCTCACTTCCTGTCTTCTTCACTTATAGTGAGCCATTTGACCTCGCTCTTTTCAAACTCACCATATTTCCCCCCATCTGTTGTGTGTCCTCAAAAAGCTCTCTCACTCTCCTCTCCTTCTACACATATTTGTTCGTTTTATTAATGGAAAGCGTTAAGTGTGTGTGTGAGTGAATGAGTGAATGAGAGAGAGAGAGAGAGAGAGGGAGAGAGAGAGAGAGAGATATCAGGAGTTTCCTCTTAGCTCCAATTACTCTGACACAACCCTTTCTAAATTAGTCACCTGACACTAAACACCGCTACAGCCATCAGGGTATTTCTCACTTCAAGCTCGCAACAAGTTGAAACCTGATGTGAAACTAAATTAAGTAAATAAACACCCTAAAAACTTGATCATTGGACCTAAATGATCCAGCTCACGTCTGAAAAAGCACTGGTTAGGGATGCAAATGAGAAATGGAGATGGAATAAAGGGCCAGCATGATATTTCCAGGGTTTTTCTTTTTTCATTTCTACTGAGCCAGTGAAAAATTCCCTGGAAGAAAAAACATCTTTTAGAAAAACGAGATTAATCAGGTCACAAAGGATGATTACTGGACTTTCGAGGTCACAGAGATCTTAATCTTTGTCCTCTGGTCAAATAAACCTGAATACTACGCCCCTGTATTCATCCGACTGTAACTTCTTTGAAAGTGTGTGGTTGAGTTAGAGTCTGTTCTTTCTCTCAAACTTCACGCTGGTCATAGTTTCTGTCCTTTGATCACCAAAATCCCATCATTTCTTTCTTTAAGTATTGAAATGACAAATTACAATATTGATAGGGACTTGTCCAGAGTGTCCCCTGCCTTCGCCCCAAGATGCTGGGATAGGCTTCAGCTCCCCTACAACCCCCAACGGGAAAAGCGGTAAAACATGGATGCATGTAATATTGATAGGCTCACAAACCAAATCCTTGCCACCTGCCATGTTTGTCACAGAAACTTCTGGCATTAAAAAATGTTGAAATAAACCACCTCAGCCTTTTGTGAATGGACCTACAGTAAAGGCAACTATGTTCTCCTCCTGGTTGTTTTGATTTCTTCATGCACATTTGAAATACAGATATTAAACTGAATCATATCAGTAAATTATCTATGTAATACTATTAATATCCTTGCACTAATCGTGTTTTAATTTTAGAGACAATAGGTTATATTCCTATGAAAACACATCAGTGATACTATTGTTCATTGTTTGGTTAATTGTTTGAGCTGTTCAGTTATGCCAAATCAAAAGGGGTAAAAGGTTTTTGCAAAAATGAGTACAGTAAATGAGTTAGGTGTACTTTCTACTGTTCATGTTTTGTTTTATTTGGAGGTTGTTTGTGAGGCCAACTTTGAGAATAGTTACAACTGGTTATCTGATCCGACGGTGACTAAAATAACCCAGTGGCATACACTGTTGCTTTCACACAGTTTTGTTTTACATTTTAGCAGCTTGACAAACAAAGTTGATTATATATGCCATATAAACCAGATGGGCGAGGTTAACTTCTTTAGTATAGGATGAGTTTTTAATACTGTGAAGATGGTAGTAAGCTGCATGGAGTGTTTCATTCTACTTATCCTTCCACTAGTGTTCTAGTCCCACTGTGACCCTTAAATAACTCAATGGCATGCACTGTTGAATTCAGTCAGTATCTGTTTTACATTAAAACTGTTAGAGAAATGGGAAAATATGAGATTAATTGTATATGCCAAACCAACAAGATGGCCAAGAGTAAATTATTAATTTTAAAATAAAATTTTATGATGTAGGAAATATTCTAGATGATAGTGGGCTGTACAGAAATGTACACTATCAACTTTTGTCAATCTAATAAACAGCAGTTTTACAAACTGTTTGTATTTTTGAGTGTTGAAGGGTATCAGACATAACTGTAAGCACACGTGTATTCTTTATTTCTAACACCCCTCTGGGTTTTTTTCTCTCTCCTGAGAATCCCCCAGAATTTATCATTAAAAAAAACCTTATGCACAGAAATGGATTATATTGTTGAAAAAATGTTTGTTTAATCAACTGAGGGGTAAAGTGTCAGACACCGTTTCCAACTTGCAACTGGTTGGGCAGCCTACAGCCTGCACTGCAACGCCCAGAGAGCCCACCTCCTGTAGGCTTCATTTATAATGAACATACCCTGTGCACTAATGTGGACCATGACTAAATAAAAGGTACATCTGCTAAATAACAGGAAACCACTGCCTCACCACAATGCCAATACTGCCAGGAGATTATGGGTGCTGCAGGTTGTAAACAAACTGGACTATGAAAGTTTCCTGTGAGTTCTCAGGGATTTGTGATGCGTAGGACTGTGCCTCGTTGTCGGACTACACATGGTGCACAGTGAAGATGGTAGAAAAAAGTCAGAATCTCAAAACTAATTATTTGAGCACAGATAATTTCACATTGGATCAAGAGAGTGACAATCTAACTACACCAGATTCAGCCTGTATGGATACTATTCTGATCATAATTTCTACATTTTTGAGAAAATTGGTTTTTACATGAAAGTCTCACTGGATTTGGTTTGCTTTTATACGGAAACCCAATTAATAAAAAATATGTGACACTTTTATTTTTGAGTAGATTAGCCCGGCTTGTCAAAATTAAACTCACCTCTTCCAAATAAACCTGCTTCAAATGTTTGTCTAATAGTCTAAAAACGGGGGGGGGGGAGCCCATCACAGGTGCTCGCAGTAATCAGCGACAAGAATACAAGTCTTAATCATGTATACATGGATATGCCTGAACAGGTATCTCTGTGTGCATGTGAACACTGTATCCAGAATTTGATCAAAACCGAGACAAGGCTAATTACTGAGGTACTTAAGTCCAAGAGATCAGGTTGTCATAGCACTTTGCTTACCCAGTTAAGAGTTCAAATCCACACAAACAACCTACTCCCCATACAAAATATCATATATACTATACAACCCTTCCTAATGTATCCATCTGTCGTCAAAGAATGTAAACTTGTTGGGGTGTTAGCATTATAATAGCAAGGGTAGTCACTATAAGAACTGATAAATTTGGCAGTTTGAGTGGTGTCGAGAAATTGTAGCTTGTTATGTGCAACAGTGATTGCTTACAAGGTTGAGTGAACCTACATGCTGCAGTATCACTGTGTTGTCTCTGTTCATGTAATTTCAGATGAGCTCACAGGGGACTTGCTGTCTGGGAAACAAAGAGAGCAGGAAGCAGGACAGAAGGAAATTGAGGTAGAGTGGAGGATGGATGAGGTTGTGATGTCTAGTGCTAATGGACTTGGGTCGGATGATGAGGATAATATCTGCTTAGTGTTGCGTGCATGTATGTGCATGAGGGCTGTTATATTTACATATGAAATACAAAGTTTGATGAGGTTTTAGTCGCTGAGCTAAAATATAATTTCAACATATTACAATCCATTTCAAGTATCCAGCATTAACCATCTGGAGTCACCATTGGGTTTTGTGTCATTACATCTTACATATATCTGTGTCTATGACTATGACATCTATGTCTATGTCCATAACACCCTTTAATGTATAGAAAATCCTTTTGACAACTTATGATCCTCAAAGTGTTTACAATACACCGGGTTAATGTGGAGTTTATTAAATAAACAAAACAAAACAACTTTGTTCAAATATGCACCCCATTAATTTTAAAACAACATGGAAAAATGAGACATTAAATCATAATGGCAAACCCCCCGTTGGAATTTCACCATAATGGTTAGAGACTTTTTGTGGTCCTTAGCATATTACATATGCAAGGAAATGTTCATGCATCAAACTCACTGTAGAGGCTGATTTTCTGGAAATATGAAGGGATTTTACAAAGTATTTTTTTTTCACAAAACCAAAACTATATCAAATTTTCTGCCAGGTCTGATGCATGTATGAATTTTGGAAAGTTTTGGGAAGTTTGAAAGCCACCAATTCTAGTAGTCATGGCAAATTTAAAGATGAAAATAATAATTACAGTCACTAAGGTTTCAATCGGGCTCTTGTACCACATTTTGGAGCGGGGGCCATATTGAAACCTTAGTGATTGTAATTAAAAGATCCAAATCTTGTACTTGACTCTTTATATCATAGGGAACTACAAGTCTCAGGCTGGATAAAATCAATGACTAAACACGCCTCTGCCCTGAATAAAGTGCTGTCCCCAGCTGCATAAATTTAAGAGCACAGCCTCACTTTGAACATCAGTCAAGGAGGGGAGGGCAGAATAGGGGGGGATACAGCCTAGTGAGTTGAAGGGTTTCTGCATTAATCATGCGCAGTTTGCCAGAGAACAACTCCAGAGGACCAAATGAAAGGTGAATGCCTTGCTTAGACAGCTAAAAGGTACTTAAAGAGGAAGTTAAAATATTTAATTATTTCAAAACAGAAATTCTGAGCAAGTGTAATCTTTTCATATTCGTTGTTTAAGTGACAGTGGCCTGAACTGCACCCAGGAGTGGTACTAGACCCTCTTAAAAATATTATATATCTTTATTCCATCAATAAAACAAATTGTCTCCTATCAGGCCAAGGAAGCATGTGTATAAAATGAGGAAAAAAAAACACTGAGGGTACTGTCACATTTGTATTAAAAACCAGGAAAAAAAAAGGTCGCCAATCACTTTCAAGGTTTTCAGCACCACCTCAGATGCACTGACTTAGAATAAATTAAGCGCTTCAGCTTTTGCCCAGGAAAACATAAAACAGACAACAGTCCACATAACAACAAAGTCAACAGTCTACAAGTCTACACCACATGGCAATATGCAGTGAGGATCAAGTAGACAACAGATTATTTGCCTCTTAATCTGACTCTTAATTTGAACTCTAACCAAAACTTAATCATGACTAAATTTACCAACTGTCCCTGCTCGGACAGCTGTACTTTAGTGTACTGTGCATTTTCCATAATCATTCCAAACTATGCACATTTCCTTGCCAATTTTAAAATACTATTCTCTTCACCTTCATGGTGGCAAATCTGCCAACTTCCTTGTCTTTGAAATAGTTCATGCCTGTGTGTCTATGAGGACAATCCGGCCTCATACTTACCAAACACAAATAGTTCTTAATGAGCATTTAGCAGACTGCTAAAACTTTGTTCAGTGTAGGCACTGCTGTTTGGATGTTGTGAGTCACAACTGTAACAGAATTAAATTCGTATTATTGTTTCTATTGCAGGTAGGATTGTTATTCATTTTATAATATAATTGTTTTTTTTATTATCTTGCAAGTACAAAGTACAAAGTGTTGACAAGCCTTCTCCTGTATTATTTAGTCAAATAATGATTTTGAGTTTATTGTTTTCTTAATTGCTAAATAACATTTAGCCAATAAAAAAAAGAAAAGAATGACCTTAAATCCCTTAAAATATGATTATGTTAATATCATTCTAATATTAAACTCTAAAATCTGACAACACTGCAGAATTTCCCTGGCAGCAGGCTGTGTAAAAGGAGTATTTACAAAGTTAAAGACCCACCCTGATGAAAATCGTGTTTTTCTTGTTGTCTACATGTTCATATGGCATTTTTCTGATGCTACAGGACATATGAGAAAAATAATTGTGCGATTGCATTTCTGAGTATTTCTGCATTCAAATTGCGGCAAACCTCTAGCAGATCCAAACAGCAGATTCAGATACAGTGAGATTTCTTACGTCACAACTTCAAGCTCCTCTCCCGACGCCCCATTATGCAGGCCAGACTCTGAGAAATAGAGAGGACGATTGTGGAACAAGCGTCTGTCTTAGCGGATTTCAATGTTCGTAAGAAAGCTAATTATGATATTAACTTTAATCATGTCCCTAAAGATATTGATGTCCGAGAGCTAAATAGCATGAGTGTGCAGAGCAGCGCTACTGGATCAGCTACTGGAGCTCTGCAGAAGAGAAGCCTTTGAAAATGACACAGGTAACATGATTGTGGCCAAAAAATACATAACCACGATTTAAAGACCATGATAACACTTTAAGTTGTAAAAAAAACAAGGTTTAAGAGGGACCTTAATGAATATTAAAGCTGGATTTTGAATGCTCTGTAAACACTAAATAATGGTAAAAAAAACAAAAACAAAAACAAAAAATAATAATAATTCAGCATGTCATTTATTGTGAAACACAGATCGACTGGTGGTCAAGAAAACTAGAGAGATTGCCAGATAGACGGAGAGGTGTGTGGTGCTGCTGATTAATCGTCGCAGCATGCCTGCAGAAAAATGTCTCGGTATTTATTTCACAGTGACTTCATGCTGATTTTCTAAATGTGGATTTATCCACAGAGTTCTGGACCTTGGCGATATCAAAGCCGACAACAGGCTACAGAGAAACAAAGCGAGACACTGCATCACGTATTGTATGCTGTAGTTTGCCATGTTAGCTTGATGCCAACATCATATGGTACTTTCAAATAATGTCCAGCCTGCTCAGTTGTTCCCAAGTTCCCACATCTGACCCTGTTGACAATGTCATGAAGTAGCCCTGGAGAAAAAATAATGTAAAAGTCTGTATGACTTGGCTACGTCAAAGATTTTTTTCCAAACTCATTTGAAAATGTGGATTTATATTACCATCATTATTATTTTATTATGATTTTTTTATTATGATTGATATCCTCTTTTATACTTACTAGACTGTTTCCTGCTTTCTGCCCTCCTTTTCTATTTCATTTTATGTTTTTATTTTGGTCCTTATGGTCCCACTTATGTTGTAGTGTTCTTGTATTGCCTGGGTTTTTATGAAAAATGAAATTGGCCTACAATTCAGAGGCCTTGTTTTTAACTGAGCTTTTGTTTTTATTTGTTTTTATTTTCATGTGCTGATGTTCTGTGCTTGCAACTGTTGTCAAAGCACTTTGTAAACTTCTGTTTTTAAAGGTGCTATATAAATAAAGTTGTTATTATTATTATTACCCTAGAGTTTCAGGCTTTATTCTGAGGCACTCCATGCTGATCCCTCATTTTCCTTTTGATCGTTTGTACATTGGTGTATGTGTTGCTGTTATTTAAGCATCAGTTTCTGGGAATTTCTGTTGTGTTGCCAGATGTGTCAACAACCCTGTTGTTAACTGCTGTAGGCTGTATTTCAGCCAATCGTCCGTTCCAACAGGAGATAAAAGGTAGCCATGAAGAAAGACAAAAAAGATCAGAGAAATTGTAAATTGTAATGAGGTACTAAGTAGGTTGCCAATCCTAGTCTGTCATCTGTGATCTTTTTGTTTATTATTATTTCTTCTACCTTTGCCTGAGGCATGACTGATGTGCTTCTAAGCAAAAACATTATAGTCTCATGATAGTTTTAAGTTATTGACCATCCCCTTGTAGTAATTACAGAAAAGAGTTATACATTTGATTCTTTTCTGTTATGTTTCTCCAGTTCAGCCAATTTCAATATACATTTTTTGTGCAAAATATACCCACCCCAACAGACACACACACACAGACACACATACGCACACAAGGAGTCAATGAGTAAGGAATACAACAAGAGTGACAGATAGAGTGATACTGTGGAGTAAAACAGAGTGGAGGAGACAGCAGATGGTGGGGATTATTCTGTACTAAAATACTCTGGGATCTACAGAGGGATGGCCACAGACATAAACCTTACAGACTCCATCTGCCCAAAATACACAAAAACAGCCCACAGTGGCCATAATGATCAAATGTTGGTACAATCGGTTATAACTGTCATTTAACAATGATTACACTGTCAAATTTGAGGAAAGCAGTAACATGTTGGTGTTTTATTGTGCTGTTTTAAAATAATAATAAATCAGCTGTTCAGACATCCTTTCAGAAGAACTAAAACTGTCATATGAAATGGTACACACACTTATTTCTCTGAGCTAGCATTTCAATTTCACATGGGATTAAGGATATTACGCTGTTTCCTTTTTTATTTTTTTGTGGCAATTGCATGTGAGCTGTATATTTTTGATGCAGCACTTTTGCTTGAGTCCTCTTGTGACTGATGGCACAAGAAATCCCTGATCAATATTTGATGTGTACTATGTTTAGAATAACTAGCTGTATATACACAACAGTGAGAAAGCAGCAATGAACCAGTCCTCATATCTACCCAATTATTTCTCTATAGCCATACACACACCAATGCACACATACACAACACAACTTAACACAGTACACACAACTTCAGATTAGATTTTTGCCACCCGGGGATAGTTTTCATCTGCAGCTATGGAAGGGGAATAGAGGAAAATGTAGAAAAGGAGCAGAGAGTAGCTGCATTAAAACATTAAACCCTCAATAAAAATAAAAACTTAATTAACCTTTATTTTGAAAGAAACACTGCTCAGATACATTGTGCACTGCCAAAGCAATTTAAACAATAGGCAGAGAGAAACCACACCGTGCCCGGTTCCTGCTCGCTGTTTCCTCAATACCCCTCTGTAATTAGTGATTAAGCGGTGCCATTCAAATGGTACTCGCTGTTTCAGCAACAGCAAGTTATTGTTTGGACATTCTAGTCATGGCAAAGCATCCCAGTGACACACATACTGGCACATACTGTTTCGGTAGATGTGTGTAGGTTAGAAAGAGAGAGAGAGAGAGAAAATGAGAAAAAGAGAGAGAAAAGACAGGATAGGGATGTGTATGTGTGTGTGTGTGAGTGTGTGTCTGTGTGGGTCAATGGGTGCATTTGTATTATTGACAAATTATCTACCCCAACAGGAGACAGTTAATTAAATCCTTCCCTGACAGAGAACATCAAGTCATAGCTGTCAATGGATGCATATCCTTCAAAAAAAGGTCAACAATTGTGGCGAGTGAGACATACATGTCACAGATTATTATGAGAAAATTTCAAAAGGATGGCAGAAATTTTCTTTTTGTCTGTATTTAGAATAAAACACATCTTTACTGTTACTAGTTTTAAACAATGAAATGCAGTTTAGTTGCTCTTCAGCAGTGTGTACCGGGTTTCCTCTAGGATTTCTGTAAACTGTAGTGTGTAAAAAGCTGAAGTCCACCAACTAATAATGTTAGTAGTTTAAAGAGCTTATAATGCCTGAAGAGTCACCTAATTTGGTACGTGAGTCCAGTGGAGAAGTAAGATGCTTGAAAAGATGCTTGGGTGTGGCCTAATAGCTCACTAAGCCATGCTCATCTTTAAAACCACCATCAGCCCCCGAAATCACATCTGACCTAGAAAGTTGTGCTTTGTCAGGATTTGATCACATGCCAAGAGCTACTAAAGTGTCTCAGAGCCATATCTTAAATCTAACTGTAAGCCTGCTATATCAACATTTCTATCAACTTTTCTGGTCAAAAAAGGCTAGTGTAGTTAATATAGTTATATACAAGTTGAAGTACCAGAAAAGTGACAGTCATTGGTCTTCCCTCAAATAAAAAGGCACTGCCGTTGCAGATTATTTCCAGCTATTTTCTGAGGTCATTTCCTTTGTGGGGTAAATCCAATCAGCTCTATTTATTTATTAACTACTCTTGTGCAGCAAAAAGGCAAAAACGCTCTTGAGTCTGTGTGTAAACAAGCTCAGTGAATGTGGTCATGGCAATTCATCAAACTGATGTCCTGGAATTTGACAAAATACCAGGATTGCTAAATTGCTCTGACCACCAATTACTTTATTAGGGCTGCACGATATTGGAAAAAACTAACATTGCAACTTTTTGTGAATGTTCATAGAATGGCTTCTCTCTGTCTTAGAGATATTTTTAGTTTGCTTTTATTGTGCTGGGACGTTATTGTGGCAACAGATGAACACAGAACACTTGTTTTGGTCGACATCATTGTAACCGAAATAATTCCAGGTAACTGACTTTCCCTTTCTTTTTGGCAACAAGTCTTCATTTTCTGTGTTTTTCTCTTGTTCGTTGCTCATTTTGCAATCTTGTTGTTGTTACCAGTGTTGTGCCGAGAAACACATGTCCGCCGTTGCATCCACCTCGCAGAAACGCGCTTAAGGTAAAGTGGTCCACGGAAATGTACAATTTAAAACCCATACAGTTCTTATTTAAGGGGCTAAACGGTGATGAGTAATGTTCCAAAAAGTAATGCATTTCTCGGCACAACACCGGCAGCGCCAGCAACTCACTCCATGTGCAGGGGCGTGGTTTCCTCCGCTCTAATTTTGATTGACGGCTGGCAGGGCAGTCTGATAGGCAACTGAGTGAAGAACGAATGTGATTGGTGGACCACGTACATCATGATGACAATGCTCAAACGATATATCGTGCAGCCCTATACTTTATGGATAACATAACAATCCCTTTAACAAAAATTCATATGCCATTGATGCATTTTTGCCACCAGACCAAAAGAGGTAAGAGGCCTTCCTTGGCAAGTTTCAAACTTCCAGGGTAATACTTTTTGCAGGATACTTGCAATCCTACGTCATAGTACAAGCCATGAACATAGAATATTTGAGAAACAAATGCTGTCCAGGTAGTCTCTCTCTCTCTCTCTCTCCGTCTGCATACATATCTTGTCTCAAATAGCGGCTGATAATTGCTCTGCACGGGATCAAAGAAGGAGACATCTGCTGTAACTCAACCTTTTAATGACTTGACTGAGGTGGGACATGCCAAGTTAAATTTAGACCTTCTTGAAGCATTGTTAATGTGCAGCCTATTGCTGCTACTTTTGGTAGTTTTATGCCATAAGGAATGACTTTTTTCCACACACAGCTCACCTGTTGTAAGAACAAAATTGTGATTGTGTGTGTTACCTTCTTGTGTGATACTGAATTTCTCAGTACAATGTGCTCTACACAGCTTCCCCGTTTTCTCAAAGTTAATAAAATAAGAGCAAATATAAAATGGAATAAAATCACTTCTTTTGCTTGATATGATCCTGCAGTTGTACAAAGCCGAACACAAAGCTAGAACTCTTATGTAAAAATGACACTTCATGCAGCCCACACACAAGCCTGAAGATCACCAGGTAGTCAGGAGTAATACTGGAAATTCCCAAACAGACACTCTTGGGATACAGAGCATCCCTTTTAACAACACAACTCACATTTCTAAAAACCACAGCCTTGGCATATTTTCACACATGATTTAATCACTCATAGTGTTCACAACTGATGCTTTTCCCCTTAGAGACTTAATCAAGTTGTTGATTTCTATAAGGCTTAATTTGTTTTTGTCTTTGAATGTTGGAATGAATTCCTCTGAATGAGGTTGTGTGCACACACTTATATGTATGTGTATTTAACAGAACAGCACTCGTACTGTCCTTGACGAGGCTGCACACCACACAAAACGCAAGCAACAAAAACCCACTTCTTCAAACAGATTACTTTATTAATGCCAGCCCTCCTCCTCTTTGAAATCAATACCACAGGTCATCTTGATGTAGTCTGCGCTGCAGAGGGTGCTGAAACATGTTTCTCTTTAGAAAGAAAGATTTGTTTGTGCTATGTTCCAGCTCTTTAGTCTCCTGGGCCTTAACCTACATTACTGCACAAAGACCATTAATTATTAATGTTGAGACCTTTTAATATTGCTCAAGTTAAATTTATTTTTGTAAATAAAACAAACAAAGAGTTCTGTTGGAAAACACCAGATATTCATTTAAGGCTTCTGGTTATCAGTTTAGTTTATCTTAGCTAAGCTGATAATAGCTATAAATATTATATATAATATAATAATAAGCTTATTTTTATTTTCCAAATACATTTTTGTCAACTAGATTTGTTGGCAATAATTGATAAAAAAAAAAAAACAATGCTATTGAATCACTTTACATGTATCTCTTGTGGTGACCAAGTGATTCTTTAAATGTACAACACTCATTTAGAAACTATTATCCAAATAAAGGGTCATATGCATTTCTTGTGTATTTTTAAGTTAAAAACTAATTTTCACCTAAAAGCAGAATCCTCCTACTGTCCCTCATGTCTTTAACAAATGTAGAAAAAGAATATGATCCAATCATTCACCATCTAAAGAGAGAAAAATTTCTTCAATGGTAGATTTACCATGAATGAACTATGATAAGACTTACAGCTGGTGTTCATGAAAAACAACAAAAACGTTTGAACACACTTGCAGTAAAAAAATGATAACTCACAAAATTACTGAACTAAGGTGGATAAATCATTTTCCCTTTTCTCTATGAAAATACAAGCATTCAGAAATACTCCAACATTTATGTCTAATTAACACAAATCTTATTTCAAATCAAAACAAAAAAATGTGTTAATGAACTAAAAGCTATTAAAATGGCTCTGTCTTTTAAAGACACACAGGAACATGAGACATCTGTAGCAAACTCAGCAGATCTGCTTATCTTTTTTTAAAGGGTTTCAACCAAAGCCCTGTTAAAATAAGGCCTGAGTTATGCCTGATTTACATAATACAGAAATCTTTTTAATGGGGTTTTTTGTAGTTTGGTTTTTGAAACTGCAAAAAAATGTGAATTGCAGTATTTTGCTTCACCTGTCTCAAGGACAGAAAAGGGCAAAATTAGCTAAATTTGGAATTAACCCCAAGTTTGTCTCTACAAGTATTACTTTTCCCTGCTGGGGTGTTGAGGGAATAAAAAATGCTAGTTTTGTTATTTTTACATATGTTTAGCTTGGTTGTAGTAATTACAGCTAAGTCAGTTCAGTTTACTAAGGAGTGGTGTAAGAATACACAAATTGTACCAAAACCATTCAGTACAAATACAACACATCAAATATATTTAGTAACTTTTTCAAAATTGATTTGAGCATGTTTTTTTTATTTTTTTATTTAAGCGATACACGTGACCTGTTGAAATGCCCTAAACACTAAATAAGGGAGAAAACATGATTCAAATTTAACTGAATTCAACACAACAAGCTGGGGCTTTGACTTGTGGTGATTCATCCGGCTGGGAAGTTAGCTTGGTGTCAGCAGAGGATAGGGATGACTCTTACGTGAATTTCTCACCTCAGTACACAATGACACTAAACAAATCTTTAAAAGCTGAGGGCAAAACAGCCTTGGGTGAATATTGATCTTTGATCAAAGCCTGAATACAAGCGATGACGATAACAACAATTCAAACAGATGTGGCAGTGTTGTTTTCGTTGACGATGACGTCGACGAAAATATTTCGTCAACGTCATCACCACTAACATTTTCGTCTCGTCTTGTCTTGTCAACATAATCGCACATTCATGTCGTCACATTTTAGTCATCTAAGACTTATGTTTAGCTCGTCAACGTCACATCTTTGTCGTGGAAAAAAAGAGAAAAACAATACTGGTGGCAGGGCTAAGACTGGGAGCAAAGTAGAAACTTCTCAGTTCAGCTACTCAGATGATATCACAACTATCCAGAGGGCTGTGGAGTTCTTTTCAGCTAAACTTAGGGGAAACTGGAAAATAAATGCAAGGACTTAGAGTCAAGTTAAAATTACGACAATATCAGGGCTGTTAGCATTCCCTGGGACATCAACCACCCAGTCTGCAAAAGGAGGCTTTTGGTCTTAAGCCATGGCTTGACAGAGCACATCACACACTTCAACCAAAGCCCGAACCAGGACAACCTCATAGTTAAAGCCAGACATAGTGACCAATCTGACTGTGCAGTTATTCACCAGGAACAAAAGACCTGAAGTGGATCAAGGTTCAAGAACTGACTGTCTCTGTTTTCCCAGGTCTCTCAGCCAAAAAGCTCGACTGCACAGCCTTTAAAGATTTAAGACAAAGGCTCCAAGAAATTCCAGGGGGGCATGCACATTTCCTTAGATGAGGTAGATGAGGGCTGAGGTATTGAAACAAATTCCTGATGATTGATGAGAAGGAAAAGTTTGAACACCATCTGAATATATTCTCTCCCTAAAGATCGTTTCTTAATCTTCGGATGATATTCAAACTGCGTCATAGATGCAACTCTTGACTGATCAAAACCACAAAATTATGTTGAATTCATCTGCAATGTCTGAAATAGTTTCAAAGTTCATGATTAAAAAATAGATACAGTGACCCCTGGAAACTTCATAATCCACAGACCGAGGCGTTTCTCTTTTTTTTTCTTAGGTCCACCAGTCATAATCCCAGTACTTTACTTTTTCATCAATATCAATTCCACCCTGTCAGGTTTTCTGACAATACTTTTTTTTAAATTGAATAAGCATTCATAGAAGACTTCTTCACTAACAATCAACCCAGCCATCCTTCATTTTTGCTTTTCATTTTTGCCTTCATTATGACAAACGATGCAAAAAAAGCTCCTGCTATGATCTTGCAACATATAAGAGTAAACACAGTGATAGAGCAGACAGGCTTGTGGCACATCAATTACGATGCCAGACCGCGTCTTGTATTATTCAACACATAAAGAACTCAGCTCACTGGCTACTGACCCCAAAGATAAAATGAAACCTTTAAAGCGTTTTATGCCTCACTTAACTGTTCAGAATCTTCATCTGTCACCACCAATATGACCAAATTTCTTGAAAATCTTTCAACCCTGACGGAACCTGGGGGCTAGATGTTTTTAAGTAGAATTCTATAAAAGGTTTCTACAGACCTACTTTAAACGTGTTAAGGAGTTCTCCTCCACAAACATTAACCCAAGCATCCAAAACAATGCTTTTTAAGAGGGATAAGGACCCCACACAATACTCCTTATTCAAAACCCACCATTGTTTAACGTCAATACTAAGATTCATGAAAAGTATTAGCAAGGGGACTTAGAAAATGTCTTTTTCGATCAACATCTAAGGAACAAATTAAAGAATGTCAGCTCTTTTTCCACTGAGAGAACACTGCTGAATATCAAACATACAAAACATAAAATACATTTGTAATCTCATTGGATGTAGAGGAGGTAAAATTCTCATTATTTCTTGGGTTTGCTTCTTTTATGCTTCACTACAGGCCAGTGTTTTCACTCATTAAATACAAGCTGGATATTCTGCATTGCCACAAGGGACCAGACAAGTGTGCTCTTTGTCTCCATTATTATTTGCACTGGTGATAGAGCCTTGGTCAATAGCACTGTGGTCCCCTCCTCATAAAGGGGAGTGACTCAGCGACAGTAGACCAATATATCTTATGAGATCAAGTCCCATGGGTGTAGGACAAATATAATACTTATCATGTTGTGTCTGTTTTCTAGCTCACCCTTTATTGTGTCTTTGCAAAACAAGGGGAGAGCTAATAAAAAAAAATAAAGTGGAGCCTGAAATATTGAAGATGTAAGGCATGGATATTACAAACAAATTGAGCTTTTAAGACCTTTACAAAGATGGTGTCTGGTAGTAATATGATTTTCTCCCATGAAATTTGGGCAGACGCTGGCCCGTCTATGCTGCTTTTTGGAGGTTCAACACTTCTTCTAGCTATCTCACTTTGCCTCTTTAACAGCCTTAAGATCGTCTCAATCTATAACCCAGACAGAGATCACTGATCCCCAAAATTTTTTGTAAGTTACTGACAGTTGATGGGTTGAGGGAGTAAGAACTATAAAAAGTGCCATTGAAAAGACCCACACGGGCTCTATCTCACCTCCACTCACTCTGGAGTTTAAAGTTCCAAAAAGAGGTGGTATTATACTTTTTCATAAATCAAAAACAAATGTTAAAAAGTAGGATATTCAGATCACAAACTTCATGTGTGTTATTTTCATCCCAAAATGGGACTACAGGGTGCTCTTCATGTCTTGTTCAGAGTCACACAAAAATTAAGCCAGATCAATACGAGATTTTCTTGAATCTTCTTAAAAAGACGAATTAGTCGTTTTATAAAACCAACACAACTTTGTTGTGTGGCAACAGTGAAGAAGGCTTCCAGAATGCTGGGTTCTGGGATGCCTGGGAGGCCTTAAAGAGACAGTGGCTTAAATTTAGTGTCTCAGACTGGGGCTGAAATGAGGATTTTCAAAGACAGCAGCCTGAAATATTTTAAGAATTTGTTGAACTATAAATCACATCAAGCTGCAAAGAAGCTATCAGAGGGACAATAAAAAGCCAAAAAAATAAGTTTTATGTCTTTTTAAAATAATTTTGTCTGACATACAACAGAAGTGTAATAGCTTCTATTGTTTTTCATGAAACTTGAGTCACATGTTCTGTTCATGTCCAAAGCTATCAAAGTTCTAGCAGAACCTGTTGAGACTTTGTCCAAAATATTGAGGGAAAATATTGAAAACTACTCTTAAACTGAAATATTTGGTGGCAGACATCTGCTCGATTAGAAAACTCTCACTTTTGTCCTAGAACTTGGGAAAGTAAATATATTCTTTTAAAAATGACAATTTCCTCTAATATATTTTGACTCACTTCTGAGTCTGAGGCCATGTTCACATCGAGATGAAACCGATCTATTTCTTTTGTCTTTGTAAATTATTAAAGCTCCTGGGAGGAACTTGTCAGTTTGTGTCAGTACTCAGCACCCCAGTGGACAACGCAGTCTTTGCTTATCTTGTCCTCTGTATGCTTGAGTGAAATCTCATCTTGCTAACTTTTGATGGTCAAAAGTTCATCGATTGCAAATAGCTTACATGGAAATCTTAAAAAATGTGCTTTGTCTTCAGCTGCTCAGCTTATAACTACCCCTTGTCAAGCATTAAAATTAGGATATCAAAATCTTCAATCCTGTCACTAACGGTCTTGTGGTCCTGTATGCTTTGGGATGTCACGAAAGGGCATCAATATGAATTTTAGTAAAATTCATAAATGTAAAAAAAAGTGGAAGTTGCTGTTGTCATAATTTATTCGTCAGAACAACTATCATCATTACTATTCTTAATATTACTTTTGCTTCTGTCATTGTTGTTGCATTACTTTTTAAAAACGAGTTGAACCTTTGCCACTTTAAATGAGTGAGAACACTATACCCATGTTTCACGCACTATGTTGACCCTACTATATTAAAATGTTTAAAACAGGCAAATGTACATCGAAATTAAATATACCTGTAAAAAAATGAAAAATCAATCATGGACTGGAAAACTGGAGAGCACCACATACATACCATGTGCAGACCATCACATAGGCTACTACAATACCCACCACCGCTCAGTGACTTTTTCAGTAAATCACTGGGCTTTAAACACTGAGTTTTTAATCTTCTTCTCTTTAGGTGTGATTAGTTATGTGCTGTGAACTCAAACAGTGGTTTCTTGTCATAATCAGTGTGTCTTTTAAAGTGAGAAGCAGCAGGGGCAGAACAAACAGGGGGTGCACTCATTAATTAAGTGAAAATCATGTTTGTTCTCGGGGGGAAAACAATACATACCAAACCTCTTGCCGGGCCATAGAAAACAAAACTAGAATGGGGCTCTACTTAGTATTCTTGTCATAGAGCCTTGCTCCCAAGAACCCAGTTTCAGCAGGGTAGCTGACGTCAAACTTTAGAGCTCAGCGTTCCTGTGTGTGTTTGTGTGTGTGAATATCTGTGTGTGTGTAAGCCTGCCTCTGTAGAGACATGCAGATATCACAGGAGCAATACAGAAACTGAAGCTACACAAAACATGGTAAAAACTCAACAATTCAATGAAAATATTTACCATATATATGACCTCTGACATTTATTTGCTGGACAGAAAAATTGCCTTCACTTTGTAGGTATTAGTTTGGACCCTTCATTATTCTGTGTTTAATTAGGGGCCTGGGCACCAAGAGGGTGTAAGGCCCCAATTGGAATACCTATTCAGTTTAATATTCTGGTTATCATGTGTCTTTTGTTACAGTTATGAGGGCCTTTACAAAAATTAAAACTCATGAAAGTTTGCATGTGCCTCAGGCCTGGCTAAAAAAATGACATTTTGGGGGTTTTAAACATAAATATTTGATTTTTGCTTAAAATAGGCTCATTTTAAAAGTTCTTCTAGAACAGTGGTTCTCAAGTCCAGTCCTCGAGGCCCACTGTCCTGCATGTTTTGGATGTTTCCCTGCTCCAACACACCTGATTCAAATGATCGGCTCGTTATCAAGCTCTGTAATGGCTTAATAACGAGCTGATCATTTGAATCAGGTGTGTTGGAGCAGGGAAACATCCAAATCATGCAGGACAGTGGGCCTCGAGGACTAGACTTGAGAACCACTGTTCTAGAATAAACTGTTCCTTAGGAGATAATCTAAACCATCTTATCTTTTTTTTCGGGTAGAAGAGATCTCATCGATGAGAAATATTCATTTGCATCCGAAAAAAAGCCAAAGGGGAGGCAATAGCAGGTGTTTATAGTATGAAAGCCAAATAACATTCTTTTCTCGCCACTGTCATTAGTAACACTTGTGTTAGTTTCTTTGACATTGAAAATCCACTCAGCTCATTTTTTCTTTATAACTACAAGCTACTAAGAATGATCTTAAGCTTGTCCACATAACTCATTGACTTGTGTGCCACATAACAGGAAGCTTCATACATTGTTATCCCTGTTTGAAAACAGCTTTGTGCTATTACTGCATTTAGCCTGAGTCCAGAAACTCTATAAGAGGAAAGAAGACTTTTGATACGATGAACATTGTGCTGAATATTTTCTCAAATTGTATTTCAAACATTTTTCTCTATCCTAGTTCATCATATACAAACTGTTTAGAAGCCTATTAATCATCTGTTTTAAGACATTCTTTGGCGTTCCTTTAAAGGTTGATTTTTCAGTTTTATTTGATCCTCTTTCGCTTATAAAGTTTCAATAAAATCTGAATCACTGCTGTATCCAAGCTAGTTAATCAGTTATGTCCTCACATGAAGCTCCTCTGCCTTTCCTCCTCTCGACTGTATTAACAAATCTTGGCATGGCAGATCCAAAAATATTGGTTTGATAACAGGAAAAATATTTGAGACCCCTGGAGTGCAGGGCTAGACAAAGCTCAAAACACACTGCTTCAGAATTTTGATTACTCCTTTTTTATGAAAAGACCACAGCAGAAACAAACTGACTGCTCCACAACACAACATTTGCCCAACCCTGACATGTATCACACTCTGCTGTGTGTGAAGGTGCGAAGGCCCACTCAGTGCTGCTTGCAGCTTACTTTTCACATTACAGTGAGGGAGGCAGATAAGAGCCCTCCTCCACAGTTTAAAAAAAAAAACTGGAGGAAATCCTGGAAATATCTGCGAGCACCAATAAAACCACCTCTTAATCAATATTTGCTATTAAATGATCAGTTTATCTTCAGACAGTAGCTCTTCAGGGTGAGAAACAAAGCCCTGCCTTGGTTGGGGTCCTTCTTACCGCGTCAGGATTCCACTCCTCAATAATGACCTGTTTCTTTATAAAGTAGCAGGTGTAGGTACAGTATATATAATCCCTAACATAAAATCAAGTGTCTCTCAAACTCACTTGTAGATATGTCTTGGATCATTTTTTGAACAAAATTTTAAACTAAAAAAAAATCATGTAGTTAAGGGTTGTTTTATGTACTGCAGATCTGAACTGATTTTTTGGCAAAAGTGAGTTTGCAAGTGATATATTTTTTTTGGTCTATCAATTTTAATACTTATTTTACAGTTAACTTTTTTCAAAGCAAAGTGGTAGAGTCGATATCCATTTTAACAGTTGATAAGCACTACATAGAACCTTTTGTTCCTTCCACGTGTCAAACTCAGTCAAATGTTTCAAAGGCATTTAGCGAATTAAAATGTGTGAAAGAACTATTGATTAGTGATTTGGTATGGCACTTGACAATAAGATGAATGTATGTTCACAAAGGTGAATTTTAACATAAAGTTTCAAATGTCTTCATCGGTCAGATGTCTAGAGAGGGAATGCAATTAAACATCAACCACTGAGCAATTAATGAACAATTTATCCTTAGGAAGTCTAATTCATTATTTCTTAAATATCTACCATCATGCTGATACTGTTACTGAGTGTTTATTCCTCTTAAATGATGCATAATAAAGCGACTACAAAGCTTTGGTTATCAAAACCACATTCAGGTATTCAATTTACGGCACATCAATTTCAGAGCATCCTAAAACACATAAATAACACTCATGGCGCCAGAGCTGTTCTGGCTTTTAAATTGGTCCCACAGAGATCAGATGGATCATGCCCCGGGGCTAGTAACCTCTACACCATGTACATTAAAAAATTACTCACTCTTGGCTGAATCAATTCCCTGAACAGCAGCTAGAAACCTGGTCCCAGAGTAAAGACACCATTGTAGAGTACTATTGGTCCTATAGGTGTGATCAAAATCCTAGCCAATTTAATCCTTGAGTCCCAGCCTTCCTGACAAGTATTCAATTTAAGAAAAAAAATATCTATAATGAGGTTTGACTTGATCTAGCACATTTTCAGTCAAAGTAAATTTATAATTATAAGTATTGTAAGTATTTTTTTTCTGACAGTAAAACTAAGAAAACATTTATCTTTCAGCAAACATTTTTCTGTTCTTCATTTTTCAACGGACAAAAGAATAGAATCAGGATGGGCTCTTGAAAAACTGTGATGAGTTAACCACTTATATCTTATCAAATAATTAAATTAATCGTAAAAGGTTAGTCGCATGATCTGGTGTAGAATAAGCGATCCAAAAAGACTGAGTCTCGCAGTAGCAGAAATGGGACAAAGTCAACCACTCTGTGAAACTGCATTTATGCAAATAGTTAAAAGATCTTAGAATAATGTTCCTCAGCATAAAATTCATCATCTACAGTACACTTTACCATTAAGAGATAGAGAGCACCTGATTTTTCGTGCCCTCAGGACGCACTACATTAAAAACAGATATGACTCTGAATTGGAAATCACCACATGAGCTTAAATTTACTTACAAGAACCACTGCCTGTGCCATATCTACAGATACAGGTTAAAACTTTAATATGCAAAGAGGGAAGCGAATATAAGGTACGATAAGAAGAACTTTATTGATCCCCAAAGGGAAATTCAATAAACATGATAAGCAAATAAGCATGATCTACAACTACCTGCAAATGCAAATGCTCTGGGTCCAAGCCCATTGAAGATGTACTGAGGCAAAGCGGAAAAGTGCCCTGTAGTCTGACAACCTATTTTATTGGAGTGACATTCTTTTTGGAAACCCTGGACACTGCATCCTCTAAGTCAGCGACTGTGGTATGGGAAAGTGCTTGTGAAATATACATCTGGGAAGACAGCATTAATGCTGAACAACATGCACGGGTTTTTCCAAGCAATAGAATTTAAATCATTAAAAAATCACTAGTAAATTATAAAGTATTCTGATTCTGATTATGCAGTCCAGTCCATTCAATACCTTATCAGAGGGGGTCTTGCATATTTCAGGAAGACAATGCTAAATAACAACCCGCACGAGCCACAACACCCTGACTCTGCACTAGTAGAATCTGGGTGCTACACTAGTCTGTAGCCCTGCCTGGAGACATCTCACTTGTCAGCATGTGCAACACCTGGGTGAAACAAACAGATTGTGGAGACTATCTGACCTGCCTTTGGAACATTGCCTTTCCCAGAAAGAGATTACTTTGCTGTCACCACACCTTGTGCAAGATTCAGAAATGGACGCTTTGATGTACTAATTTGGCAATAAAGGTAAACCTCTCTATGACAGTGACTGATATTTCAGCAAGTTTTAACAAGTTCACTTTTTTATTAAATTAGATAGTCTTAGTGCTTTTATGTAGAAATAAGAGGTTGACCAATTACACTTTTTCAATGGCTGATGCCAATACCGTTTATCACAAAGCAGGTTGGCTGAAGGCCAATATATAATGCTTATATCACATAATGTTGTCTTTTTTGTTATTTGTTTGTCTCTTTTTTTTGCATTTAACCCAGCAATAATAACAAAAACAATACAAAAAATTAAGAAATAAATTAGTAAATACAGAGTCAAATTGATATAAATGGAAAAATACTGGTATTTTTACTTTCACAAGATTTTTTGGATTTCTGTCCAGCAACCTGAAACTGCTGAGAAAAAAAAAATACAATTCAACAAGTATCTGGGTTAAAATAAAAAAGTTGAGGCATATCTAGACTCATGATTTGATACTAAAATCTAAAACACACGATTTAATCGGCCAGCCGATAGATCGATTCATCCCAAGTAAAAAATATTTCAGAAAAACACAATTTTCTTAACCCTATCCATTACAATGTTTCCATCAGAAATGTAATGTTTCTGAAAGAAAATGTTCAGCCTCATTCCAACAGATAGGCTGCTTATATCCTTGACAAAGTGACTCGATATAAGGCCAACAACAGTGTCTGTAGAACTAAACTCTTCATGAATTGTGCCAGTGCAAAACAGCCCCGCATTAGGGCCCTGCGGCTGTGGGCCTTGGCAGGGAGAACAGAGGCCCCCTTGTTTAGCTGTGGCAAGTCTGCAGGAAATATAATGCATTCACATGATAATGAGCCAGAAAATACATGTGCCAATTTGTGCCTTTCCTTCTCTCCTTCTCTTCTTTAACTACAGTTCATGGGGGGAAAGGGGGGGCGGGGGTCTTCTTGTATGAACTGACACACAAACATAGTCACTCAAACTTGCACACACAGTAACAAACACTTCGGTGTCTTGTGCAGAGCGACCTGATTGCTGGTCTCATCACCAAAGAGACCAGCACTAAGTAGACGCCTGGCAGAGATAGGCTGGCATTTAGCATTTAGGCCCAAACAAAGCTTTAAGGCTGAGTATACAGGCCTTCTATTATGGGGGTGGGCCAGGGGAGGAGGGTTGGGTCACAAGAATACATGCAGACATATTAATAAAAGATATTCACATTACAAAACAACAACTTTGAGAAAAGCATTGGTTTTAAAGAGAGAGATCATATCAGAGACACAGCTATAGAAGAAGCATCAAAATACACTAAATAAACACTCCAAAACTGAAATCTGAATCCCTTCTCTTTCAAATAGTTTTACAGCACCGCTAAATTAACTATGAAGTGTGAGGTTTCTAACTAAATTAAAACACCTTTAAGTGTTAAGAGGTGCACCTGTGATTTGACTGACATGCCAGATAAGGGGAGCTAAAAATAAGTATGCCCACTTGAGCCTCCAACATGCTTTTAACAAAATATGCAGTGCAAATGAACTGTAAAAAAAAAAAAAAGATTCACAAATCCTTAGCTGGGTAGACAGACAGACAGGGACTGAGAGAAACCAAGACCTCTGCTTATGAGGAGAAGGGAAAGATTGTGAAATTACTACTTTTACACAATAGAGTAAGCCAAGTATAACCAAAGCCATCTCTTTTACTTATCTTTTATATCTGCACTCATTTCCATATACACTGTACTGTATTCGTATTTATACATGTATATGTACTTATCTTTTTTTGTACCGTTTTATGTTTTTCTAATTGCACTTTTTTATCTATAGCGCTTTGTGATTTTTATCTGTGTCAAGCACTCTATAAATAAACTTTACTTACTGACTTACTATGTCTCAGGCCGACAAACTCCAGCTTGAGAAAATCATGTTGGTTAGTTTTTTTGTTTTGTTTTTTGTTTCTTTTTTTTGTCTTTGAGCATATCATTGCACACCCTGTCTTTAGAGTTGATTTTGTGGTGTTGTCCTTCCTAGATTGTGGGTGTAGGGGCATCTATCATCGGAGTAGGCCATTTTCTTCATAACAAGATACCAAATGAGGTTTTAAAGAGAATGTTTGGTTATCGGGGCTACCCTGGTTCTCTAAAAACTGAGTGTTGAATCTCACAACACTGCCCCCGTTGCATTTCATTGAGCATATGGAGGTAAGTGCTCTGAAAATGCTGAGGGGCAATCACAGGGGAAGACTGGGCAACCTGGGCAGCATAAATGATTGGTCAGTCGTCTAACAAAGGTAATGGTAGTGGAATTTTCAGAGAATCAAGGTCAACCTGGAAACCCCGCCTTTCTTTTCAATCCATAATTCAATAATATAGTGTAGTTCTTTAATATCAGTCATCCACTGATGTGACACAGCAATGAAAGGGAACTGTAATTAAACTTTTCTGTAATTTATGTTCGGATTGCGCACCAGGAGAAAAGACTTTTGGTCTCTTTGTTAGTTGACAAGATGCTTAATATTGGGGTTGTTGAATGTTATGTTAAATAGTATTTCCTAGAATGTGTTTTTGTCATTGTGTATGTATGAGAGCATGTGGCAACAACCACAGGAGACTCTATTTGTGTGGACAGCAACCACATTGCTGTCTATACACTTTTGTCCAAAACTTTTCACTATGTCAATCTACATTAAATTCCTGGTCTACATTAATCCCAGTAATTAAATCATTTCATTTAGAATCAGATTTGTTACTCATAAAAGTTGATACTCATCAGAAACTCTACTAAGTGTCTTTTTATTACAGTTTAAAGTTTCACTTTCTGTCACTTTCTTATTGAGATTAGTTACTTAAATTCACTAGTTAAGTAGGATTCATTGCATTTTTGATCTCAGTTTTAAATTCATTTTATTTCATTTTGAAAGGATTTGAAGTCCAAGTTCACACTTCTTCTCCAATTCCAAAAATTGTTTCATGAGACCACCTGAATTTGTTAAGCTGTTTGCATTTGTGTATGATATATGAGTATATGTTCTTGCATACATGCTAATTTGAACTGAAGGCAGAAAAAAACATTGGCTACAACTGTATGAACACACACTACACCTTGCAAGTGTCAATAATGTAGGAAAAGACATGAAAATAGATGGGTAACAACAGCACTTCAAGTGGTTTAAAATGCAATTGAGCCTGGCGTATTGGAGTCTCCACAAGCAAGCTTTTGCATCAGTGTCCACGTGAGGTCTTGCTGGTGTGTCACTGAACTGACCAAATCAAAGCTATCCATAATCTATAAATCAGGGTCACAAACCAAATGACAGACATAATCTGTTTTAAAGCTTATTTTAATAGACGATTCAGGCTTTGGCTCAATATTTTACACATTGTTCCATATTCACAAATCACCTCTTAGCGAACCATACATGGTCCAGCAGCCTAAGAGGAGGACAGGAGTGGATTTTCCTATCAATTTCAAATTCTGCAGTTTTTTTGATGTGAAGTTACTAGCTGAACTAATCATGACAGGCAAAGACAATTTTTTTACACAATTTCCTTAAAGACATTTCTTGGTTAAGGGCATCTTAGAGGGCTATGTGCATGAATGAATCATAAACATGTGTTTCCAAAGTTTGTCTAAGTTCCAGCTGTGCCTCAGCAGCTTCCATTGGATTCAACAGACACAATGTTCTAGGGCAGGGGTGGGCAATTAATTGTTACATGGGGCCACATGAGAAACCTGAACTGTGTTGGAGGGCCGAACCAACAATAACTTCAACTTCAATTCAGGGAGGTTCACACATATAGAATAGCAAGCCCAAGTAAGCAACTACTAGTTAAAAACAAGCCCAAAAAGCGCAGCCGCAACTCACAAGTTTCAAAAGCGACTTCTGAGAGAAACAAGCCTAAAGTCGTTTATAATAAGCGGACTGAGCAACTATAAGGCGTCTACGTATATTTTGCCGATGTTTAAACTTGTCTATCGGGCTGTAAAATGCCCAGGTCAGTTCTAGGGTATAGTCTAAAAACGTACAGATATGATCCCTGCTTGTTACTCTGACTTCCTCTCTTCTCTTCTCTTTCTCTCTCTCTGTTGTTCTGTCTCTGTCTCTGTCTCCATCTTAGTCTCTCTCTCTCTCTCTGCCTTACCATGCATTTCTTCCTGCTGTCCACATTCATCATATTTGACATGCTCATTTGTTGTAAGCAAGAATAGAACAAGTTTGGACCCCTTTTCAATTTCTTTCTAAAAACTAATACGTCTCTAAAGTGTGTGGGAGGACACAGAGAAAGATGCAAAAAGGGAGAAAAATTGAGAGTGTGGGAAAGAAAGGTGGACTGGAAAATGAAAAACCTCAAAGTACATAAAAATCTGACAACTAGTAATATACTAGCACAGAATTAGAAGTACCCCAAAGTTACGTGGAGAATAAAGAGAATTATAGGAGTCATTATTTAGGTTAAGATTTTAGAGTAGTGAATTTTGACTTATAAAGAACCAAGAATTCTTTTATAACTCCAGAAAGGGCATCTCATGTTGCTACAGCGGTTTAAACAAGATTTTTGTGAAAAGGTCAGTGTGCCACAAGTTTCAAAAGGCTTCATTCAAAACTCGTGTTTTCAACTGTTAATTTTTTAAAGTGAAGAATCAGTTCATTATAAACCCAGACTGTATAATAATTAGTTTTGACCATCATTTGTTTCATCATTTTTATCATATTCATTTCAAACTTTCTTTATGTCAATCTGAGACACCTGAAGACTTGCTCTTCATGATTTCCAACTCAAAATACTTCTTGTTTATCTCCTTGTTGAAAACCCTCATCACAGCTCTATTTAACCTTGACCTAAAAGGCTTTGATTGAGCTGCTTTTCCACTAAAACAGAGACAGGCACAGCTTGTGACTATTGTTTTTTTACTCAGTTTTGTAGTCATGAAAAGACCTGAAACTTATGCTTTCAGAAATAAGGACGGGAATCGAGAACCGGTTCCTGTTAAGAACTGGTTCCAAATGGTTCAATCCATCAACATCGTTTACAATTTATCTGTAAGATTCCCTTAACGATTCCTTTCTTCCAGGTGCCTTGAAAAACTGTCTCACGAGAGCCAGTCTATGCAAACAAGAACAGAGACTTTGAAGGAAACATATATGGCAGATAGTACGAAAGGTAGGCAGAAGCGATCTAAAGCGTGGCTTCATTTTACTAAGAAAGACGACAACAGCACAAACGTGCAACGTTTGTCGAGCAGTAATAACATGCAAAGGTGGAAACACCAGCAACATGCTTAAACGGGGCACAGCACCAAATATAAGGAGTCACATGTATTTGATCTTCTCTGCCGGTTGTCAGCTGCTGCTGCTCCATCTCAGCATGGCGTGGAAGGTACTTTTGTCCTGTGTTTATGTTTATTATGTATTTGACTTAGTACCGACCAAAGTAAATGCTGTACAAATAGTTTGTCGTTTGATTATTCTTAGAATCTCACTGAAGGTGGTATACATCTTTTTCTGTTATTGTAGACTCAATAGAATTTTAAATTATTGGTGAAATTATTGGAAACCTAGTCTACTTTTTTTAAATCAAAGAAAGGCATTGGTAAGGGAATCGCTTAAGAATTGAATCAATAAGAAGAATTGATAATGGCATCGATATCGATAAAATCTTATCAATTCCCATCCCTAATCAGAAAACGTCTGAGAACCGCTGTTAGCATCCCCTTCTCTCTATTCACCCCGTTCGCATACATTAGCTGCAAGTAACATTAGCTGTTGTTGTAATGTTACTTGCAGCTTGTGGTTTCCATCTTTTATGGAAGGTCTTAATGGGTGGGACAGCCCCACATTTCAGTAGCAGCTGAGTTGCCGCTCCAGCTCACACTGACCTTTACTTATAAGAGAGTCATCAGTGAAGTAGTAGGCAGAAATAGCATAAATGTGACTGTTCTGCTATGTAAAGATAAAAAAAAACTTCCTTCTGTTTCTAGATGTCTTCATCTAGCTGTGACTGTTGAACACAACCTAAAAAAAACTGGTGAGCTACTTTCCAAGGCAATCTGAATCCACAGAGGGCAGGATGGAGTTAAAAGAGCAAGGAAACTTACCTTCCAGTTTCAGGGTGGGCATTTCTTTGACAAAGCTTGCCCTAATAGGGCAGCACAACCTGATGTCAGGTCGCGGCCATGTCTCTGAACAAGCTGTAAAGAAAACCTGGAAAATAATCTGGGTGCTTGCACTGCCATCCCTGTATCTCATGTTATTAGAACTTTGCTACAGCTTCATCCAATGCTGTTACATTATATGTTTGTATTAAAATACAGATCAGCATCATAAGAATAACAGACAGTGGGTCCTAAAAGAGGGGGTATTGTGCATTTTTTTCATACCCTATACTCCCTTTCTGGTACCTCTTTAAAGTAGTGGTATAACACTTTTCCACATTTACAACAAAACTTGCAAAGTTAAAGTGTTTGGTGTTCGTACCAGATGCATGCAAAGTTTCAAATCACGAGGTAAATGTATGTTTTCAGAATTTAAAAATATTTTTCATTAAATAGTGAAACAGTTGTGATTGTGATTTAGTAATCAAAGGTAATGTACAGCCAGAAACCTACTTTAACCTGTCTTTGTCACTTTGCTGCTTTTAGGAATGTGATAGTAAATAGATTAGGAGAGTGGAGGCACAGAACAACATTATAGGGGGAAAAGCACAAATAATACAGCGTTTCATCTGAACAGCTAGTTTATGAATTACCTATGGCAGTGAAAAGCTCTGGGCATGTTTTATGCAGGAGAATATGTCCCCATTTTCACTTTGTTCTCCTCTTTTCTCCCTTTTTCGCAGTATACTGCATTTAAATTCCTTGAGCCACTGTGGATTTAAGGATTTCAAGCAGATGTTTGGAGCTTTTTGTCAGCTCAACCAGACCACATTACTTGAAGGATAAAAGCCTTTAATTTGTTATGTCAAAATGTGCAACGGTTATTGTACTTTACACTAGATTTACACTTAATATTGTTACTTAAACAGTAAAAATTTGATATTTCATTGAATAGTGTGGTGCTGTAAGAATGAAATTTGATTTGAAATGAAAACAAAAAAGACCAGAAGGCAGCTTTTAAATGCTGATTTATCAATATATCATTTTAAAACTACCTCACCTCTAATGGTGAATTCACACCAAACATGAATAAAATCATTCACAAGTGACTTACACGTGACACGTGTTCTACTCGGGTGACACCTATGAGGCAGCACAAATACATGAATTGAGGGGAAAATTTGCGTATCCTTTTGCATGAATTCCAGACCCATCCTATGATATCCACTAACTTTAAACGCTTATTTTTGAGAGTTGAAAAATCTGAACTCAAGCGAATGTTCGCGCTGCCATTAACAGCCAACTTAGAGACCTGATATGTAGGAACCCCTCCTCTCTCTCTCTCCTCTTGCAATCACACATGTGTTAGGGCACTCTGCAGACGTGACATAAACACACGAATCTAGCGAGAAAACATACAACTTTGTGGGTTCACGTACGCCGAAACTGAGCAAGTAAACTATTTTATTTACACTTTTGTACGAACACAACGTAAGACTTTTGACTCTCATTCACACTAAAAACTCAAAATATCAAGTTGTCCATGACAGTTAGGCTCCGAACATTACAGAAAGCACAGATGACCTGCTGTGCAGCTGTGTGTGATTAACAAAAAGGAGTCCCTTCCAAATTATCTGGTCGAGACACTTTACAGAAGGGGAACGCACTCAAAGCAGGAGAATTCGTGACATCTCTCAGTGTTACACCAGCTGGTTTGGCCACTGTGTTTATTAAGTGCTGTAAGGTCTTTCAGTTCCAGTGTGAATCAATTGGTAATCAATTTCAAATTAGTGATGCAAAGCCACGGGACTCCAGGGGGAACAGCTGAAATATCTATTTTTAGTCTCGGCTTTATCATTTGTTTCAGGAAAACTGACCCAAACCAACCTGGCTTATTAGTCTGATTGGAGGAACGCTAGAGCTATAACCACCACGATTAATAGCTTCATGGAGGTAAATGAGTTTCTCACCACCTAATACCAAGCTTACTGGAAAATGTAAATACAATAAATAAATCAAGAAGACATTCTGGCTGTCCAAAACATGTAGATTTGTGATTGGTTGATCAAACTGTTGAGGTCATTACAATCCAGGGTAAATCTTGATCCTCTGGGATCAACTGTAATTTACTTCCCTCACACTCAGACCTTAACAAACACACACACACACACTCTGTGTCTGTTAGAACACACCCAAGGGAAAAGTGAATTTTATTCACCATTGATTTCAGCTCCATAAACCTACAGTCTAGCAGACACTGATCAAAACCTCAATATCATTCAAAATAGAAGAAAATGCGTTTCTTTGTTAGAGGGCTTTTATATATTGTCACAAAGTCGTAATTTATTGTTGTTTTTGGAAGTAACATTAAACAAAATCAATTAAAGTATTTAATAAAGGAAGGAACGAATCTGATAAGTCTTCTGACTCTAGATGAATGTGTTTTATTTCCTGTCATTACATGGATTTGATTTCAAACTAAACTGGACAGTTTTAGGGACATTATTCTAACTGTACTTCAGTGCAATTTTCTGTAAAGAAACTGATTTTGACTGTAGTTTCCACAATTCTGACACATTTATTATCTACCTTGAGTTTATTTCAAAGAAATGTTTTTTGTATTCATTGTTGATGATGAGATTCTGGAACAACTGCTGACACTGAGCTTCATTTATGTTTTTTATAAGACAGATGAATATGGCGTATACTGTCTTTCCTCTGCATGTTAAACACTTTTTGAAAGTCAGATATTCAGGGTAAATATCTGCAAAAATGTTCTTTGAGTGACTCTCACCAAGACTGCTAAAAATCCACACTAAAACTAAATCAACATGCTTTTAATACCTCTCGGGTAACTGATGTGGTAGTCCTGGGGGCTGAGGCCCTGTAAAATCTTAAGTGCCGGCGAAGCAAAACTATTCATTTCAAGAGGAGGATCTTTAGGGTGCCTTGATATGTGGAAGACATCCTCCTGAAATATGCATAAGCCCAAGGCCCAAGGCTTTTTACACGCACAGTCTACAGGAATAATGGATTCATCCAAATGGTGCAATCTGTCACTGTATGTTACCAACTAAGATACTGTCGTACACTTAATGAATGCTGACTGACTTATGTTTTGTGGTCCTGCTATGTCTTTTTAGGATATCTCAATCTTGATGTAATGTTTGAAGTCAGACTGTGTTGAATTATTTGCCATTTGCCACCTCTGCTTTTCACCACTGTAACCTCATTCATTCAGTCAACAATGAAATTGATGCAATTGCAATTAATCCTCCTTATGGATCATGTGTGCTGGGAAGAAGAAGTAATGAAATATAGATAATAGCAGCACCTTTCATACAAAAAGGTTTTTGCGTCTGAAATCAAAACATAAGAGTGCATAAAAGGTAATGACAGTGTCTTCCTTTAATGCACAGTCATGCCACAGGAAAGTCCCGTAATTTGTCTCTGAGTCTTGTTGATACCAGAAGTAGGAATAGATAAATAAATAAAGAGGTGTAATCCCCATTAATCAAACCCAAAAGAAGTTTTAAAAATTCATCAGATTTTAAGCTTATGATTTACTGATGATTGCCTCACTTGCCACTTTGATTTTGAGGTATAACCAATGCCAAAACCGCAGGGCCCCGAACCCCCACAACTCTGTGAGCTGACCACATCAGACGTTCGCCCCTGATGTTTGGCAAACAGCAAAGCAGGCTGTGGGTTCTGTGGGACCTTGTTCCGGTGTGTGTCACTGAGACTTTAGGATCAGGGGAATGCTGCACTTGTTCTTCTCCAAATATCTGCTCATCATTTATTCATTTACAATCCCGAGATGGTTGCTAGCATCATCTGAGGATCCCATCATCTGAAATACTCTGAGTCTGTGTTGATCATCCATACACGGGCAAATGCATGCACACACATGCACTTTCTAAGCAATCCCAGAGGTCTTTTAATTTTTTGAGATGCTATTTTTAGAGAGAAAAATAATCGAGGTGGAAAGTTCCATCTGTCCAACACTCTTGTTCCAGCTGCTCCTTTTTAGCAGCAGGCGGAAAAGGGGGATGGGGGCAAAACCTATCAGATACAACTGACACAGACAAGTTTTTTTTTATTGTGAGCATTCTGCATCAATTGGAATTAGGGCCGAGGGGCATGTTCAACCTAGGACTGAGGCTGAAATACGTCTTTGTAAAAAACATAAAATCATCTGTGACTAAAAAAAATCAGGACCAAATTGTTCTTTTCAAGTTTGTCTCGGCTCTCTTTCGTTCTACTTTTTTTTTTTTTTTGTCTGGCGAGTATATGAGAACCAAACATCTATAAAAATCAACAGGCATTTATATAAACATGGCTCAGTGGGTTAATCATAGATTAATTCTTGATCTGTCTGTTATTTGATAGCTACTGCATCTGTTTTATAAAAGTTTTTCATCAAATTAAATCCAATTTCTTGACATTTGGATGTAAAATGACTCATGCGAGGACTTTAAACTGAGAGAGTGAGACAGTATGAATACCAAAATGGCCATCTTTGTAGTGTAACTTTGTTACTTGGTGCAGAGCAACAAGCCCTCAGAGGAAGTTTCGCCGAGAACTGATCTAAATACAGCTTTTGATGCAAACATGAGCCCCTTTCAATGAGAGACGCGCTGCTTTTTATTTCTTTGTTTTTTATGCCTCAGCACTCCTAATCCAATCTTGATCTTTCATTTCAAATTTACAACACGAGAGAAGCCTTGAGTCTAATCCAGACATTTCAGTTAGTTGAAATTGCACTGTTCATATTGAAAATGAAAAAAGAACAAAACAAAAACAGAATTAACAGGAAGTTTCAGAGTTACTATCTCCTCTTGAGATGAAATTGCTGTATTAACTCGACTTCCAGACTGGTCTCTGCAACACCCCTGAGGGTTGTTCTGGGTGAATCGTTAAGTTGGGGCATCATGGACAGAGCATTTCTGTGTTGCTGTTGCTGTTGCCTGGGGGGATGTGTTGTGACAACAACTGAGCCAATCGGTTTATCAGCAAGAGGCCTTTGCCGTTTCTTTTTTAAATTTTTTTTATCTAACTTTGACAAACTTAATCAGAAGTTTTCTGGCATTGAACATTTAAACTACCCAGTTTTTCTTCACTGTGCTGCCATGAGATGTTTTTATCTTATTCTTGAAGGACAGATGCAAAATTTATGGGTAGATGGCTGATGCCTGAGCTCGTCTCTTATCTTACTGCCTCCTTTCATAAATGCTGATGAATTTTGTTTTTCCGACTCTCTAAACTTGACTCCTTTCACTTCTTTTGAAGTCTAGCCTGGATAGAAACACATTCTGCAAGCTCATTGTATTCTCACAGAGACGCATTCTTTTATCCTGGTATATTCTGCGAAGTAAGAGAAACAAATCAAACTATTTAGATCTCAAAAAGTAATACCCCAAACAATCCAGTATCTGATAACACACTTAACAGATCAAATCAGTAACAAGTCTCACAAACAAAAATGTCACGGTCAGGTCACACTGGAAAACAAGCATCCACAACAGATACTGAATTTGCTGCATTCAAATTTATTTATAGAAATACTGGCAGCTACCAACCAGGATGCAAAGGGAGAGTGAGGAAAACTGTCCAGCAAATGCAGTTCTCTCTGAATAGGGCCATTTAATAGAACAGCTGAGCTTCATTGGCTGAGTGTTGTGCTCAGTTTTCAGCATAGCAGACCTCTGTTTTAACTCATTGTATTGGCTGATTGTTTTTTTTTTAATCCTGGATAAACTTGTGGGAGAAACTCAAAATGAAATGTGCGGATCTTTTTTTTTGTGGTTTACTTGACCTACATGCACTTCTTCTAGCAATAGGCGACTGTTAAATTACTATTTACAAAACTCTACTCTGGTGTCCTACTTAGTGAAGTTTGTATAACTGTCACACATGCAGTTCATCAGAAGAGTATGATGGGAGTATATTGGGATTTTTTCTTTACCGTCCCATCATCATGATGTTCATTGGTACAGAAGTAAACTTTCCTCCTTCAGAATCAGAATCAGAATCCTATTATATCCAAAACACTGACTCTGCCACTGCCAATGCTACTTTTAGATGTATGTCATGGAGACTCTTTTTATCATAAAGCTGTCATTTTGAGCCTTCTGTAGACAAATTCAAGTATACATCAGGAAACATAGAGTGTCAGGGCGAGGTGCTTTTAGGGTGAGCTGACATGGCGACTTATGGGGAAAAGTCATCCTAAATCAGTGCTTTAGCTTTTGTGGTAATATCGGGGATTTGTCAGCTTGATCCGAACATACAGCATTACGTTGTGTGTGTATGTGTGTATGTGTGTGTGTGTGTGTGTGTGTGTGGGGGGGGGGGGTGTCTTTGACAGGAAAGATTGAACCCGTCGCACACTTTAATTCCAGATACATCTGTTTTTGCAGAATTGATGCGGATGGATTGTAAATGATTAGTACACGTGATAAAAATATTTTAAAAAATCATAAGCCATTTTTAATGTTGTCCAAATAGCCTGGATTTCATTTGCTTAATTTTAAAAATAATTTTATATATTTTTTTGTTTTATATATCTTTTTTTTTGTTTAATTGTTGTTGATAACATGAACCAGAAAGATGTAAACAGTCTTAGTAAGCGCTGTGAAGGTACTGGAAGAAGCAGCAGTAGAAGTCGTAGTAGTAGGTGATCGGTTTGTTGACGAGCTGCCCTGTGACATAGAAGAAAAAGTGATCAAGTTGACCGTTACTTACCCTCCATGAAGACGATGACCACCCAGGCTATCCAGAGGTCTGAGTTGTGAAACTTCACCATCGTTCGTGTTTCATACACTGAGTTTTATCCCACTGCCTCCCTCTTTGTGAAATGTCAGTCCTGCTCACAGTTCCCTTGAAGAAAAGTAACTGATCCCTCTAGAGGCATGAGACATGAACGCAGTCCGGATGTTACGCAGCGTACACCATCGACTTTTCTCTAATTGAGCATTAAACCTGTGGAAAGTGAGTGGTGAGGAAAGCACCGCCGGCATTTGTATCAAACCCGCGTTTGTTTTCCTCCGGGCCCTTTTTTTTAACTCTTCCTATCCCTTCGTCTTTGGTGGCCACCGGTCACTTATTTCTTCCCTCGGCCGCTCCAGTCAATTTGTGCAAGCTTGCGATAACTCAATGTTCAACCGCTGTTGAACAGAAAAGATACCCGCTGTCTCCAAAAGTGAGTGAAATACTGAGCAAAAAGATGACATCTTTCCCGTCTGCGTTGAGAATTCGTCTGACGTGCCTTTGTTGCGCTCTGGGATAAAGCTTCTGCTCAACTGCTGAGGAGCTGAGGTTTGAGCAAATTACATGATGTTACAAGCAGACCACTTCCTGTTGCTGTTTTTCATAGTAAAATCTCAGGAAAGCAGGTCGGTTGTGTTGGTAGCATAGACTCATAGACTGTATGGACAACTTGGTTCCGCCTCCCGCCAGTATACGGATTTCAAGCCGAAAAACTCTCGTACTTCCGAGTTTTTTCTCCATTTCCTGAAACCAACATTGCGCAGTAGCTTTGTACGCATTTGGCAGGAGAGTCAACACAAGTCACTAGCTGTGTCCAAAATGGACCCCTAACCCCTATACATGTGACTATATGAAGGTTGGCGCCATTTTAGGGGTGTCTAAAACCTTAGTAATCAATTTCAGTGCCCTATATAGGCAACTCAAACTTTCCCATAAAGCATTGCAAAATGTAGTGACCATCTGATGGTCACTCACCGGTGGTGGGGAATCCCGTCATGCATTGATTGCATCATGCCATGTAGTGTCTGAAACCTCCGGAGATTGAGTTCACTACATAGTCAACTATATAGTAAAACCCCATATGGGGGTTAGCCCTAGCCAGTCTTACAGTAACTACATGTCAACATCGCAAGCAGGGGGGAAAAAAGATATTTTCTGTGTAACAAATACCGTATTTTCCGCACTATAAGGCGCACCTAAAAACCTCTAATTTTCTCAAAAGTTGACAGTGCGCCTTATAATACGGTGCGCCTTATATATGGACCAATATTGAGCCACAACAGGTCTCGCAACTACGGTAAGCAGCCGCCGACTTCATTTTCCCCTGTAGAAGAAGAAGCGCGCGGTGCATGCTGGGATATATGACTGCGCGAGGCGTGCCGTTTCATTTCCATTTGTGTGTTTATTTACCTCGGGGAAAATAATAAAACAGCTGTTTATTCATTTTGGGAGTGAACGGAGTTGTCAGAACGCTGATTTGTAATCTATTAATAAAGTTTGACTGACCTATATGACTGTTTTGTTGACATTCCCTTTAGCGCAGCTACATCTAATGGATGCATAACGTAACCCCAGCCTCTACTGTAGCGCCTATTCTATGCGCCTTATAATGCGGTGCGCCTTATATATGAACAAAGTTTTAAAATAGGCCATTCATTGAAGATGCGCCTTATAATCCGATGCGCCTAATAGTGCGGAAAATACGGTATCTAAAGTTTGTCCACAGCCCCATGAGCTTTGCTGGAGGAGGCGATTTATGACCTATACTGCAGCCCTTCACCTAGCGAGGAGGGAGACGGCGTCCATTCTATATACAAGCTATGGTTGGTAGCATAGACTATAGAAAGGTAGTCATCTGCCTCCTTGCTGGGCGAAGCCTTCACAACAACAGCACCCCCTGGTGACTGGTTGTAGTATAGGTTATAAATTGAGCTGTGGACAAACTTTTAAAATCAATTACACGAAATATGTATTTTTTCTCTCTTCTGCTTGCAGTGTTGACATGTAGCTTGTTGCTGGTTTGTGCTCAAGTCCCTTTTTTCTGTGCAGCTCCATTTTTAAAAGTTATACATACACTTGATACAGCCTTTAGATGTAAGAAGGTTGCATAGGTCATCCAGGGATACGCTGTTTAAGCAGAGTGTCATCGCAGTGACTCTCCCACCGAATGCTACTGTGCAAATGCCGGTTTTAGGAAATCTAAAAATGGAGAAAAGCAATTTGTCTCTAAATTCACACAGTGATGGGAGGTGCAGTAGTGTTGAAATATCATTGGGGAAAATGCTCAATAAGTGGATTATTTTTGGTAATAAACCGGGCCATAATCTATAATTAACCTATACATAAATTAATCACAGAAAAGAAAAGAGTGAAATTAGTAAAAGTTTAAGAGTAAAGGTGTTTTAAAGCCTTTCCACTTTTAAAACACTTCTGAAGACACACCTGTTCACTTTAGCTTTTGGGGAAGTACAGCTACTTTCATTGGGTCTTTTATTTATTTGCCATGTTTATCTATATTGTTGTTTTTATATGTTTTATGCTTTTATTGTTTTTACAGTTCTTATTGTTTTTTATTGTTTCTGGCTTTTTTTACTGTAAAGCACTTTGGTAGGCCACTGGCTGTTTTTACATATATAAATGAGGCTGACAATAACATTGACATTAAAATTAGGCAGATTTATGACTCTCTTGGGTGGTGCATCTCTGATAAATCATTGTCATCCATTCACAACCGCTTGATAGTTAGGAAAACATGCTGAACATATAATTGCCTTGTCTTTTTTTGTCTATCTGACAGAACGTCAATGTCGTTAAAGTGTAGCCACACGGCTGTCACTCTGTAATCTTCCAGTAGGCTATACCAGCCTCAAGGTAGGTCAACAAACGCTCTCCGCAATGAAGTTAATAGAATAATGTCATTCAGGACCACAGTCTTTTGGATGATTTTGAAGCCAGCTTTGCACACACCTCATATTTAGAAGCTGATATTTTCCACTTAAAAAACATTAAACATTCAGCTGTGCAAAGAGCAAGGGTGTGTTCATGAGGTGGGGGGTGGGGAGGCGATTGCATTGACCAGTCTTGTCAGGAAATTATCTTTTAATATGGCAGTGATCAAGTCCAATTGAAATCTGGAAGTTACTTTTATCTATATTTTATTTAGATAGCTACCTGTACCTACCTGCTATGCTAGACGTCTTACATTATAGATCTACTCTTCTGAATGCCATTAATGACATTGTTTAGTTTTTGCCATTTGACTGTACTGGCTGAAAATTTGGAAAACAGTTAAACTGGGAATCCCCGGCCCAAGGCATAAGCGAACTAAGCAGCTTCTTAGGGCCCCCCGGCCAGTAGGGGGCCCCCAAGAGAAATTTAAAAAATAAATACATTTTATATATACATCTATATATATATATATATATATATATATATATATATATATATATATATATATATATATATATATATATATATATATATATATATATCTGCTACGTATGAGTGATGCTTTCTGAACGAAAATAAAATAAAAACATTTTAGCGCTGCTGCTGATGTAGGCCTATGATTCTTAGTGCCGATATGTCAAAGCTCCGCTACCGTTATGTGCCTCCTGTCGTGCAATGTGCACTGAGCATCCAAAGCACAGGTAGTTGTGGGGCAAAACAATGTCGCAAAAAGGACATATCCTTCAGGAGCAGAGAAAAGAAAGAGGAAGAAGCGAAGAAACGCCAAGATAAAGGTATGTTTGCATGTCATGGAGTGTTAATCAGTGAGACTTGTCAAGGTGTGTGAATGATCAACAATCAATATTATTGGCAGAAATAGAGGGCCCCAAAATCAAATTTTGCTTAGGGCCCCATTGAGGCTTAGGCCTGCTCTGCCCCTTCGATTCAGGTCACAAAAATCCCACATTAGACCCCCTCTACAAAAATCTGTCTCTACTCAGCAGGCTTTTATTTTGTAGGTTATTTCCGCCAGTTCCTTTGACGGCCTGTGCGCGTCTGTGCGCCTTGATGGCGTTTAGCAGTGGACGACTGAGATGAGATAGAGCTCGACTGTTGCTGGGAGACCGCTGACGCCAGTGAAAAGAGGGAGAGAGAGAGAAAAGAGGCGATGATTAATATTCACAGAGATCATAAATAAATAAATGCATGATTTTGATTAACACTCTGAATAAAAATAAATACAGACACCTTCAGAAAAAAAAAAACAGAGTCGGCAGCAAACAGCAAATTACCTCGTGTAAAATATGCAACGATGTCGCTATGACTGTAAAAGAGTTATTACGACAATGGATGGGGTAAGGTGCCCCCTCGTGTTGGTGAAGATTATTGGAGTCAAAAGATGTGGTATTAGGAGCACTGTGGGGAGTTTTGCCCACCAAAGCCCCAGCCTCACCAAGAAGTGCACTGCGTAAATCCAAACTTGGCGACGCCAAAAGTTTGTTAGAATAAAAGAGGTAGAGCCTGGTTGAATTTATGAATGCAGGTAAAAGTTGACTTTGTGGACTCCCAGATTAATTGATAGCACCCCTAAGATTTAAGAGATTTATTTTAACATTATAACCATGTTTAAATGGGAAAAATGTCAAAACCATGTACAGTAGCCTTAATGATTGAAACGTTTCACTTCAACAACAAAAAACAGCTGCACCCCCTTGCCTCTAAAATTGTTTGATCCACCAGTCTCATTTCTTTACTGCTACCTCTCAATAAACACATTATCATTGTGGTGAGACTATTTGGAGTCACTGTCTCCTTGTGGACACTTGAGGGGGGTAGAGGACCGACGTTTGTTTTGAACTAATGACCTGATGACACTCACCTGTGTGGGAATGTGGGGCGTGGGCGTGGCTTTCAAAAGGGGATTGAATGGGCGGACACGGAAGAGAGAGAGAGAGACACAGCTGTCACCTGTGACAGAGACGTGAATAATGACAGAGCTCGCTGTCCGTGATTTTTAGTGGAGATGGTTACATAGAGGAGCGGTTGCTGCGTTAGGAGAGGATGTTTGTTGTCTGCTTTAGGTAGAGAGTGGGGGGTTAGTAGGTCCCTGTACTGGATCCACGGAGCTGTCTGCACACCTCACTGTACCTGTGTGCTCCTTCCTCACACCTACGCGCCGTTTTCAGCACGCCAGCTGTCGCGCTGTCTGCCTCCTCCAGAGATAAGAATACATAGATACGACATGCCCCTGTGAGCTGCGTGCCTGCGGCGAGGCTAAGCTAGTGGGGGCAACGTTCCCATGAAAGGAAATGCATGTACAGTAAAAATCAGTCACAACTTGCTCATTTCTCAACCGATTTTCATGCGCTTTACTTTATTGTCAACACCAAAACTTGTGCCAATGTGTGTCATATACTGTACAGAGGTTTCAATCGTTGGTGAACTTTCTATTTTTTAAGAAACAAATTCACAATAATGAATAATCAAATAAAAAAGAGTATTATCAAAAAGAAGGCTGATTAAATATGGAGTCAGAGCAACGAGTCATTCAGAACCTTTAGGAAGGTGGTGGGTGTACTATCAACAGTACTCTTGCACTCATTGAATTTGGTTTCGGTTATAGGCTAATACCAAGCCAAACGATACACCCAATTACTTTAATGATAGTATGATAATGATGGCTTATATGATGGTAACTTTTCTGTGTCATTCATTAAAATACATGTTGTACATTACAAAAATGCAAATTAGTTTTTATGAATGCACAAATAGAAATAGAAAAACATCTATTGGCACTGAGGTATGAGGTATAATAATGTTAATTCCTTCAGTTGACTGCTAAACTTGTTGCATAAACAAAAAATAGCCAGGAACTTTTTCAGGGCCAAAGCTTTATAAGCATTTCATTTGTTGTAAGCAAACTAACAGAGGAAGTGTTACTTCCCTGAAAATAGAGTCCAGTGTAACGCTAGCATGGATACAAGAAGGGTCCCTCTACATGTAGAGCTTTTATACATTTTACGGATAACAGGACGGAAAAAAACTGACAGGAAGGTACTGGCACAATAGATTTTGATGCAGCTTCTAATCTTATAAACCATGATTTATGACACATAAACTAATCTGTATATGGCTGTAAATGTCCCTCTATTAGATGTAATTTTACTTTTCTAAAATTTAAAAAAAAGGTAAATGGTACCCTGTCCAGTAATAAGTCTCTACAGTTGAACCTCAGTTCTAAACCAGTTGTCAAACATTTTCAGTCCAAGTGGATTTCAGCTTTTTCTCACACCATTTTCATCTTCTTTTTTCATCTAATCAAACTTAATTAGTGATAGGAATATCATTCAATCTAATAATGAATTCTATACAAACATAGGATTAATAGACAACACTGATATCTTGTGGTGAAGACAAAAAACAGTTTACTTGAAGATTTTTATGGTAATGATATCACAGGGACAAATCATGATACAATTATTCCTCTGGTAAAATAACAAGAGTGTAACAGAGCAGCCCAGTTTCACAGGAAGCATCATTTCTGAAATGACAAAAACAATTCTGTTACTTTAGAAGGGGAGCAGGATTATTCAAAGCACAATTAAAATACCACAGCACCTTTTCATAGTCAAGATTCCTTTATGACACACCCCTTCTCCTATACCCTAGGCGTGCCTACTCTCTGTTTTGCTTAGAGTAAGAAACATTTGCATTGGTCTACCAAGGTGTAACACTGCTTTCATTGAATGAAGCCTAATGCCTTGGCTTACAGTGACAGGAAAGCAAAAGTTGATATACAGGAATGGACAATAAACAAAAACGGCAGCACAAACACAGAGAGGGGAGTGGTGTTGAGTCTCACTGACTGGCACTGCCGGTCTGACTTGTTATAGGTGTTGCATAATCACACCAAACATTTAAACAGGGTGTGACAGGTATGTTACCTGCAATCTCTTACACCTTGACTTCAAAATATACTGGGACTGACAACACATGACTTGTTAAGAGGGAAGGTAGAGAAAGAAAGAGCGAAATAAAGAAAGACATCTCTAGGGCTCTAATAGAGTTGTTGGAATAGAGGTCTAGAAATGAACTTCAACTGTTGGCCTACCTCATCACTACTGGAGGAGGAGGATGATGAGGATGAGGAGGTGTTACTCCCCCCGCCCTCCTTCTTCTTCTTCTTCTTCTTCTCCTTCTTCTTCTTTGTCCCATGTTCATCTTTGTCACCCTTCTCCTCGTCTCCAGATTTGCTTTTGTGAGACTTTGACTTTTCTTTGTCTTCAGATTTGTCTTTGTCGGACTTTGACTTTTCCTTGTCTCCAGATTTGTCTTTGTCGGACTTTGACTTTTCCTTGTCTTCAGATTTGCCTTTGTCCTAAAATTGGCAATTAATTTCAATAAATCTGTATTTTTCTTATCAGATTACTTAGCTTTGAGTAAACAACTGAATTAGGTACATTTGGGTGATGTATATTTACAAGAAAAAAACAACTTTTAGATATTGACTGACAAGAGCCCCCACCTGCATAAACTACATGGGTATCTCACTTGTAATTTCCACAATGATTGCCCTTACCTTGTCTTTATTCCAGGGCCAACTGAATTCATCCTTTTGAGCATCTTCTTTTTTCACCTCTCCTTCCTTATCCTTATCTAAAGCTGCATTCATACAGAACAGATGCAAGATGATTAGCTTTCAAGGATTGAGTCAGAATGAATGTTGCATTTAGATAAGAACAACTTACAAGCAGGATCAGAATAACAATCAGAAAAAAGGTTAGAAAAGTAGCACACTTTCTCATTTTTGATTTTTACATAGGCCTTCATTGATCATATATCAGATACATATTGGATATTAAAGAGTCCATGTTGCTGGTCTAAACACCTGCCCAAAAAATAAAGTCAACCAAGATCCATGAGTGTAAGAATCACATTATAGCAACCTGACACCAATAACATGAAGTTTAGCCTACCTGACTCCAGATTAAAATCCATTTTTATCCCAGTAAGTGCACCTCTCTCGTCAAGTTACCACAGGAACTGACAGATTCTTTATAAACACACGAGGCCTTGATTCACCGCTCTTAAACCACACCCCCTCACTCACTCACTCACTCACTCACTCACTCACTCACTCACCAACCAACATTTGACGCTTGAGGAAAGAATGAGTCAGTGGAATGTGCTTATTTATGGTTTAATTACATCTCAGTCTATTGCTTAGTTTCAAAGTCCTCTTGATTATTTGATTGCAACCTGGGTCAGCCTAACACTTTGGTAGGCTAAACAAATTCTTCAGAATTTTATATCCAGGTTTTACTGGCTACCAGTGACATTGCAAGCGAAAACACAAGCTAAGCTATCATGAAGTATTCTGTACTCACAGAGCATACAGGGTGATGGGATCAGGTAGGGTGATAATAGGTTTGGCGGGTAAAGTCAATAGTTCTCTTTTTAGGAATTTTAAATTCTTAAAAGTGTCAAATCTTTAGTGTGACAATTCATACTTGCACGAGTGTCCTACTTTAGTGTCCTAAAATAGGGTAACAATGTTCATAAAATGTTACACTCAAAACTACAGACATGATATGGATTTTATTGATAATGTGAGGTACTAGTGATGTAGATAAAATTTCGAGATAAATGAAACTAAGACTGATTTAGACTGTCTGGAGAGAAAACTATGTTTAGCTCCATAGTTGTAACAGGATGTGGATGATTTTAAACCACATAATGCTGACTGTTCAGGACTTTTGGGGCTCACACCAGGAATAGATTTTCTATTTTGTTGTTTCATTCTAGGAATGTGATTGTGGACTGGTTTCAAAACATACAGGTACTACATAATAAGGGGTAATGACTTTCCTATCCATCATTAACTTATCTTTTTTGACCAGGACAGATGATGTACTATCACTTACAATGCTTCTAAGACACCCTCTCTACAAAAGTCAAATTTTAATAACCATGTGGAAGAAATGCTTGTCAAGGGGTAAATTAATTTATAACACTATCATCATCAAAACTAGCTATAACCAAAAAAAAATATACACAAAATCTGTAAACAAAAGAATGAATCCAGTGTAATAAAATTTGTTTTAATTAGCAAAAAAGCAATTTAGATTGCGTCATGATAGTAACCAGACATTTTAGCCTAAAAATGTGCTAATTTTATGAAAATAGACAAACAGACATAATTTTAGAATAATTATCTCAAGTATCTAGAACACCTCTCTGATGTTATGATACTTATTGACCTAGTAACCATTGTATCACCAGAAAACATGCCAGAAACATTTGGATTTGTTATGTGTGAGTCGTTTTTGTTTATTTGATCTTGTCAGAGCATCACAACATACAACGTTCAACCATATCATGGGAGCAAAGCCATTTCATAATAAGGTCAAATTTTGATCATGGCATCAATTTATTGGTAGGGCCTTGGGCCTCTCAGTAGGTCCATTGAGGTGAGGTGAGAGGTGGTGGTGGAACGGGTCCCTCCATCTCCAACCCTTCTTGGACTCCCCATCAACGACTCCATGGGGCTGGGAGGTCTACGACCTGCGCCCCTATCTGCAATACTCACAGTGGAGCCGGAGGCACTGGGTACTGGACCAGTACTCACAGTGGAGCCGGAGGCAGTGGGTACTGGACCAGTACTCAAAGTAGAGCTGTAGGGAGTGGATACTGGACCAGTACTCAAAGTAGAGCTGTAGGGAGTGGATACTGGACCAGTACTCAAAGTGGAGCCTGAGGCAGTGGGTACTGGACCAGTACTCAAAGTAGAGCTGTAGGGAGTGGATACTGGACCAGTACTCAAAGTAGAGCTGTAGGCAGAGGGTACTGGACCAGTTCTCACAGTGGAGCTGGAGGCAGTGGGTACTGGACCACTTCTCAAAGTGGAGCTGGAGACAGTGGGCACTGGAGCAGCTGGAGTACTCATAGGATCCAGCCTCACAGTTGGTTTGGAGGGGAGGGATGCATAAGAGACAACAGTCCCAGGCTTAGAGGTGCTGCCACCTGGAGCCAAAAGTCTTCTACCGTCTGAGCCAGAGGTCTCCGTCTTAGGTTCACTACTTTTACCAGCATCAGGGCTGTCCTAGAATGACAACATCACTCCACATGAAGAATACATGAACGAAAAGAAACTCTGCAAACATTAAACTGATGGCAGGTCATTACAGTGGTTCCCTTAGCTGAAGAAAATAGCATTTGAACTTTAACGTAATAAGCCTTGGAGTCACAAGTATTCTCTTACACGTTAATATTATTATCATGAGAATAAACTTACAGTTGTTTTATCCTTGTTGGTTTGGTTTTCTGATGATTCCGGACACTAAGGGCCACAAACAAAGGAAAAAATAGTCATGTATCCTTGACCAGACTCATAATCTGCTGTTATTTTACCTTTACTGAGAAACTAACCTTTTTATCCTCCTTCTTGGCTTTTTTTTCCTTTATCTCTCCCTTGTCAGTATCGCTGGAACTATCAGATGAACTGGAAGAACTAGAGCCTGAGTCCTGAACAAAGACCAAACAAACTCTGTGTCATCATTATTCATTTATGGCATTGTTTATTTATTTAAACCAAAAAGTAGCATAAGTGTGTTCCTCTAGACTTTAACTCATTACCTTCTTCTTTTTCTTCTTTTTGTCCTTCTTCTTTTTCTTCTTCTTCTTCTTATCATCATCACTACCCGAGGAATCTGAGTCCTTAAATTAAATATATATCTTGGGTAAATGTGTTGTACTGCTGCAGTTGTTATAAACAATGTCAGATTTTAGGAGGCTGTGCTAAAAATACAACACATCTGTTTACCTTTTTCTTGTCTTTCTTTTTCTTTTTCTTCTTGTCCTTTTTCTTCTTCTTTTTGCCATCACTAGAAGAATCGCTAGAGGAGTCGGAAGAAGAAGAAGACTCCTAAACAAAAAACAAACAAACAAACAAACAAACAAACAAAAACAGTAAGTAAGTAAGTAAGTAAACTTTCACACTTATCACAGACAAAAGAGTCACAAAGTGCTTCACATAGACAAAATAAAAGATGTACATACAAATTAAAAGGCCAAGACAACAACATTGAAACAGTCATAGTAGCCCCAAAACAATTAAACAAATGCCTGAGCAAATAAATACGTTTTGAGTTGGCTTTTAAAAGAGTCAACAGAGTCAATTAAGCACAGAGACAGAGGAAGATCATTCCAAAGTCTGGAAGGATCGATCTTCTCTGGTTCGAAAACGAGTGCGCAGAACCCTCAGTAGATTCTGATCCACGGACCTCAGAGCCCAGGAGGGGGTGTAAGGCTGGATCAGATCACAAATACAGGATGGCGCCTGACCATGCAAGGCTCTAAAAGTTAGGGCCAGAATTTTAAAATTGATCCTAGAGAACATAGGCAGCCAATGTAGAGCTTCAAGAATAGGGGATATGTGAGTCCTCCTATTAGCGCGGGTTAGAATTCTTGCTGCAGAGTTCCAAGTCTTTTTGCAACACCATTTTCCTAAGCGTAGCGACAACAGGACACAATCATTTTTATTCTGTGAAATGTCTCATACAGACAGTTGTCTTTCACCCCCTCATCAGGTGATTCAGTATTTAGGGGTTTCTGCATGGCAACATTTTGTCTTTTAACATTTTTGAAACTGTTAAAATTTTTCTTTATCTATAAAATTTAAGACTGTACATTACAAAATACTCCACAACTTCATGCTCTTGAATCAATCAGATTCCAGGTATGCATACAAATGAATGAGATGTTTTACCTTTTTCTTCTTCTTCTTCTTATCCTTCTTTTTCTTTTTGCTTTTCTTTTTCTACAAAAAATAATAATAACATTCAGCACAAAGCATTTACCTCTATTAACTTAGGATTAAGATAGTTAAGGAATCTCACCTTGTCGTCATCACTATCAGATGAAGAGGAAGAAGAGGAAGAACTAGAGCAAGAGCTAGAAGAAGAGCTGTCGTCCTGGAACACAAAGCAGCAAGTTCGTCAAAAAGCAAGTTCTTGTGTAGAAATCAGCCACCAATACATGAAATCATTACAGCACTAAAAAACTGAATACATGTTTAGTTTACTACCTTCTTCTTCTTTTTCTTCTTCTTCTTCTTTTTGTCATCATCACTACTTTCAGAAGAAGATGAAGATGAGGAAGAAGAACTTGAATCCTGTACAGACAGACAGACAGACAGATAGATAGAAGTTGAAAAAATTTAAAAACAAACAAACAAACAAGCAGGAAAAAAAAGAAAAAAACAAAGGGGAGGGTAAAGAGTCAAGAAATAAAGACCACTAATCGAAAAGTATCATTCAGAAGTGAAAACGAAACATTTAAGGGTAATTGAGAACTCCACCTTCTTCTTCTTTTTTGTCTTCTTCTTCTTTTTCTTCTTCTTCTTTTTCTTTTCATCTTCATCGGAGGAGGATGATGAAGAGGAAGAAGAACCTGAATCCTGTACAGACGGACAGATAGATAGATAAATAGATATATAGAAGTTGAAAAAATGTAAATAAATAAAAAAAAACACACAAAAAAACAAAAACAAAAAAAACAAACAAAGGCAAAGGTAAAGAGTCAAGAAATAAAGACCACTAATCAAAAAGTATCATTCAGAAGTGAAAATGAAACATTAAATAGTAATCAACAAGTCTACCTTCTTCTTCTTTTTTGTCTTCTTCTTCTTCTTCTTCTTCTTCTTCTTTTTCTTTTCATCTTCATCGGAAGAGGAGGATGAAGAGGAAGAAGAACTTGAATCCTGTATAAAAGAGATAGATAGATAGATAGATAGATAGATAGATAGATAGATAGATAGATAGATAGAAGGTGAACACACATATTTTTTAAAAACAAATGGAGAGGCAAAGGATCAATAAATGAAGACCACTCAGTTCAGAAGTGAAAACAAAACATGAAATAGTGTTAAACAAGTCTACCTTCTTCTTCTTTTTTGTCTTCTTCTTCTTTTTCTTCTTCTTCTTTTTCTTTTCATCTTCATCAGAGGAGGAGGATGAAGAGGATGAAGAGGAAGAAGAACTAGAGTCCTGTACAAAGGTAAAGAAAAACAGATCAACCTAAATATTTTTACATCCACTGTTTCTGTTCATTTATCAAAATGAAATAGTGGTCTAATTTGTTTACTTTTTTCTTCTTCTTCTTTTTCTTTTTCTTGTCGTCACTATCACCCTCATCCTCACTTTCAGAGGATGAAGAAGAGGCAGAGTTGCAATCCTGTTGGAGACAGACAAATAAAAAGAGTGAGGTGGAGAAAGAGAGTAGAAAGTCAGAGAGCGAGGAAGAAAGAAAAAATTAAGAGAGGAAGAGAACGAGTAAAATGGAATAGTTCACTTTGATAACGCTGAGTTATAACCAGGTAAGTTGGTATATTTATGATATATATATATATATTTTAATGCATTCAATTACTGGCAGCATGTTTGCAGCTCTCATTACCTTTTTCTTCTTTGTCATCTTTTTCTTCTTTTTTACTCCTTCTGTCCCTCCTTCTCCTTCATCATCACTCAGATGACCTTCCTCAGCAGCATCAGGATATCCTGACATTTCTCCTGTTAAACAGAAAGAAATATTACAACAACAAAACTAAATCTTTCAGTAACACAAAACAGATAATGCAATTGTTCAAGCATCACAGCGAAACACCTACCAGGCAACGTAGAGGAGACTTTCCCATCTTCTGTAGCTTGTAATGCTTTCTTGGCCTGTCATTGTAAAAACAAGGTAATCATTCTATGCACGTGTTCATTATATTGTATCTGTGGGCATGTATACAATGAGTAAAAGTATTTCACCTTATCAGCATCTTTTTCCTCCTTTTTAACTCCATCCGCACTAACTCCTACAAAACACATTATACATCAGTACCATGGACGGATTTGGACGCAGAGATAATTTTCTCTTAACTTCAAAGGGGAACCGCTTACCAGCCGCTGACACAGCACTAAGCTCATCCTTTGTTTCATCCTGTGAAAAATCAAAAATATTGCCAAGTCTGGGTCAGTTTTAAACACTGCGAATGCTTAGTTCCCTGTAAAATCTGTGCAGAAATGAACACAATACATGTCAATACTTCTATACAACAGATTCTGTTTTGAGCACATTTCTTCACCCCACAATCAAACACATTTGGAATAATGTTGTTTAAAAAAATGGGTGAGTTAGATTTCAGGGTCTTTATTTCAACATTTATTACTTTTACATGACCTTACAGGCCCCATTAGCTACTGGAGCAAATTCATTGTCTCTTTTACCATGGTGGGGATGTATAGTGCTTTATAGTTCTACAATTAACCAGGATATTGTTAACGTTTAGTGCATATACCAATAAATATTGAATACCCCATATTCAGAAAACAAAGAAGGCAGATGTGACCTGACTCAAGATTCCTGCATTTAGTGACTCTGCCCCCACCCCCCTTCAAAAAAAGGTTATATGGAGGCTATAGACTCTTAAAAAAAAAAAAGAATACAAGAAAGGGAATATGACCTTTTCTTTATCATCTTTCTTCTTCTTCTTCTTATCCTTTTTCTTCTTCTTTTTCTTTTTCTCATCATCACTTTCAGATGATGAAGATGACGAAGATGAGGAGGAACAGCTGGAATCCTACATCAATGGAAAAGAAATGTCTTTATCTTAAATTAAAGTTGAACAACAACTAGCAGGAGGAATTGGTATTTTAAATGTGTTCTACAGGTTCAAGGTATAAACTACATATCAAATGTAAAAGGCAGCTGGCTTCTTTAGGAAGTTAGCAAGAGAAAATATGTCCACGTTGGCTCACCTTTTTCTTGTCTTTCTTTTTCTTCTTCTTTTTATCCTTTTTCTTCTTCTTTTTCTTCTTGTCATCCTCAGAGTCAGAAGAAGATGAAGATGATGAAGAGGATGAGCTGTCTGATGAAGAAGAGCTGGAGTCCTGTGAAGGAACGATCAGGCCATTCAAATTAAAAAAAAAACTTGTATTAATTTTTATCAGTTTTGTTTACACAGAGGAGGCACAGATAGAGCAGACGTCCCATCAGTTTGAAACCTGTTATAAAGTCAATATTGGGGATGACCAGATAGAACAACTGAAAGAACGGACATCACTTTCAGGTGATGAAGATGAGGAAAAGAAATGTCTTTATCTTAAATTCTAACTATAGCAAAAGCAAAAAATAATAATTTGCTTTTAATGCAAATATGCCATGAAAAATTATCTTTTAATCCAAACGTTGGAACCAACTGAAACTAACATAAGGAATTAGTATTCAAAATAAGCTCTTGTGTCCAGGTTCCTGGGTTAAACTCCATGTCAAATTTAAGTCTCATTTAGAGGCTACAAACTTTTTATATTCAAAAGCAGCTGGCTTCTTTGGAAAGTTATCAAAAGAAAATGTCCACAATATCCCCCACCTTTTTTTTGTCTTTCTTCTTCTTCTTCTTTTTATCCTTTTTCTTCTTCTTTTTCTTTTTGCCATCATCAGAGTCAGAAGAAGAGGAAGATGATGAAGAGGATGAGCTGTCTGATGAAGAAGAGCTGGAGTCCTGTGAAAGAGAGATCAGGCCATACAAATCTAAAAATGTATTGTATTATTTTGATCAGTTATGTTTACACAGAGATGACACAGACAGAGCTGACATCCGACACTGGATGCACTTATACTATCCCATCAGTTAGAAACCTGTTTATTGGTGATGACTGGATAGAACAGCTGATAAAAGACAGGCTATGTAAGAGGAAGAGAGTGGGGGGTGGCGTGCAGCCAAGGCAAATGAGTTGAGGGTTGAATGAGAAAAGGACAGTGGGGTCTATATAAAGGACTTAATTTGCTTAGCCTGGAGTTGGACTTGCAAAAGTTCTGGATTTAATTTAGAGATTAATGTGATAAAGGTCTAGCTCTAAAGTTTCCTGATGTGTAATAATAATAATGCGTTGTATTTATAGGCGCCTTTCAAAGCACTCAAGATGTAGTCTTCATGTTGAAAATGCGTGGCATACCTTTTTCTTCTTCTTCTTTTTATCTTTCTTCTTCTTTTTGTCTTTCTTCTTCTTTTTCTTCTTCTCATCGTCTGATGAGCAAGGATCCTGAGGCAGAAACAGGAAAATGTTTCATATAAAAGTTGGTGGTAAATCAAAGTTTACAAAGGAGTCTCTGGTGGATTCCTCACTTACCTCTTTCAACTTTTGAATTTCTACAGTCTGCTCTTCCATCTGGCCATCAGGACCTTTGACATAAAAAGTGCATATAAGTGTCAATTGTGCGATTAATGTATAGAAACATCAACATGGATTATTAGCTGAGAGGCATCTTGGGAGCCAAATAGTCAGCCTACATATATATCATTGTTGTAGCAGATAAACATGGCTTGATTGGACAGTCATGAGGTTTCCATGTTTTTCATCATTTTTTTATTGCTATATTAATCAAAATAAAAATCTATCACCGATGTGAACTAATTCACAACTTTGAAGACAAGGAAAAATGTTGAATGAAAAGTTTATAAAAATGAAATTTTAAAGATCTGATTGACTTACCAGCCTGGGATATGACCACGCTTTCCCAGACATACTCTTTCTTCTCATCTTTCTTTGCCTTTTTCTTCTTTTTCTTCTTCTTCTTCTTCTCATCCTGCAAATGAACATTTCTTATTTGAGTAAAAGCTATAAAAAAGGTTCTTCTTTTCTGTACATTGGGTGTGAAGAGTGTTTGAAAAGTGAGTGTAATATTTACTCAATTAGTCATGAACAGAGATCAGACCATCTGGGTCGGGTGTCACCAGTAAGTTAAACACTTGAAATTTTTCTATCCTCGGCACACCTCTGTAGTTTTTCTGGTCAAACAACCCTCTATGTACTAAAGACAGGTCCTACCAGAACATCATGGCCTCAAATTCAATCTCAGGCCCTTAGCTGCATCATTTTCTAACCATTCAAGCAAATACAGCCAAAAATATTCCTTTCAAAAAACACACTTGACACTTTGAGTTGCACATGCATTCAAATGATGACTACACTCATATACAATAAATGTACGACATGCATCAAGAACACAAAAACACACATAGAATGACTTTCCTCCAAATAAAGCTACTCGGGACTCTATTATCATGACTCTGTGTGTTCAATTCAAAAGGCAGGTCACATATTGTTGTTGGGTGTGTACCTTACTGGTCAGAAACTATTGCCAACTAGGGAGGAGGTACCTCCACCCAGAGCTCGAGGTGAAAGGTATTCTAGTGTTGTCAATTTGTAGTATCTGGTGGCCTTGTCAGGGGTTAAAGGTTTTTTATTATGCAAACTTTATTTTTGTCCCCGGTTCCTCCCGGGTTTTCAGATTTTCTGACCATGCAGACAGAAGACTAGAAAAAAAACGCTGTTACCTGATTGCAGTCACATAAAGCTGCAAAAACAGGGAGTGGATGATTTTATACTCCTTAGTGTGTAAAAAACTGTTGATGAGATTTCCTCCACACTTGTCAAAACACTACAAAAACTCAGTCTTTATGTTTTCAGGTTTGCTTTGTCAATATCCTCTGCTTAGGTGATGTGATAGCCTGAGGAACTAACAATCACAGCAGACAAGCTGATCAGAAATTGTTCATACTTATATTGTTTAATCTAAAACTAGAGGTGAAAGAGCTTTCTCCATCAGAGCTCCTCGACTTTGGAACGACCTGACAAAGAGATAAGGCGTGCAGAGGCAGTTTTACAGACTCGCTTTTATGTGATGCCATCTTTTCCCTTTTTTCTTTTACCTCTTATTTCGACTTAGTATCCTTTTAGCCTCTGTTTCACTTATAATCTTTTCTTATTTTACCTTTTAGCCCTTTGATTGATTTTATTGTTTTTTTCTGCTCATTTTTGTTATTCCATTTTATCATTAATATTACCATCATTATTTTTTTATTCTGATTTTATTATCATTATTAATATCTTTTTTTATATTTACTATCCAGTTTCCTGCTTTCTACCCCCCTTTTTTTATTACATTTCTTACCTATTTCATGTTTTTATTTTGGTCCTCATGGTCTCATTTTATGTTGTAGGCTTCCTGTATTGTCTGGGTTTCTAAAGACAAATAAAATTGGCTTTCAATACGGAGGCCTTGTTTTTAACTGAGCTTTTGTTTTTATTTGTTTTTATTTCCATGTGTTGATGTTCTGTGCTTTGCAACTGTTTGTCAAAGCACTTTGTAAACTTCTGTTTTTAAAAGTGCTATAGAAATAAAGTTATTATTATCATTATAATATTATTATTATACTTGTGGCAGAGAACTTAACGTACATGTGCCTCAGGGTAAGTGTTTCTATAAAACAATCATATCTACAGTCTAATTAATCTTCAGCTTCAGCTGACAAAATATTGAAAGCTTTATGTCAAGGTTTATGTCTCTTTCAAGTGATTAAAGTGTTGTGTAACTTGTACAAAATATCAGCAGTATTTTCACCATATCTGCCATACCCACAACTTACCTCACTGTCACTTTCTGAACTGCTGCTAGAAGAAGAGGAGGAGGAGGAGGAGGAAGATGAAGATGATGATGATGAGCTTGAATCCTGTTAAGAGAGAAAGTGATTTGTAAAATTCTGTTGACAAGGGATAAAAAAAAGGCTCTAATGAAATGAGTCACAAAAACAGGCTACACAAACAGCCCGGAGAGAGTCTTTTGTATCGCCGCCGTAAGAATGCGGTGTAACTCGCAATAAAAAGGAGGGGCCTCCTCAAACTCTCAGCAACAAGTAAAAACACTTCACTAGGAACCGTTTCAGCAAAACAACACAATGAATCACATAGACACACCCGTTCAAGCTTTGCAGTGAGACACCCAATGCAAAAATGCCTGTAGATCTATGCAGTATGAATCAATGAGACTACATGCAGCTGTCATTGCACTTGCATACTTCTGTACAGAATCTGGGACAAATAAATGAGGAAAACAAAGCAACCTGTCTTAGGCTGTTGTGTGGTGAAATGACTTCTTCTTAGTAGACTTAAGTGCACTGTTTACCTGTTCTAATGCAACCCATTCAATCAGATTTTACCTGTGTTGCTGCACAGATCATCTTGATTAATATGCCAAATAATAAAGAATTTAATTGTGGGTATGTACATAAGACACAAACCTTCTTCTTTTTCTTCTTCTTCGATTTCTTCTTCAGCTTCTTCTTCTTTTTCTTTTTGGAACACTCATCCTCACTGTCCGAGGAGGACGGAGAGCTGTCAAATGAGTACAGCTCCTGGTGAAAGACAAAAAGTAGAAGTGCAGTGACAATTAATGGTCTTAAGTGGTTCTTAATGGATACAAAAATATGAGGTCCCGTGAATACTTGGTGTTCGGGTAAGATGTGCACCTTTTATTCAAATCAGTTTTCAAATTTCTCTACAACTTACCTCGTCATTTCGTGGTTCTGGCTCCTGTCCAGGCTTGCCAATCTTGTCATCCCCCACTATGCTTATTTCCACAGGCTTTGCAACGGGCTTTGCAACCTCATTTCGAGGCTGCAAACTACCAGGAGGGGTGGGTGCTGGGACCTGGACACCTTGAACCCCTGCTCCTCCTAAGGCAACCAAATGAAAGTGGGATAGCAAATGGTTACATCTGCAAATAGATACCAATTCATGTGATCTCCTTTTGAAAAATGAGAATCCATGAATTCAGATCAATCAGTGACAAGCATTGTTAGAGCAGTCAGCTAAGGTTGCAACCTAGTTTTCCTAAGTCGTTGCATCGCATCAAGCAAACTCAAACTCAAAGGCAGCACATGAGCAAGACATCTGCGTTTAAACATGGGGAAAACAGAATACTAATGCATGTGAATTCAAGCTTTTGGATATTCCTTTTCACTTCTCTAACAGAGTCATTACTATCATTTGGAGAAGTGCCACACCCTTGAACACACACATACACACACTCAATCACTCTGTCTGTCTTTCTCTCTCACACACACATATAAACACAAAACAAGAAGTTTTTAGTTTTTAAGAACATCCTTAAAACTGTTGATTTTAAGCTTTGAACCTGCAACAATTATTAACCTACCTACCTAAAAGAAACTTCAATTAAATCCTCTCTCCTCAAATAAAAGACCTACCTCTCTAAAACATGACCAAAAAAAGCAACAAACCTTTAGGGAGGGTGGACTCCATATTTGTCGCAACCTCCCCTGTCCAGGGACAAGTCAACCTCACAGACCCACCTCAGAACTTTTATGTCAAGGTGTGTAGCATTCCATTTGTCCAAAGGTGGGGAAGTGAGATGTTGTGTGAAGTTTGCCAAAATAAAAGAGACTTCCTATTACAAGTTTCAAAATGAAACTCTCTGTCAAGCAGGACATGTGCCAATAGTGCAAATATAAGCACTTCATTGTGTGCTGGCTTCCCTTGTTTTATTAATAACAAGTTTTTTTCCTGTGATATTGTAACTATAGTAGACCACTTTTATTTATAACAGTCTACTTTATTTTGAAAGAAACAACACCATACACCCAGTGTTGTGGCTGTAATCATCAGTTTGTCAGGCGTGTTCAGCCAGGTTAAAGCACCTACCCCAACAGGTAATGCTTGTTTTACTACAGGAGTTTCATACATTACTGAAGGGGTGGAAATAGCTTATAAATAATGTGGTTAAAAGGTAATTGATGTTAGCAAAAATGTTATAATCGATTAGATAAATGGCGCACCTTGAGTGGTTATATCACCTTTAATTTCAAATGCCCTATTTTAATAATGTGGATTGATCTGAGTTGAGGTGGGTACTTCCTTATTATCTATGAATTGTATTACAACTTAAAAAAATAACATAATTCACTCTGGAGCGTCTCTTCGACCCCTCCTCTCCCCCCTCCAGGCAGTAGCTTCAGCGTATCTGTCTTGTCAAAAACAGACGTTTTGTTCTTTACAAGATTCCGTAGTTTAACGACAAAGTAAAGTTAGCCATTGTTAGCAGGGATACCGCAGATTTCCGGAAATTACACTCTGTACTCAAAATTGAAGTAAAGTTATAACTTCATACACAAAATATAAAGGTTTAAAAACACGTTTTAAGCTATATCTTACATAAATGAGAATGTTTATGACAAACGCAAACGGGCTATGACGTTCAAAAGATGACACGTAGTCTCTTACAATGATATTATTTTGAAATCCACCCGGAAGTCACGCTTATAAAAATGTCTACTTGATAGCTCTGTTTAGAAGTAGCCGAAGACGCTGGGAAAATACCATATAGTCATTGTTTAATTAAACTTACTTTATCTGAAACCGGCTTCAAAGCACAGATAGAGAACGGAAACATGGCACTCTAGGTCGTCAACATTTGATACAAACATGTCATGGACCGCTGCTTTGTTGTGAAACTTTTTAAGGACTGAGGCTGCTAGTGTCCATGGATACTATTCAGGATTTCTTGGTCAGTCTTCGAGGAGTTAAACGTCAAAGGGAGATATGACAACTAGTTTAATGGTGGTCCTGTCAGTCTGAAAAGACTGACTGATTGTCGACATGTTAAACCAAACGATGTCCCCACTGCTGACAGTGACTCTACTTGTCATGCTTTGGGTCAGGTTGGTTAAGTGCAGTGACTCCGAGTACCCCGGGCCACTCTGTGACAACGGAAAGGTAAAGTTTGTGACTATATCGTGTATTTAAGATGTCCATATCACTGATTTTATTGCTACTGCTTGTCCACTCAAATCAACTCAAAATTCAAAATGTGCTCATTTTATCATTTTTTTTTTTTTTTTGTGTATGATAGATATTTTTGGAACGGGACCTACCTGCTAGTACTGTGCATTGGAACTGTCCGGTGTCACTGTGGCCTGCAGTGCCAACTCAGGTAACTATGGAAACAAAAAAATACCACATGATGAAACCCTGCTTCATATTTTCCCAGTCTACCTGGTCCAGGTAAGTGGGGTACACTCATACCTGATGAAACTGGTACCAGGATGAGAAATCAGTTGTGGTAAATCCTGTTAAACTGTCTATTTACTACTGGTAAATAATGTATCATAATCTATCAATTAATCAATCAGCCTTAATATAGCAGGTCTACAGACAGGTGAAGTCTCTCTATCACACCGGTCAGCTGGATATCAGGGATATGTTTGTAAGCAAATCAACTGGTATAAAAAAATTAAAAAAAAAAAAGATTATCTGGAAACAAATATATAGTTTCTTTTTATTTCATAAGTTGAATAAAATAAAATAATAATAAGAAAAAAAAAAGATTATCCACAAACAAATGTATAGTTACTTTTTATTTCATAAGTTGAACAAAAATACGAAGAAAAAAAAAATTATGTGGAAACAAATGTAAAGTTACTTTTTATTTCATAAGTTAAACCAAAATACACACCATAAAAAAAAACAATAATAAAAAAATTGGGGTTAAATCTTCGAGTGGAATTGAGAGACTTGTAGTTGGCTAGAAAAAGCTTTTGCAAGCTGTGAAATCTGTGAAAGTGGGTCTTTTGAAGTACTGACTGTGTAGGTACACAAACTTTTTCAGAATGCCATTTTTTTTTTTTTTTGGTGTTCAATTAATTAAATACAAAGTAACTATGCATTAATATTTCCTGGTAATATTGTCTGTGTGTGTCATTGTTTAACCATTGTTCTGTTTTCTTGTCTCTTATTCAGGGACCTCCCAGTGTTATTGACACGTTGTATGAGCTTGAGGTTAGTAAATACTTTGCAAACACTTTTATCTTTAACCTTTGACTCTCAAACAAAAATGTAGCATGTTTGTTTCAGCTAATCCTTAAAGTCACATTCAAACTCGACAGCCTGAATTTTACAAGAAATGTACATTAAGCCATCAACTGAAAAAAATCTACAAGAGGTTTTTGCTGATGCATTAAAATGTACTGGGTACAGTGAAAGTAATGTGAACACATGATTGAATACTGTGCTTTAGGCATGGTTTGATGAAAATCTAATTAAATGCATTGCTCTTTTTTTTGCAGCCAGCCAGGCAAATTTGCATGGATAAATCTATTTCATACAAACAAATTATTCCAAACAGGTAAGGTTTTTTCGACCCACTTTTAGACCATCTGTCTAAGAGAGGTGGGGTGGGGAGCTGCTGTCCTTTGATTTTAAAGTCTTATTATAGAGTAACAGAAGTAAGGCAACATAAGCAAATATACACATGCATAACAATCGACAGTTTTTGTCACACAAGCATGTAATGTTATCTTTTTTGGTACTCTTTAAGACTACAGTAAAGTGATAGATATTTCTGTTATTCTTAAAATACAAGGCTTTTTAAGATGCGTTTCTGAACGGTGTATGTATGTTGCAGTGGAGCGTTCAGACCAGTAAGGGCAGAGAGTGGAGAGTACTTGTATTGTCCCCCTCAACGTTGGCTTAATAACTTGCATGTAAGTAACAACTTGATATCTATCTGCCTTTATCTTCACTTCAACTTTCTAACAATTGGTTGTCCGATAAGTGTAGTAAATGAACTACCTATCATTTTAATTTATGTCACTGACAAAGAGACACTCCGTCTTTGTGTTGGCTATGGAGACCACTGTACCCACATGTCTGTTGGAGAGAGAAATGGCGTGGAGATAATAGTCATATGTTTGTTCAAACTGTTTTTTCACAGCATGGAGCTGTTGTTCTGCTCTACCACCCCTGTGCTCCTCTCCATGAACGGAAACTTCTGTCTGCCCTGGCTCGATCCTGTCTGCCTGACTACATCATTACTCCACATAAACAGCTCAAAAACCACACAGTGAGACCAAAACTTTGCTTTTGTTTTTTTACCCGCTGAAGTCAGAAAGAGACTTACGCTGTGTCCGAAATGAATCGCTCAATCCCCCATATGGGGTTTTACTGTAGTTGACTATGTAGTGAGCTCTATCACTGGAGGTTTCGGACACTACATGGCATGACGCAATGCATGACGGGATGTCCACCACCAGTGAGTGACCATCGGATGGTCACTACATTTTGCAATGCTTTATGGGAAATTTTGAGTCGCCTATATGGGGCACTGGAATTGATCATTCAGATTTCGGACACCCCGAAAATATAGTCGCCTATATAGGGGTTAGGGATCCATTTCGGACACAGCCTTAATATTTTTGTTGATTTATTGGAATGCTGTTGTTACTGCGCTTTGGTTGTAACTGAATACCAAGCAACACTACTGAAGCCTCTTCAGATACTCAAATTTGTTCTCCTGGATTTTTCCGGAGCATTGCATGATTAAATTTCGGTTTTTCCTCTCTGTTGAGCACACATTTTGCTTTGTGTTTAGCCACTAGTCTTGGTATCCTGGGGTCGCACTCTGGAACTTTCAACCATGGCCACTTTGGATGTCTGCGATTGGCTGGAGACAACAACATCCACAAGAAATAAGTCTGGTGATCTAAGCAAGAGCGGAAACTACACTCTGTTGTTAACCAGGCCAGCTGAGACACAAACAAAGAGACTTTATCATCCAGAGGAATATCCAGCACAAACAAAGGTTTGGAGACTAAAATTATTACCGTAAAACACACAGCTGGGTTATTTTTGTAGTCCAGTTGATGTCTCTAAACATGTTATTGTAAATTTCCAGGTGTCTCTGAGGCAATGCTGTGAGCAGATCATCTCCTCTGTACTAAGTGGAGCCATTGAACCAGGGGTACAGTCTCACGTGAAGAAAAGGAGCTTAAAACAATTCAAAGAGAAAGCCACAAGAGGAAAACAAATAAATGATATAGAAGAGGACGTCAAAGGACACACAACACTGAAAAGGACAGGGTATTCCAAGGACGACAATGGCACTCTAGGGTCATCAACAGATTCACTTTTAGAGAACAAGACTCTCTCAGATACGCCTAAAACTGCAACCAAAACCAATTCTTTTACATCTGGGGATTCTGAACCAGACAAAGCCAGGCTAAACATAGTGAGGCAGCTCAGTCATGAAAATGAAGGCCACAGTAGCTCAAAGTCTTCTGTCAGATTAGATATTCTTGCAGATAGTGTAAACACTGTACATAATCAAAGACATAAAGACTCTGTCAGACCAAAGAAGTTAAAGGAAAGTGAAGCTGCAGATGTTAAGGAGAGACAGTTGAAACAGCAGCAAACTTACAGTGACACACACCCTAACTCCACAAGTGAGAAGACTGACTTTAACTCTGTTCCCAAATCTCAATCAGAGCCCCATCCACATGCACGACTGTACCCTAGCCCACAGCAGGCCCGAATCCACCACAGCTGTCAAGGCTGCCAGGAAGGTGAACACTGTGAATGCACTGAGGAGTCATGGAGCAAAGCTAATGTTGCTTTTGTAGAAAAGGGGTTGAGGACTATGAGGAACAACGAGGCACTGTGGGCAGCAGCAGCACTTGGCTTCCTGCTGGTTCTCCTGACGCTGTCGGTGCTGCACACACGTCTGTACCGTCACTGGAGGACAGCACCAAGTCTTTACTGGCACGACCCAAGACAGGACTACGACAGTGTGGCAGGTGGGTGAATTTTAAAGGGTTCAGGCACAAAATAGCCGTTTTAACCAGCTGACTAATTCAGTGAAACAATTCAATCATGTAACTTTCGCTTCTTACCTGTGCCTTAAATGTGTACCCAGTATCTCAGTGTCTTTTAAGTAGTTGGGCAAGGATAGAACCATAATCATAGACGGTGAGGATGTTGTGTTTGTTTGTGTTTCCTCTAGATGTCATCAGCAGGAGGATACAGATTGCCAAGAGGAGACAGAAAAGAGGCAGGAGGAGGGAGTTTGTTCTTCTTCCAAGCTCTTCCAGTTCAGATGAACTTCCATAAATGAATGAAGGAAATGTGTAAGAATGTCAATAATGTGTTCAAGTCCCTCACAAGTGAAAGAGGTACTAAGTGGAGTCAATGTTTGCAACATCTTGTCTTTCAGTGTAATATGTGGAATGTTGTTTGTGAGAAACTAATGGGACCTGGGTTGTTGAAGACAAGTACAAATTCTGTACAGTATTACAATCCCTACACCCGTATTTTGCACACAGTGTAGTGGTCATGTCAGTACATGTTTTTTTTCATTTACACTGCTTATTTGACAGTTTTTAAAGAATGGAAGAGGCTGGATAATCTGAAATCTTGAGTACCACATGGAATATCCAGATCCTGTATCTAAAATGATTGGTGACAGTATAATCCTGACTACAACAAAGTCAAGATCAGACTCAGATCAGACTCAAAATCAGACTATCCGAAAGAAATAAAAGTCTGTCATTAGTAGTATTTGGATTTTTTGGGTGGGTGCACCTTTTTCCTATTTTTTTGTATTATAATTTTTACGTAACCATCAAGCATGACAAATTCTTTTCTACAGTTAGCAAAACACTTGAAAATTTGCAATATGCATTAATGGAAGTTTTTTTTTTAAAAAGAAGATAAAAGTTTACAAAGACAAGAAATGTCTTGACAGAGATTTTCAGTGCATGGATTGCTGTTTGAAACAGCAATTGATGACAAATTTTATCACCCAATAATTTTATTGTTTTTTAAAACTAGTTTTGAATATTAAAAAAAGCTCAGTCTAAAAAAATTAGTTCGTCAGCCAGTGTTTTCTTAAATTAATTTGTCTTTGAAAAAAACAATGAAGACATTCCTGAAGAAAGACTTCAAAAAGCCTTCTGGTGTTTTCCACAAGTATCTGGGATTTCAGCCCTGCACTTATCTCTGTTAAAATAGGTTTTGTCTGCTGTTACGACTGTATGTTTGTGTGTGTTTTTCCCCCTTTTACCTTTCTCTAGATCTGCCCAGGTGAAGTCACTGATATTATGATAAGTCGCCAATCATCTTCACCTGCTCTGGAAGGTTTGAAGGCCAAGAGCTGCCTGCAGTAGGGAGAGGCATTTGATGGGGAACTGCTGCCTCTGATTTTTGTGTTGTTGGTTCTTCATTTTTAGTTGTTGTGTTAATTTGTTCTTTAGTTGATCTTGGGTAATTCTTTGTCTTTTGTTATAATAAATCCTTGGTTAACTTTTGATAGTGTTTTCTGTTATTCTAATGGGTCAATGTGTTATTTGTTGTCAGCCCCACCGGGCCGTCTTCGGGTCGGGTGTAAGACAGCATATTTATACATTGTATAATTGCTTAAGCAATACAATAAAATATGAATTAGTTAAGCGCTAAGTTGTTGGTTCAGCTGAAGTAGTCTTTATTTTTTTAAACAAATAAAATCAGGGTTGCCTGTTTTTCCTAGAACTTGGTAAGTAATATCGGGCATACTAGAACTGAGTGTTTTTTATGGACTTAGTACAGAACCAGCTAAACAAAAACAAAAATCACAGTCTAGCCAAGTTAATTTTTAAATAAAGGAAGTTTGCCTCTGTTCTTCCAGTAAATCACAGCAAGGCAAATATAGAAACAGAATTGAAAAATAAACAGAGTGAACCTAAGCACTTTAACATTTAGTCAACTTAATGAGACAAGTAGTAGTAGTAGTGGGAAAAAAAGTATTTTATTAAAAGATGTACTATCTGTCTGTCTGGTGTATAAAGAGGAGATCTATGTTTTGTTCAGGTACGTGTAGTTGAATTTGTAGCCTTGAGGATGTGCTAAAGTTTACTGTGTAGGTTGCACAGTACAAAGAACAGAATAACAGTTCTGAACTTCTGACCAAGAGTGTTGCTGGTGCACATGTCTTATAATGTTGCAGAAGAGTCTAGCAGAGATAGGAAGTTTCAAATTTGGTCTCCAGTTGCTCTTGGTTGTAAACAAATGTCACTTTAAACTTGGCTTGGCCTTGTCCCTCAAGGACTCCAGTCGATCAGTCAGTCTGATTTATAACGCCAAATAGCAACACATTATCTTGTGTTGTTTTACAAAGAGAGCAGGCCAAGACCCTGTTATATTACAGTATTTCTCAAAAGCTAAAACATAAACCTTACTGTCTGAACCAAATACTCAGCAACTTGAACCCGTTTATTGAATCAGTCACTCTTTTGTCAAAACCATAAGCACTTTTCACCTGGTTAGACACAACTTGCAAACACATTCTCACTCACTGAAACACAAAGTGCAAAAAAATTACTGCGAAAATAAAAGGATGCATTTGGTTAGGCCATGTAGCGCCTGAGTCGATATGAAGTTTAACTGAAGCTAACACTACACCAGCATCCTCCAGTTCAACTTCATATCGACTCGGGACAAAACACCGGTGCATTATCATTATTGGTTCCTGGCAGCTCACTGCTGTTGGGGCTTTTTTAAAATTTTAATCCTTTTATTTTCGCAGTAGGTGACTTTTTTTCTGCATTGCCATTGTTTTTGCATCATTAACTTCTGCTGTGGCTTCTTTTTTTTGCATTCTTTTTTAATTTGCAGCAGTGGCAGTTCTCGGCCACCATACCTGAGCAACCACTACCCCTCCCGGCCAGTTTTCCCCTCAGTTTAGCGGCGCTACAACACGCAGCAGGTCCTGTTTGACAAGAAACACTTCTGTTACAGACACTTGGCTTACTTTGTTAAAGTGGTTTACCTGTCCAGCAGAAAGGTTACAGGGTCCGTAAAATCCTGAAGCGTCCCCTTTCATTGTTGACCCGGCTTTTTAGCACTTGTCCAGGTGGTCTACCTCAATTTTAAACCTCCATTATTCCGCCAGAGTTTCCGGTATTGACTTCGTTTTCTTGCTTGTGTTGGCAGTCGTGGCTAAAGGAGGATTCAGACAATTTTCTGTACTTTTTGGTTGTTTTTCTCTGTCCGATATTGTAGCATGCTAGCTATGTTTGGGCTCGTGCACGTTATTCGGAGGTGTAACGTGCCTCACAACACGAGGAGCAGCGTCAACCAATCAGCACTAAGGAGCAGTGTCTGCCTCACAACCAATCAGGTTAGGGGAGGCGGAGAATGGCTTTATTTACAGTCAGAATGAGCGGACCGCTCAAAAATTTAAAAAGTTGACTACACAAACATAACAAAACAGTGATATAATTATATTCCAAAATGTCATCAATAACTAATAGCTATTGACGGATATTAAAAGCTTTGTTGTATATACACCACAAAAAGATACTTCTTTAACAGATTCCTGCCTACCCCACATCTAAGAGTATAATCTGACAACATTGTTAGATTTGAGCACACATTGAACAGTTCTGAGGTTATAGTTTGGTTATGCAGGAAGAGTCGAAAGGTTTGGTGAATGTAGTTTGAAAATTGGTTTTTGTGCTTATAGCGGTATTTGTGCTCAAGACATGCACCTTGAGATTTTTCTATCAGGACAATCTGATACAATGAAAACAAATGCAGAAGACTAGAGCAGGAACTTGTTCAACTATTTTATTACAAATGTACAGCTTATTAGTTTCCATAACGATTGACATTTAAGTCAGTTCTTAACATATATACACTTTTTAAAGTATTCTGTTCAAATAAAACTCTTGTCACTTGTCTCCCAAAACATAGAGCTGAAAAGAGAAACAGGTACATTAACATTACATGCCCCATTACTGTCTGCAGATTTAATGTTTGCTGTGCATGACTTGCTTGAGCTGATAGGTTGAGGGTGTATGTTTCCATGTGGTCAAGTATGGGCTGAAATTGCAACATGAGGAAGGTGAAGAAAGTGCATCTGTTACAAACCAATGGAAGCTGAAACATTCATTCTGGAGGCAGCCCCTGTAAGATACTGAATTTAGCAAGGACAAGGCCATTTGCAGTTTAGACCTCCAGCTATTTTGGGATTACAGCACTGGGAAGAGCTTTGGAATTTACCTTCAAACCAAATCCAAACTACACTTCTCATTCTGCATTCTTGAACCAGGACCTTATAGATAGTACGGTTTAAATCATAGATCCTACATAATCCAGCTGGTCTCTAAAGTAGTTAGTTACAGAGTTGAGAAACCACTTAGGCCACTTAAGTTATTTTTACTTTTCACTCCCTGTAGATTCTAGGAGGATCATTTCTATGCAAAATATAACAACATTAGGAGGTAATATCACAGCATACTTGTAAGATTAAAAATATATAAAAGTACACTAGTGTCACGAGCCAATCAAAAGTTTGGTCAATGGATCTGAGAGCCTAGAGTCTACTTTGGCAAACATAGTGAAAAAAATCTTGTAGTGAATCATAACAAACAGAGTTATAAAAACATAAACATGAAAATACATGTTGATATAAATTACCCTCTTCCAGAGACTTGGAAGTCATAGATAAATGGACAAGGTCTTCTTCTGTCCCACCTTGGTGCTTGTAACAGGAGAAATACCATCCTCAGACACTATATCAGGAGCTAATGATACTAATGTCAAGGGTCAGATGGTTTCAGACAGGGATACATTCCCATAGTGATTCAGACGTGTTTGGACTTGAAAGGTAAAAGAAAATAGTCAAAACTTCCCTACAGAGATGTGTGGGCAGCGTTGTGAGAGACTGTAGATACTGGTGGTCACTGACTTAAAGTAATGAAAAAAAAGTTAAAAATTGAAACACAAAACATGATTTAAGTGCAAAAAGAAGTGCCAAAAGATGTCAAGCATTAGTCTCTTCAGAGGTTTTGACTTATGCTGTAATGGACAGCTCGTGCAAGCAAGTTTTTTTATGAGGATGGGAGAATGATTTGAAACATCTTACCGAATAGGCCACACACACTCTGAGAAACCAGTACCACTATCACTGGAGAAAGGCTTAAGGTACAACCGAACCAAAAATAGGACACACCTGAAAGACCTGCCAGATACCATCAGCTTCTTTTGTTCCAGCTACGACCATATTTGTTCAGTACAGCTTAACAACTCTTAGAAGAAGGCTTAGTGGACATTATTTAGAAAGAAATAGTTTGAAATGCTTCCCCTCCACTTTCAGTGGTCAAACACAGTAAGATAGAACAAACAACATCCTGATATCCAAGGCCTAGATCAGCAGGCCAAGACAGAAAATGATGTTGACTGTACTTGCCAATCCAAAGTAATATCAAGCAAGCTAAATCAAGTACCCATGGGGTGACAATATCCATTTCAACATTTCAACAGGTATTTTCTCAACTGTAATTTAAAAGCCAGTGTACCAACTATATGGTATTTCCATGCTCACAAGTAACGGCTGCTGTGTCATACAAGCATCCAAAGGCAGATACAACACGTAAAAAAATGCATTTCAGCTTACCTTGGGAGGTTAAGACTTTATAAACAAACAGTAAAAATGTCTTTTCTTGCTTGGCACAGCTAAAAAAGATAATTAACATATTGATTCTGAGATGAAACCACTTGTTCTGTTATATCTGGCAATATATAATATAGATCCAAAAGACAGTAAAAGATGCATGAAAAAAAAGTGTTTTGAATGCCCCAAGGGGTTTACAGTATGAAGGACAATTAAACAAAAAAAATAAAATTAAAAATAAAAATTAAAAAACAAATCGCCTCTTCCACCTTTTCTCTCTCTTTTGGCAGCTTTTCAACTCCTCTAACACAGGATATCACAACATATAACAAGAAAAATCTCAACTTTTACCAAGAAAAGTAGTGCTTGAGAATGTTTGAGGACTATTCACAGGTTATATCTATACGTGTGCAAGTTTACCAGAGATCCAGTAGGAGTTTGTGCACATAATCACCCATTTTCTCCCTATTTCTGTTAATGAGATTCCTATTTTAGACAATAAAATAAACATACACGAACAGATATATCAAAATGACAGTCAGCAAAATATCAATACAAAAAAAACAACAGGCATGGTAAACAGCAATAAATCACACTAACTCCAGTGTAAGTGTTTTGTTTGTGTAAGTCACTGATCCTCCCCCACTCTGAGAGGTGCAGACCAAACCAATCTGCGTATTCAAAAACAAAAAGGGCAGGAAAAAAGGAAATATAAAAAAACAAAAAAAAAAAAAAAAAAAACATGCCAGATCATGCTGCGTACCCAAAGTGAGCCATTGGCTGCGAGTCATTGGTGACATGTCAGAGAAAAGCTCAGGTTGCTGCGTATGATTCGGGTGTTGAGTTGGGTGAATGGAGGGGGGTCTTCCTCTGCACTGCAAACTCATCATGTCTGTGACCTTAGAGGGGCTTCATGACAGTTAAAAGAGGGGTAAGAGGAGCAGGCCAGAGAGGGAAAGGGCAGGGAAATGTCTTAAATGCTCACTGGACGGAGATGATGAGGAGTATGTCACGGTTGGTCCATCTACTTTCTTCTCTCTTTACCTCTTTGACAGCACACACTTTCCTCTTCTCTTCAGTGAAACTAGGAGAGGGAGGACTGATAAGTGACAGGAATAAATAAAGCAGTAACATCCTAGGTTCCAGTTTGATTTTTAACAATTTGTATTTCATGGATACCGGTACTTGTAAAAGTTTGAGTGGATTATTATACACATCTAATCCCCATAGTTTTTTTTTTTTTTTTAGGTTGCAGCAAGCTCTACGTCATCTTGTTGGATCCTCCCACCTGTTCTTCTCAACTTCCACTCGCAGAGTCGTGGATTGTCTCTTTCTTCTTCTTCTCTATGGTGTTACTTCTAAAAAAATAAACTCTCTCGAACTTCTTCTGGTTCTTTTTTCCATGCGATTTCCTGACATTTGCATTCTCTCCCCCTCCCCAATCCTCTCACGTATATTCCTTCCTAACCTCAACCGTCTTATCCCATTTAGCACACCTATGCCTCGATCCCTTCTGTGTCTTTTCTCTCCATCTGTCCATGCATTTTTTTTTTCTTTTAGCATCACTGTTTCTTCTCACGAGTGGTGATGGTGACTAGTTGCTTGGCTGCCTTGGCAATGTCATAGGCGCACTGGATGACTTGCTGAGTGAGAAGTTGGTAGTCCACCGCAGGCGCCCCGGGCTCTGAGGGAGAGGCCTTTCGACATTCCAGCTGCAGCCGTGAGGCACTGGAAGCCAACAGGCGGAGGGAGCAATGGACAGCATCCAATGCAGGGCGCTATGAAGAAACAGAGTAAAACCTCAACTCACTTTGTAGCTGGTGGTAGTAGGCATGTGCTGATATGAAAAATTTGATATCACGATATTGGTGGCCCAAAATATCACGATTCACGATATTATCACGATATTAGCGCATTGCTTTTAACGTTATTAAAATGACAAAAAAACTGGGAAATCACTTCTCTGTGCACAGCATGACACGCACAAACAATATGAACAATACATGACGTTGGCAGCATTAGCTTTTTGGAACTAAAGTTAGCAGAAATGTCACTAACGTTGTCCATAATAAGCAGTAGAGTAGACCAAACTTGTAGCGGTCATGTTGTTTTTACCTTGATTTGGGCGAACGATGCTAGATGGTGTTCACGGAGGTGGGCATGTAGGTTTTAAGTGTAAGACAACAGCGCTGCAACTTCCTTACGGCATAACCTGCAGATTGGTGTCAGGTTTACCTGCTCCGTCTGTTTTGTCAAGCCGTAAAATGTCCATACTGCCGACGAAACCTTCTTAATAAGAGGATACAGCCGAGGCGTCTCCTCATTCCTGCATCGTTACGTTGGTTGGAAGTTGGAACGTTTGTGTTTACTTTTTTTTTCTTCAGACTGTTTCCGGTTCACAGAGTGGACACGCTCCAACAGTGCTTTGGGTGGCCACACATTTTGTTGTAAAATTTCTTCATTTTCTCTTTTAATGTTCCCGTTTTTGTTAGGTTGGCCTTAATGTACTTAATTCCAGAGTTTGTTTTGGATTCGGGACTACTTTTGTGGTGGTTTGTGGGTACATTTTGCTACCGAGGCTTTGACACCGTGGGTAAGACTACAAGCGGGTTAGGTTGGTAAGTACTCGGCTTCACTCGCCTCCGCTGAGTGACACTGCCATTCATCTTTAAATTATATTTGTGAAACGATTATTACAGTACCCTACGCGGCTGTTTAATATCGCATATCCCAATTAAATCATATATCGGCACATCCCTAGGTGGTAGATTGAAAGAGTTCAAGATGGTAACAAATAAAGAGAGACAACAGAAAAAAGAAATGAAACACAAGTCAAACTCACTTTGGGAAAGAGTGAGGCCATCTCTGTCACTGCAGAGTGGATCTTCTCAGAACATGGGACGAAGCTGAAGAGAAAATAAATGAGATACTTGAAACAGTTGCTGACAAGATGATGTCGATTGTTACACCTTGGTTCTTTTGGACTTCTTCTGCAGACACTGCAGCTGATATTGTTCAGTGCTCTTTTGAAAAACTCTTAAACAGTGGTCATTCTTTGCCTCTGAGCTGAAAGGCAGTCTGTTACAAACAATTGGAAAACTGCTTTTGTCTGAATATTTTTTATGTGTGATCCTTTTGTGACTTTCATCTATCTCTGGAGTGCTTTACCTATCATGTTGGAACTCCTGGGCAGCCCTTAGCAGCTCCTGGATATTCTTGGTCACTTGTTCGGTTTTCAGTATGACATCCTCTGTGCATGGCAGGGTGGGATCTGGCTCCACAGTGTCTCCACCTACTCCCTCCTCTGAATCTCCATGACCTTCCTCCTCACTGCTGCGGCGCATACTTATTACAAAAAAAACAAAACACAATTAAACTCTCAAGAACAACTTTAACATAAAGAGAAATCTGACACCAAGAGAGGATATATATCAATGAGAGGCCTTGGTTACTCAACGCTGACTCAAAATGCACAAGATGTGTTTTGTAAAAGCAACTTTACTAGAAGCTGCAGATATGAGTACACTGTTATAGTTTTATCCTTTTGTACACAGTAACAAGCAGTGTGTCTGACCTTAGGGACAGTTCGTACATTTGTGAGTTGTCATAGTCACTGTCGGTTCCACTGCAATGCCTCTCTGGTTTGGGGACCTGTGGAGAAAAACACGAGAATTTACTCTTTCAGTGCTACGAACAGTTACATCATTGACAGCTTGTAACAATATATGAGCTGTTTCTGGCAAGCATCATTTGACTCTCTTATTACACAGTTTGATCTGCACTTGGTTTATAGCAACATTATACATGATTAGCGAAGATTACAGAGTAGAAACAGGAAGGGACCTAAAATGCATTTACAAAAGAAGTTAGTGTATCGCTTGCTCATGAGACCACATTTGCATGGCATGGCAGTTATAGTTTCCTCTTCCTTTTCTTCTTTTGAAAATAGTAATAATGGAGAATTGTTTTCCTTTGCAGCTATATTTGAGTTAAATAATAAAACAACATGTCTGGACATTTTTATGGGATCACCAGAGGTTTTCTGTGATTGAAATATCACAGGGTCAAAATACCATTAGGGTATATCAAAAATCATTACAGGATCATGTTTGTATTTGAATTCAAGCCAATAATTTATTTGTTTGTGTTAAAACAAAAGACCCTCAGTTTTAAAATAGGCAGAGTGCAGGATCATTGAGGAGGGAAAACCAATCTGTTTCTCTTATCGTTATATTTTTAAAACTGTACAGTTGAAGAACTTGCCATGTATCTCCCCATCTCCGCAGATCCAGATAAATGCTGGCTTCCAAATGGTGTTGGACCCCCAGTACTACCCTTTCTCACCTATGAATGGAGGGGAAAATGAGAGCAGAGAGAGAGAGAGAAAGAGAGATACGGGAATAGAGAGAAAATAAAAAGTGTGTGGATAACAGACTAGGAACAGAAATAACAACTATTAGGTAAACACGACTGATTATGCAAAAGGATAAGCATATGGGCAGAGAGAAAAATGATGCTTTTATAAACAGCAGCTCAGTCATCATCCCATCAGAGCTACAAGGATTGCAAACTCTGAAATATATAAAGAAAAATGTGAAATAAACTAGCTCATGATGAACATCTTAAAACCACACATCTAAAAATGACAACAAACATACTTTACCCTAATGTTGATCCACAGAATAAGAATGATTAATAGTGATGCATAGTTGCATGTTACAGGATCATCCTACTATTAATCAGAAGGTAAATAATGCAAAGACACACAGAATGCTTACATCCAGAGGATGCACAGTTGCACTTCAGTGAGCAATGGACAGACAGGTGAAGAGACAGACAGAAAGGAAACAAAGAAACAAACAGGTAAATCTTGGTGGATGGGGACGGTGGATGGACACGACGCCATAGAGTTTTCCACAGAGAGGTCAACAGTTGCAGTGCATGGTTGTGTGTTTAGCTCCATAGTAGTTCCCATCGCCAAAGTGCAATATCACCCATGAGTGTTTTAGTGTGTGTGTGTGTTTATATGTTTTCCTTCACTTATACATATGTGGACAAAATTGTCGGTACCTCTTTGTTTTTGAAAGAAAAACCCACAACTGTCACTGAAGTAAGTTGAAACTGACAAAAGAAATAGTTTATAAAAATTGACTGAAAATTAACCAATTAAAATCAGACATTGCTTTTGAATTGTGGTTCAACAGAATAATTAAAAACAAACTAATGAAACAGGCCTGGACAAAAATGATGGTACCCCTAGAAATGACTGAAAATAATTTGACCATAGGGGCATTATAAATTTAGATGTGTCCTCTGATTAGCGTCACAGGTGTCTTAAAGGCTTTAAGACCGTCTCCAAGCAGCTTGATGTTCCTGTGACTACAGTTGCACATATTATTCAGAGGTTTAAGATCCACAGGATTGCAGCCAACTTCTCTGGGAGTGGCCGCAAGAGAAAAATGGATAAGAAACGGAGAAGACGGATAATACAAACAGTAAAAAATGGTAGCCCAGAACAACCTCCAAAGAAAGGTGAGCTCCCAGATCATGGGTCTTCAAAACACACAGCTAAAAACTAGGGCCCTACCGATTTATCGGCGAGCCGATTAAATCGGCCAATTTTAGCCCATTAGAGACTAATCTGTAATCGGCCAAAACTCGCCGATTTTCGCTGATATTTTGAGAAATAAAATGCGGAGAATAAGATTCGGTTTTTACTTCGAAAATGTTCCGCCATTTGAAAAGTTCCCTGACTTATCCAGTAGATGGTGCAGCGCAGTTTGCTCTCAAGGATTGGGCCAGAATACCTGTTGACCGGTGCACAAGTCTCACTGTCGGTTACAGAAATCTTTGCAGTGATTGCCTCATCATTTTTTATTAATTATTTCTTTTTTCAACTTCAGGTTATTTCAGCGACAATTGTGGGTTTTTCCTTCATTAAAAGAGAGGTACCAACAATTTTGTCCTCGTGTGTAAGCTGTAATAGCAATTTCAAAATTATTCAACTGTCAAGAAGGAGGTCGAAATGATTGGTCGAGAATAGGTGAGAAGGTGAAGATTAAAGGGAGCAAAGCAAGGTGAAATGTTGATAAATTGTCAAGCAGGCAGGCAACCAAACAGACAACTAAATCCCTTTTCCATCTTTCTTCTTTCCCTTTGTCTTTTTCTGCCAAAGATCAAAGACTGAGTTGTTTTCCCTGACAAATCAGTGCAACACAGTTGAAAGGAGTTTCATGCACAGCTGGACCTTTCAAAGAGAAGGATCTGGAACTAAGATATAGGGAGAGAGAGAACTGAAGGGGTGATTCGGATGGGTCTACCATCCACTGATAAGGTTAAAGACAGCTCTAGCCACCAAAAGGAAGGCGGAGAGTAGAAGGGGGGCAGGGAAGTTCTAACTTACGCTGGGTGTGTTGAGGGGCTGCAGGCGGGCTGCCAGGGAGTCCAGGGCTGGGGGACCTTGGGCCGTGGGGCTGGGGGCCGCCCCTGGCTCGTACATTGAGAAGGCCTGGCGGTCTCTCCGGTGGTGATACAAGTGGGGTACAGCCAAGGAGGGCACAGAGAGCACTGGGGACTCCACTCCAGGCCCAAACACACCCAGACTCCCTCCATCTATACCCCCTCTCCCCCCAACACCTTGCCGGTGTCCTCCTCCCCCTCCTCCTCCACCAGGCCCCCCTACCCCATAGCCAGCTGCCCCCCCAGCCTGCTGGCACCCCCGCAGCACACTGTTCTCTGTCTGCATCCGCGTGATCTACAGGAGAGCAGGAAGGGGAGTCAGGGAAGGATGAGAGGATGGATAGGGCACATAGGGAAGGGCATAGGGAGGTTAAAGGTAAGGGGGTCAACTGAATGGTCAAAGACAAGCATCCGCCATCACAGGTTCAGTAAAAGCCTCATACAAATAAACTCAGATCAGTACCGAGGTAGGGTGGAATGTGTGGTCAAGCTTGCATGGCAGGACAGGGTTTGGGTTTTTAAAAATGGTTTGGAAGGCTACATTCCTACACTTCAACTGTTTTCAACGGGCAATGAGGAGAAATGAGGGCTCGCAATGGGGTACTGTTGGCGACCATCTGAATGGACCACATTATTAGTCGTCTGCAGTGTGTGCACTCAAGTGTTTGCTGGTTAAACTATGTGCCTCCCTCAACTCCAACTTCAATCCTGGTTTTAGTGGCAAACACAGATATGAATCATAAGCTCGCACTGGCAGCCAATAATGAACACAATAAAGCTAATGATAAACAAGGCAATCATGAAGAGCAAATATGGGTTAATTGACAAACCTACTCACACACTCCAGTTTTTTTAAATAAAGCAAAAAAAAAATCTTATTTTGTCTTTTCCTCCTCCTCCCAATTACCCCGTGTTTTGTTTGTTTTTTTAAAGACCCACTCCGATGAAAATCATGTTTTTCTTGATGTTTACATGTTCAGATGGCATTTTTTGGATACAAGAGGACATATCATATGAAAGATAAATGTGAAATTGCATTTCTGAGTATTTCTGCATTCAAATCGCTGTGAATCTCTGGCAGACCCAAACGTCAGGATCAGATTAATCGAAAAGTCCTACGTAACTTATCCAAGCTCCATCCTCGGAGCCCCGCTCTGCAGGCCAGGCTCGGAGAAATAGAGAGGATGAATACAGAACAAGCGTCTGCATTAGCAGATTGAAATGCTCATAAAAAAGCTAATTATGATATTAACTTTCCTCATGTCCCTAAAGACATTGGTGTCTGAGAGCTGAATAGCTCCTATGTTACCTGTATCTTCTACTACGCAATGTTTGGCTGCGAACTAGCGTGAAGAGGAGTGTGCAGAGCAGCGCTGTCTCAGAGGGGAATTGCTAATGAGCTACTCACACTCTGCAGCAGAAAAGCACTTGGAAATGACACAGGTAACGTGATCTTGGCTAAAAACTATACAAACACAGTTTAAAGACCACTGATAACACTTCTCTAAGTACAAAAAAAAACTATCGGAGTGGGGCTTTAACAACTGAGGTTCTACTTGTGGTGATCTTCTAACCTCTTTGTCCTGATTTGTCCTTTTTTTGTCACTCCTCCATACTCCCTACCTCCTTTTGAAGCCGTCGTAACTCCTCGCTCAGGTTGTTGTTGACCTTCATCAGCTGCTGTACCTTGGCTTCTGAGGAGGCCAGAGCCCTCTTCACCTCGAGGTATTCCTGCAGCGTTATAGGACCATCTGAAAAGTCTGAGGAGTCCATACTCTGGATAGACAAGGCATGAAGGGAGGTGGACAAGAGGGTATAAAGACATAAGGGTGGAGAAAGAGACATTATGAGAAGTGAAAGGTTTTCAAACTGATGTACTGAATTTTTTAGTGTATTTTTCTATAAAATGAATTGTTGTATGTCAACAACACTGCGCAGAAAATACAGAAGGCATTACCATGCAGTTTTTGTCGATATAGACTAGAGTGTAATAGATGTAGAAGAGGGTAAGCAGTCTTGAGTTGGACAACTCTGCTTTTATCTGTGTGAGAGGCTCATTTCTCTTTTTAATGCACCATCTGCACCACTGTCTGTCTTCAGGGATCATGCCCAAACTCATTCCTACATAATTCCCCTGAACTTTAGCAGGTTCTTTTCCATATTCTTCAGAGCTGTTCTGGTTTTTATCCAACTATGAATACTTGGCGAGGGAAAAAAAGCTTTTGTTAAACCCATCAATCAGATGAAGTTTTTGGCCTCTACTTAGAATTATAGATAGTATCTCTATAACTCAGTTCAATACCGCTGAGAAACCATTTTCATGCTTATGCAAAAAAGAGATGGCATTTATTTATAGAGTATGTGGAGTTTGGTTGCTGCTTTCAGATTTTTCATTTCAACTTCCAAAATCAAGCTCCATACCTCCTCTTTCTCTTTTCTCTTCCCGACATTGTAAAAATACACAGACCCTTTTATATTGAACAATAATTTAAGCCTAGAGCAGCAGATGATGTCACCAATAAGATATTCAGCAGCTCTCACTGTGGGCTGCCCACTGCAAGCATGCTGAGACAAGCAGTCACAAAAAGCAAACCCTGACAAGCAATGCAGGCTGTTAATTCTTCTTGTCTTCAAGACTACCGTAAACAGAGCTAAGAGGGACGGAGCTCATTTCCTGAAACATAATTCCAGACTACCAGAGTCAGGATGTGGAGAGGTTTGTTTGGCTGAAAGATGTGTGCTGGTTTTTGAAATTGTGTGTTTTTGGCACTGTACCTTTGCACGGTTGCTGCGTTGTGTGTTGTTGTTGTTCTGGGTGGTCAGCTCGCTGTCTGTATCTTCATCAGAGGCTACACTGTCATAGTCATGCTGATCATCATCAATTCCTAGATCCAATGGATCTGGCAAAAGAAAAACAAGATTATATATTAGATTCTTACATTATGTATTATATTTTTATACTTTATGTATCACCCCATTCTTCATCATGTTTGCATTGCTTTTCTGAGAGAATAAAACTGATGAGACATCTCATACTAGGGGTTTCTATCCTGGTAAACCTGCCTTTATCAAAGACAACCCCAGCACCTTTTAGAATAGGCAATTTCAGCATCATCTGTGGTTCTGTAAAATCCAATACACCTTTCAGAGCTCATCAAACTGGATAAAACTCCTTGTATTATATGTAGGTTGTAATGTCAAACCAAAATAGTATGGCCAAGGTTTACAGATACACCCTCTACAGTAATCTTCAAAGTAAAAGCAGCCCAGCTGGCTACAGAGGATTATTGCAGTTGCTGCTGTGTGGCATGCAGAGGACTGCATTTAACCTCACTGGCTTTCCATCATGAAAGAAAAAAAAAAAGCCCAGCAGTTTTCATGCATCACTCAAGAAGAATAAGTGCATCAACTCTGCAAGTGTCTCAGGATTGGAAGGTCTCATTCAGTGATACTACCTAAAGCTAAAGATGCTCAGGGATAAATGACAAACCATTGTTCACTGCTGGGACAGGAGGGCTACCGGTTATGTGACAATCTAACAAGACTGGTGGGTACTGGCAATCAGGAGCATCGCACCTCTTTTCAGTATCCCCTCGTGGCTCCCTGTGCCTTTGTAGCGGGTCCCCTGAGACCTGCGTACTTGCAGTATACCTGACTCAATATCATAACTCTTTCCTTCTGGGCGGCGCTTTTAAAAGGGCTCTATGATCCATATGAGGTAGGTTCTACTGAGTGCCTTCCCCAGTCAAAATTTTAGAGATTAGTTAGTGCACAGTCAAAGTTTTTTCCAGCTATTTTGATCAACCAGCAAAATCTGGTGTGGCCCCCCTGACTCACCTGACATAAATTGTTAGATATCTTGCTGTTTGTTACCACTCTGTAGCATTCTGACATCCTTTTACTCTGTGACTGTATATTTGGATCTGTAAAGCTGACTCATGCATTCAAACCTACCTACATGTTTAATGTCCATCTTTTTGGAACTTGTTTCTTATCTTCAAAACCACACAGAAAAGTTCCTTCAAACTACATTTTGAACTTGAATCACTTGCTTCCTCTTCTGAACCTTGTAAAGAATTTTTCCGCTACAAATCATTTCCTGTCTCTTAACTCTTAGTTGTGTTTTTAGCTGTCACTGATGGTTAAGAAAAAAAATGAAGACTGTCAGGATTAAGTCAGTAATTTTGAACCTTTTGGGTAAGGCATGATCTCTCAATTTGGATGGTTTCACCCCAGTAGGGATGATTTGAGCTCATCTCCAAATGGATAGATTTTTTTGCTTTTCTGATATGTTACCTGGCAACACCACCTCCTACATTTCAACTCAACTACTGAATTTCCTCACAACAGTATAAGGCTCCTGCTCATTCAAGCTGACTATCACCTGGCCAGACTTCCATTCCTGTTAAAAACACCATGAGGTTCAACGAAACCCCCTTGACCCACTTCTTGTTATCTCAGTTGAAAAGACATCAATATCGAAACCATAGCAACAAACCCCAAATTTAGAAGTTTGTGTCTCACCTGTGGGACTGCTGAGCCCCTTCCCCTGTTGTCTTCTTTTGGCATCACTCAGGATGTCAATGATGAGTGTGGCAAACTCCCTGGCGTTGAATCGTGCCAGTTTCTGGCGGCCCTAAAGAACAAGTAAGAAGACTTTGTTTTATTTTTGCAGCCACAACCTGACATGAATACCAGATTCACTTGAAACTTTCTATCATCTCTGAAATTTAGACACAGTGCAGCCGTGAGCCAGTGGTTTATTACCCAAGCAGCTGCTGTTTAACGAGCATATGTGCGGTGGCCAAACATAACATAACATAACATAACATCCGCATGTCATCAAAAGCCAGATTACATAAAAAAAAGAAGCCATGGATTTATGATAAAACATTTGCATTTAAGTTAAAGAGTCACTTTTCACTTCAGTAATTCATTAAAATTGTCACACAAAGTCATGTTACACAAGGCTTAACTCGAACTTTGTTTGTCTTCATTTCCTTTTTTTCCACAATTGTGATTTACTTAACTGTGAGCAAAGTGACCATAATGTTTGAATATAATCCTTGCTTGCTTTGAAAGTTAGTGTTTACACAGAAAAGGAAAAACTATATGAAAAAAACATCAGGACAGATGAGAATAAGTAAAAAAAAACACAGATCTGTCCTCTGCTTTCAAGAATAAAAAACATGGCTTCTTTTTCACACTTGTCCTCAGCTTCTCCCTTGAAACATGAGGGACAAACACGTCTCTTGGCTTTCTGTTTATAAAAAATGTTTAATCTTGTTTTGGTTTTAATATTCTTGAGGTAAATATAAATGCTATCGTATTTGAGTATATATGCTACCTTTGATTACTGGAATGAGAGGTTTATGTGTGTTTACCTGGTTGCGTGTGGCTGAGTATTCGGGATTGACTGGTAGGAAGGGCACTGCACTGCGTTCTGTCACCAGGGTGCTGTGGTTCTGGGTTGTGAGCCACACTAGGGAAAAGAAGATGAAAATAAAATTTTTCTTTATTTTTGTGTGTTCACTCCAGAACTTTACCAACACCTGGTTAACCCATACACACATAAACAACATGGCTGATAGTTTGTTCCCAAAAAGGTCTCATTGGGTTGTTCCAGCCTGGTTTGGTATTGCAGCACCAGAATTCACTGCCAGGTTTGTTAAAAGTAAGAGCAACAGCATGACCAATTTATTTAACATCTTAATGGCATGCAAACGAGTAGAGGTACTGTGTCGCACTATGAGTTGCACAAGCCCACAAACACCCCTTGAAAAGCAGCCAACATCAGTGGCATCATTTTCTCTTTACATTCTGTAGGGCAAGAAGGAGACACATTGAAAAACTGTTACTGTCACAGTTTGGCTGCATATTACATAAGATATGGTGCCCATAAACAAGGATAGGGATTAAAACCAAGACGGATCATTAAACTATTTTTTTTAACATTTAAAAAGAGTCACAGAGGGGTGATTTGCACAAGCCCTGATCATTTCGAATGGTGTTTTCTCTCTAAGAATAACATAAAATACATTTACTTCTGTGAAAAACCTTCATGTAGGGCAGTGGAGTCAAAATGACAGTTTTTGCCTTTGAGATAAAGTTTTGTAGCAGAGAAAGAGACAGTTAGAGGAATACCCAAATATTTTGTTACTTTCCACCTCTGCCGGGAGACAAAGCGAAGCTGAACAGTGCTGTGTGTACGTGCATGTCTAAGCGTGTGTGAAGCTCCCACTATGTGTTGACATGCTGTGCCTCTCGCACTTCCTTAACAGTATAATGCAATGTGTGTTTATTTATTCACAGAGACACCAACATTATTGGGATTCAGGGTGGTACTCTACTTCAGCAGTGTTTCAGACTTTCATTGTGTAATAGTCTTCAGTTTTTCCTCCTTCAACCAAAGCTCTATTTGGCCATGTTTGCTGGTAAATAGTCTATAACCTCACAATGTCTATATTCACAGTGACAACTCCAAACATCTATTTTTGTTTTGTTTTTTCTTTCCAAGTTCCTTTCATAAATAGAAGAGGGAAACTATGAGGCTTACCTGCATCATTTTCTCTACGATCTACTTCATCATAGACATCCATCGCAAGCTCCTCAAACAGTCGATTGTTGAGCTGTCGGACACACAAAACAAACTGACCTCAGATAGATAAACAGATGTATACCAGCGTAAAATGTACATAACAAGAGGACAGAGAAAATGAAACCACCTGATATTCAAGTTGGCTGCAATATTCAGACTTTACCTGACATGTTCGAAAAAATGGCATTGCTTTTTCAAGAAATTTCTGGGTCATGTGGTTGATGCGGGAAGACATCATCTCATCAGGTTTCAATTTTTGCATTCTTATCTCTTTACAGCTGGCCCTGCAGTGGCTAAAACTATTTTGGCAAAGAATAGAAAATCTGTCGTGTCAACAAACTTTTTTATCCTTTTTACAAATCCTTTATCCTTTCACATTACCTTGAAAACTACAGACGCCTACTGCCAATTGTACAAGAATCTGTTTATAATTAATCAAAAAGTAATATTGGCTGCAATCTAAGATTTCATGGTTTGACTTCACTTACCGCTTGAAGTTTCTTCTTGGCAGCCTTGGCCAGCTCTGAGAGGTCAAGACTAAAATGCACAGAGGACAGCAGTCAGACAAACACAACACTGTCAGGTGGAATAAAGAGAGGTAAGGAGGAGTGGAGTGAAAAAATGGAGATAGATAGAGGAAAAAGAAGTGAGGGGTTGAGATGGATGTTTGACCAGAGAGGGGTTGGGCAATGACAGGGAAAGGCAGGGCAGATTCTAGAGTGGGATGCGCTGAGTGTCCGATCAAAAAGCTGATAGGCCCTTGGAGCTATTTTGACCTGAAAGACACTTTATGTAAGTCAAAGGTGCAGACTGCATCTTAGACCTCACAAGCAGCATCCATTAGAAATTTGCCAAAGTTAAAGTTTAAAGGTGGGGTAGGCAGGATTTGTTTCTTGTCAAACGGGACCTGCTGTGTGTTGTAGCGCCACTAAACTGTTTACCTCGGGTCCTGGAGTATGTCACTTTATCCTAGTCGTAGAAGTCCTTCAAACATTGTATTTGCTGGTAGTCTGTTGGCATCTACAGTAGCACCAATGCTGTTTACTTTCACGTTGACTGGACCCCATTTGTAATTATCTGAAGTATTTATCTGCATTATATCAGAATTTTACCGGAACGATACGAGCGAGCAGGAGAGTCTGTTTGTGGGCGGGGCTTGTTGGAGCAGAGAGGGAGGGAAGAGGAGGAACTGAGGGGAAAACTGGCCCTTCCTCAGATCCTGCCTACCCTACTTTTAAGTCAAAACATAACATTCCCTCACTTAATGTGGCTGTGGACTGTGATGACCTGAGATTACACACATAAACAAAGCTTTGGCTCAATTAACAGAGAAACTACATTTAGGGTTTAACATTTTTCAGGACCGACTTTAAAGATATTCACTAAGAATACATAAAACTGTATGCCATGTTGATTTTTCCCCTCATGACTAACTGTACACCTCTATTTTCAACTCATAATACAATACGACTTAATGACCTTTTACTGTGTAACCATCAAAGAAAATGGATATCAGGGAAAGCCACGGGAGATGGGATATTCGAGACAGGGGGAATTGAAATCAGGGAAAAGATTTGGGAAAAGCAAGGAAAGAAAAGATACCTCTGAGTTGGGCACTTAGGACGAGCTCTGTCTCCACCAAGCGCAGCAAATAGGAGAGAACAGAAGATGAGTGAGAAAAAGAAGAAACAGACAGAGAGGGGGTAGAGAGGCGACATCAAAACAGCTTCATTGTTATCATCAAGAGGACCCATTCATCAAGTGGAGTAAGACAGCGGATTACTACAACTCCCTTGAGAACAAACATTTCTGACTTCTTCATTTTCTTTTCTTAGTTATATATTCTGAGATACATTTACACTGTTGTTGCAAAGCCTCTCTGAGAGTCTCGAGGTGTGACTCAGCACATCTACAAAGTCTGCAGATCTTATGGCTACTACCAGCATGATCTAATGTAGACGGGGGCTTGGAAAAACTATATCCTCTAACAATGTATGTATCTAATCTGTATCTGTGCTTGTGTTGCAAACTAGCCAAAAAAAATCTACGTAACTTGTGACATACATGCATTATCGATGCTGTGGTCCCCTACTGCTTTGCATTTATGTAACAGTCAACAACAGACCTTCTTCATCAAAATGTAAAGATTTTCCTTAAATGTGTTTGTACGAGGGTTTCTGCAGACTTCTTAAGAGGTCTGAGTAAAGTCATGACACTGTTCTTGAACCGCAGAACTGTGCTCAGAGGTGGATGAATGCCATTTGTTGTAACTTTAAATTTTTTCCTTTCAAGCATAGAAAGCCCAGGGAAGTGCATGAGACTGCAGCACACCCAGATCACATAAGATTGAACAAAGAACCAGAGGGATATTATGAATGCAAATATTGAGATTGGGCACATGTTCATTTTTCATTAATTATCCATGATAAAGTTGATTACTGATGAATAACAGCTGATCACAGTGAGAGAACCTTGCATATTGACATCCTCTGATGCTGTTAAAACCTTAAGTTGTATGCCTAAAACTCCCAGGATGCATGTTGGGCACGTTAAGGAACGAGCTGAGGATAGCATAACAACTACGAAAACTTAAGAGTGCACCAGACACTTGTACCAACTCCTCCAGTTACAGCACTGCCAAGATCACTTCTGTTGTGGTCAAGTTTTTGAGCAAAAGGATAAAAAGAGATGTGCTGAAAAGAAAAAAACGATTTTCAAGGGAAGCGGATACACTTCGACCACGACTACACACCAGATTTGCTGAGGTAGTAGAGGGAATATGAAAAAACAACAGTGGCCCTCAAAGAAGAAAAGAGATACCCAAGAAAGGTAAAGATAAACTTGACTGTGGCAGTTTTCGCCCAATAAATGTTCTAAATTAACATTATAAGATCTTTATTCATAAAGCTTGAAAAAAACATCCCTCATATAACTAGTCTAGATCAAACAGGCTTTATTCATTAAAAGCTGACACAAGATAACATTTGCTGAACCCTACATGTGATTGGACATGTTTAATATCTCCTCTAGGCAGTTTTTTTGCGTCTCAAGAAATGATCAGATGTAAAGAAATGCTGTGCGAGGTGAGAAAGTCTCTATGTTGTAGTCTATCATGTAGTCACTGATGCCAAAGGGATACAAGACTTCTTCAATTGTGTAACAAACATTGTGATATCTTGACCTGTGACTGGACGTACAAATACTGAATCGAATCGACCTGTACACTTCTGACTTCTGTCAAAAATCAAAGGTAACTTTAAAACTTACACCACTACCTGTAATATACAACAATCTATGTTACATGTGCCCCTGTTTCTCCTCATTTATGTCATTTTTTGGTGAATTTTCACTTACTATGGTGCCCCCCTGGGGTCAGTATACCTGACTGCAACATGAACAATTATCTCATGCAAGATAGAGACAGGGACAGGGATAACTTTGGAGAGTAAGGCAGCTGAAAAGTTCAAGTACGTACAAACAGAGAGATGACATGCAACAGAACCATGCCATGCTAGGCTGGTTCGACTTAAACACCAAAATTACTCAAGGTCCATACCTGTCTGCCATTTGGGGAATGATATAATGGCCATTTTTGTGATCTAAAAAGCAAAGAAAAAGGGATGGTTAGGGTTAGGATTAAAGATAGATTTACACTGAACCAACTACTATGCTGAAGTGTATGTAGGTAGCTAAAAATCAAGTGCATTTGGCTGATGTCTACAAACGTTGCACATAAACTAGAGAAGGGAGTTACCTGGTCGGCGTCCACAAAGGTAGAATGCTAGTCTGTCCGTCAGTTCGTACTGACACTCTACCAGCCTTTCTGCTAGCTCGATATGGCCGGCCTGCCTGGAACATTGAAAACCAAAACGTTATATTTAAATACTTTTTTTCCTCTCACATGTCTCTTGCTGATTATCTAATTCTAGATTTGACTCTTTAGCTGAAGTTACGTTATTATCAATAGGTGTTTCTATCATCTTGTACCTTGCATAGTCCATCGGTGTGCGTCCATTAATGTCAGGTGCCCCAGGATCTGCACCATATACTACTAGCAGCTCAGCCTGCAGGATCTGGCCTGCCTTGGCTGCCACATGGAGTGGCGTAGTGCCCTTCTCCTGAACACACACATAAAAATGATCAGGGCTGTCCCTAAAAAAGTTACTGAACTAAACTGACTCATTTCTTTGTAGCTGGTTCAATCTGAAGAACTTTTCTGACCGGGTGGAAGAAGTTAGCTTGAGCGCCAAGGGACAGGAGCCGAAGGCACGTCTCTAAACTCCCTGTCCTTACACTGGAGTGGAGTTGCTGATTTAGAAAGAAAGAAAAAAGGCATCAAAAAGAGAAACACAGAGTCCAAACAGAAACATTACAGCTGTGTCATTGAAGAGTGTGCTTGTGCATGTGTCCATGTTTATTCAGGAGGTCTAACATTTCTCACCCATAGAGCTTTTATCCACCGCCTGTTTAAAGTGAGTTTGTAACAACATTATAACGCCTAGCTTTTTTGTTTTGAGAGGAAGATGGTGGAACAGGAATGTAAAGTTGCTTGTCCATTCAACTAGCTGCAGAGGCAGGAAAAGTTCAGTTGGAATCTGTGGTTTTTGTGTGACGCTGTTGTTTGTACAATTCGCTCAATATTTCCACAACAGTCAGTATGTTTACATGCACTTGAAAAAGTTGATTTATTGCAATAGTCCAGGTGAAACTGGACTTTTAAATTGTATGTAAACACATTAGTCTGACTGAAATTGAACTTCTCGTGGTCATACTAACATACCTGGATAATTGCTGGAGGTCAATTTTCTCTTGCATGTGTAAGGCTCAATCGAGCTGAAACTGGCCTAAACGTTCTGCACATGCGCCAGTGTTCGCACGCCAGGCTCTAAGCCAGTGGTTGAACAACATGGATGTGTTGTTGGAAAGCCAGGTAGTAAACGAAACCTTGACAAAGATACAACGGTGTTTTGATACGTAACACTTTCAGTTGAAGACCCAATAGTGAGAGGGGTCATGTCGCCAAATACCCTCGCAGAGGCAGACATGTTTCTGTCAGTGATTTGGTTCTTGCCCAGTGAATGTCAACTGGGATGGGGACAGTATCAAGCTATAGCTCGATTTAACTGTGCATGCAAACAAACTGAGTGTCATACTGAGTGAAAACACACAGTGATGCAACATCATGACAGTGTTGTTTGGTTCTGTGGAAGAGAAAGCCAGAGGCTTTGGAACAGAGTTTATTGCAGTGCTTCTATTTGGAAAGGGCCACTGAAAACTCATTTTGCTTACACCTGCACTCATAAATTTTCAGTCCCTTGATTTGATTTGATTTGATTTAGTTTGGATCCACCATTAGTTACAACGAGATATGCAGTAACTGTTCTTGGCTGTTAAATACTGAGCCCCCCACCTTACTGAGGTCCTTAGTGGTTACACCATCATCTTCACGGCAGGGCAGCTTGTGCACAAACGCCAGCATCTGGTATTTGGCTCTGATGAACTCTGACTTGGTAGGACTGCAATGAAGGAGAGGTTCAGTTAATAAAATCAAACCCCAAGGCAAGTGTGTAAATGTAAATGTGTGTAAATCTTTGGTTAGGAAACAATATTTTCCAGTATGGTCCATGTTACTCTGTCACATGAGCTAGGACTCTAAGTTGTGTCACTATTTTCCAAACAGATAATCAAAAGATGCTGATATTTTATTTCATGTCTCATTCTTTGTTAAAGGCCTTTGTTCAACTTGAAAATCCCTTTCTCCTACCAAATTTAAGTTTTGATTTATGATCCGAGCACTCAGATAAAACAACAGACTCTCTTCCACTCATCTGTTTGCACTAGAATGTCTTGTGATCAAGTCCATTGCTATTACACCATCATCTTAAGGCAGCAAGAAAAGCTTGTTGTAGTGGGCATTGTTTATGTTGGTGTATTGCCCCCTGTTGACTCTGAACTTACCCCACTAAAACTCTTCCCCTGGCCTTGCCCCTGGAGTTGTGAGAGGGTGTTAAAAGCACCTGTGGAAGCATGGCTGCCTTTCTTCTTTGCCATTATTGCTACACGGTCCCTTCTATGACTCTGAGATAGGTCATACAGTCAAATGACTGTTTTAAGTCTGTTTTGTAGATTGTGTAATTAAGCATTTACTCTATAACTACTGATGATGTGTTTAAAATCTGCCGTGAATTTGCTGCTTGCTGTCTGAAGCTGGTATAAACCAACAGCTCACCTGATCATTTCACTCAGCAAGTATGAGTCAGTTATGCTGTTGTTTAGTGGCGGTTAGGGTCTCACTTTCTGGCATGAAAAAACTTTAAGGGGCACTGCCACTATAGTTAGATTCTGGTTGTTGTTGCTGATCACCTCTATCACCCCTTAATGACTTAACTTAACTTAGGCACATAGAATATTAAGTAAATCTAAAATCTAAAGAGTAAAGCTAATGTATCACAGTGTCTCTGTCACTATGGTTTCTGCTATGGTGGGATAATAACAGTTAAAACTTGAGTCAGAAAACCCCCACAAATCTTTAAATAGCCTAAGTATGTCCTTTATGTACAGAAAAACAATACATGAGAAAGCCAAAGCTTAATTTAGTTTAGAATAGTAACTATTGAAATGAATAGCAATGTGCATCCAGAATACTGCTAGGATGATTGAGTTTTTTTTACGGGGACATGTCTGTAAGTGGCCTGAAAGATAGTTTCATAAGCCCTGAAACCACTTGTACACACTCTACAAAAGCATAACTAGATGCAGTTGTTCCATTTGTTAACCAAAACACAACCTTTAGAGGTGATTGACAATGTGTTTTGACAATTTTGTGTAAAATACAGATAGAAAAGGTTTTTTTTCTACAGCATTGCTAACATCAGCAGGTGAAATTCACATTTTTTTGGTCCAATAAGATTCCTCCCCAACACACACACACACACACACACACACACACACACACACACACACACACACACACACACACACACACACACACACACACACACACACACACACACACAAGCAAGAGCAATATCATCAGCACAGGTGATGTGTGGTAGTTTTAGCGTTCTGTTTGAGCCTAGAAAGGAAAGAAGTATACGTACTGAATTTTATCCTGGGGGTTGGGTTTCCGACGCCCACTTTGCACCTGAGCAGGATCCAGGAGACTGTGTTCCCATATGGAGTTGGCCCCGTTACTTGCCAGAGTCTGAACCATCTAAAACAAGCACAGAAAGCAATGACTCACTGATGGTACACCATCTTGCATGACCATCATCAAAAGAATATTCCTGAGTAAATCACTCTACAGCGCTTGTGGAATAAGTCTGAATATTTTTAGAATAACAACAAAGCCCAACATTATGCACTATAGAAATACATGTATAGAATTATGCATGATGAAAAAATATTCCAAATTATTTTTAAATTAAAAGCAGGTATACAACATGTTGGAATGGACTCACACACTGTATGCTCCTTAGATTTCAGTAAACATGCTCACTTTAAATGATAGTATTTCAGGTCACAAGTACCACATTTATTCAAAATTTGAGACCTCCTTCAATGACTTCCTCCTGACTGCTGTGCCATACCTGCAGTAGTGCAGGAGGCCATCCACTGTGCCTCAGATGCTTGACTATAGAGATGTGGCGACCCAAGCTGCGGTGGACAGAACAGCATTCATCACAGATCAGGACCCCTCGGTTGATACTGGTCCAGCCAGGGTCTGTCAGAAAGAGTAAATGGATGGTTCTATGATTTCACAGGTTTTGAATGTGTGATAGAAAAAGCATTCTGCATTAAGAGTTTTCATTTTTCTGTCATTACATTCACTTTATGGCGCAAAACCAAAACTGCAGTCTCTGTTGACATATCATTTACTGCTTCAACTGGCTTCAGCAGGTGGTGCCAGTAGATCATTTGGTAGGGTATGCTTCCCATGTGCTTGACCTGATACCTATGATATACCAACCAAAATGTTTTCCTGCACATCTTCATATTACCTCTTCAACCCCTGTATTTCTTATATCTTTTTTAGCTATTCTACTGAATTGAAGCAATTTTTTTTTATAATGATCTTAAAAAAATGTGCAAGGAAGAGTTTCTTAATGACTATCCTGCTCTGATTTCACTCCCAAGTACAGCAGAAAAACTGTAAAGAAAATGACCATAAAGAGAACACTGATTGGAGACTCTCTTCACCACATTTGATATTGTACATCGTAGCGCTCAGGCCCTCCTTTCCAAAATGACAGCAGAAAAACCTATCTGAAAGACCAAAAAACGTACCCACGAGGGCCTACGGGGACAATAAATGTCAATAATTAGTGAATTATCCTGAAGGGATCCCCGTCAGTTTCCACTGAAAAAGTCCTTTTCATAAAGCTGTCCCCTTGTATCTACAGTCAAACCCACCTCATCATTGTCTCTGTCAGAATCACACGCTTTGTTAATTTTATTTTTTTGTCTTTCAAAGTCTAAATATCCCACCAGCTGATCATTGTGCTACATACAGAACAACTTATGTGCTACATCTGAGAAATGTGGGATGGGTTCTCTGATAGCAAAGTGAAGTGCTGAGAAATCTCTTACTACATTGTACACCTGCACCAACGTTTATGATTGTGCTGGGTTATTTATGATTAGCTGAATTAGCTTGTATTATTTGCCCCATCCCCTGCAGCCGTAGGTAGCCTCGCTTCTGTTCTGTTGCTTTGGGCAGTTTCTGAGAGGCAAAGCTGACATGGCCTTTGTAGGAAAACACTGAATATTGTCATGTATGATTGACTGCTCAAAGCCCTGACTACAGGGCCAAACACATTTAAAAGCTCCTGACTGTGTCCTAAATCATAAAACTCAATTGGAAATATGACATTTAGAAGTAGAGGCAGAGTTGGTGCTTTTCTTCTCTGGGAAGACACAATGAGTTAAAATATACTTAATTCAGTCACAGCTCTTCTGCCTCTGGTGTCAGAGAACTACTTGCTCAGACAAAAACAGCACAGCTAACTGAGTTCCACATCAATTGAATCTCACATCAGTCAGAATATTTGTCAGATCATACAATTTTAAATGTTCTTACAGGTTTGACTTTCTGAATATCTTTGAAGCTCTAAATTCTTTGCAGATGAAACAAAACCTTTTAAAAGGGGTTTATACAGTTTTTTGAGACTCTTAAGTTCTTCTTTGATACCTCTTTAATAGTTTACATGATTTTCAGATTTTAAAAAGCCTTGTGTTTTTCACTCTGGTGTATTAAAACATAATTATTCCAGTCTGCATCTAAACAGTTCCTTTTACCTGCTGTCCCTGAGCTACTGAAAGATTCAAACCCCTATTGTGCCGTTCTGTCAGTGCAGGTGTTTGGGAGGGGAGCTGTAACTCTGGAGACCAGTACCAAGTAAGCCGACAGCCAGGATTCTGACTAGGGTTGTCCCGATACGATATCGATATTGGTCCTATATCAGCAGAAAACGAATATCGGATTATATCAGCCTGCATCTAAAATCTCCGATATCAGCACTCCGACACAAGCAGTCCATTCCAGACTCCGCTCCGGCACCTCTATCGAGCAGTGCCATGATCCAGCAGGCTGAGCTCAAAAAAATCTCAACAACAGTGTGTACTAAGGTACGAACGAAATAGCAAGGAGTAAGAGTGATGTTGGCCTTGCGGCAGTATTTTTTGTTTAAGTCCGAAAAAGTCACTGCAGCTTAGTGAAAAACGTTTGTGTCAATATCGGATCAATATCGGATCAATATCAGTATCTCTGAATATTAAAGGCTACAATATCGGTATCGTATCGGAAGTCAAAAAGTTGAATCAGGACACCCCTAATTGTGACTTTGTAACATGTGGGTTACTAGCTGCCCCTCATCTGATTATAGACCTAATAGCATTTTCTTTACTCCGGTAAGAGTCAACCAGGTCTTCACTACTTCAGCGATATGCCAGTCCCACAACTCCAGGCACCAACTGGGTTTCCACACACCTCTTCACTGATGCAGTGGTCACTGCTCCACAGAACACTGTTCAGACTGTGATCACATATCCCAACCTTTGACCTGTTGCTGCTTTTGAACAACATATTGTCAAAAATGTTATTTGAGAAGATCAGAGTTTGTGTGACTTGTGTCGTTGTTTACAATATCTAAAAGAAAGCATAGAAATATACTGCGTGAATTCATATACTGTTAAGCTACTTAATGTGACTGTTTTGCATTACTGCATCATTACAAGGGAAACAGCATAAAGTCTGGCTCGAGTTGCATGATAATACATAAGTGTGTTTTTAGTGTAATATGAATCAAACTTATCAGAGTGTCAGTGTTGTTCTTCAATAGACAGAACACTGTATGAGATATGTTCATGATATAATTGAAGGTACATCTGCTCAGTTACTCCCATACATTAGAAACATCAGTGTCTTTCCAAACCGAGAGAGATGCTGCACTTGTGGAGGCTATGTGACATAGTTCAACCTTATCAATTATTTAAACTCTGCAGTCACACTAACACGATCAGACAGGATCAAAAGTTAACTGGAGTATCTTGCACTTAAGGAAGGCACTGAGAGTTATGTTGGGAGAATTATTTAAAATGTGGCCATTTGGTAGGAAAGGGTGTATGACTATTTGCCTCAATTAAAATATGAAGAGATGCCAGCAGGAAGGGGAAGCAAAGCTCATCATCTACTGGCCCTCTTTTTCTCGCTCCATTCTATGAGCTTTCTCTTTCAGACATTGTTTTAAAGTTACTATAAAAGCAACCAACTACAGATTCAAATATTTATTAGTAATAATAATAATAATAATAATAATAATGATAATTAGGTTTCATGGGCCTTCTTCATTTGATTGACCAACTCTCTGGAGGCAGGCCAAGGGCAGACTTAATGTTTCGGCCCTGCACCCTCTATTATGGTCAATCAGTTGAGTGGTGGAGTAACCCCTGGTTGACTTCTAAAAAATAAATTAAAGGGATATTACGGCGTAAAATTAATTTAGGGTCAAACACACCGTAACACCGAGTTAGACACCCCCTGGAGAGATGAATGTTACTGACCGCTTCTTCTCTAATTTTACCAACTTTAGTAACGACCACAGGATAGCAATACACAGTGGTCTGAGGAGCCATTAACAAACCTCAACCAAAACGCCACTCTATAGCCACAAATAATGCTCAGAACAGCACCTAACTTCATCAACAGTACATTTAGGGTCCCAGCCACAGCACTAGCCACCAAGCATCTTTTTAGCTTTGCCTGATTTCTTTAGCAAAGAGACTAAACACAACTCACCTACTCTCTTCCAGCAGCCACTTGTTTGTAGCGAGACCTCAGGCCAGTCCATTAAGAACTGCTGCGGGGTGACGCAGCTCAAGGAGGAACATTTATGATCATTTCTTCATGGAAATGCAATCAGACCGAGACGCTAAGGCAGAAGAGCTACTGCGTCTGCAGTGCAAAAATGATTAATATGGTGATTATTACTTAAAGTTAACAATAAAGTAATGATCATAAATGTTCTTAATGTTCTGTTTAATACAGTTGTGTATTGCTATCCTGCAGCCATTACTAAAATTGGTATAACTAAAGAAGCAAGCGGTCAGCAACATTCATCTCTCAAGGTGTCCAACTCTGTGTTAAGGTGTGTTTGACCCTAAATTATTCTACACCGGAACGTCCCTTAAATATAACACCAACCCAGTATTTTCAACAGCTCTTTAAAAGGATCGACTCTTCAAAGAGCCACAAATCCCATCTCTTGTTTACATGTGCCTGAACACTTGTGCCACATCCATGGATTAAGGTCACTTTTGCTAGCAGTGTGAACATTGCTTCCCCTCACTTTAGAGCATTCCTAGGTTTCATCTGGGGTTGATTTGATGCTGCTGAGATGATGAAAAGTTTTTGTGGGGCATTGAAGCAACACATTGACTGGATAAAAGTAGCAGGAAATAGTTGCACATCACAGTAGTACCAAAGTAAAGCCATAGGAACTGTACCTAAAGGCTTGGAGAGCAAAAACATCTGCGAGGAAAACAACTATTATACTATATGCACACATAAACAGATGCTAACACACACACACACACACACACACACACACACACACACACACACACACACACACACACACACACACAAAGCCAAAGTATGACTAATGCCTCAAAATGAACTCACATTTAGGTGAGGCTGTAAGCCAGGCTAAACCCACTTTCACCTCACTCGCGATATTAATACTAACAATAGTAACGTCATTGTTTTGTCACATCCGTGTAGTGCAAAACCATAATGATAATTAAAACATTATAAATTGGGACACTCTTCTTCTTTCTGACTTACAAAATAGGCATAAAGTTCGCTTTCCAACGAATAAGCCTGACGATTGACGTTGGTTAAGATTAGTTAGGATTTTACTTCACACAAATCTCCACTAAATTAAACTCTCTTGGGTTTCCAGTCAGTCAAAAACAACCTAAACCCTGTCGGATGAATATGAACAGGATTGTTAAATGGTTAGAGGGTTGGCAGAATGGATTCAGCAATATGGGCGATTAGCAAAAAGTTAGCCAGACCAGCTATAATTGTAGCATAACCTCCACTGCTAACCTGATATACAATTAAAAAACGCCACAGAAAATCGTTCGAAATAGCACAGGGGTTTGGAGTTTAATCTGAAAGTTGTTCGTCGTTACATCTTGCAGGCAAGTTGATAATAAAGTTGACAGAGCATGTCAAAACCGCATAGTCGTTGGCCAGGCTAAGCTAGCGTGCTAAGACGCCCATCCTGGTCACAGGAATGAAAACAAACATTACTTGGGGGTTAGGGATTGACATAATCCAAACTCTGGGTGCAACAAAGCTTAGCATGTATTGTTAGTCAAGACGTGTATATAAAAGCCACTGAAAGAAACACATTTTCAAGGAATACAGCTCAGCCTGGGCTCTTTCTGAGAGAAGTGACGCCTATTTTACACTGTTAAATTGGGGCCTTGACGACGCCAGGAAGCCCTCAATCGGTTTCCTGCTCTGCGGACCCGCTGACAGCCACTGAAGCTGCGCCCTGTTGTCCCACCATGTCGCACCCCTCAATGTTGTTAAGGTACAAGGGTCTATCTTTTTACTCGTTTCGTCTACCTTACCTGGCGCACTGCAATCTGCACAGACTTCTGTTCTTTGTAGCTTTCTTGACATCTCGAAATTCGCTGAAAGCCGGAGGTGAATAAAGGCGATGATGCGGTTCGCCCCTTTTCCCCCCTTGTTGCCGTCCGACGTCTGCCGTCAACCGATGCGGCCCCTGAATCCCCGGAAGCCGGTTGCTGTGGTGGTCTTTCCCGGCAAGCTGGCGGTTGGATTTCCTTCACCTTTTCTCTCAGCCCACATTTACCAGGGAATTAAACTCTAGGTCCGAATTATTAGACATAGTTCATCTGGGTGTATGAACCTTACATTTGTGTATATGTACAAATTCGTCCGCTGCATTGCCTGTGGCTCATCGGGAGACGGCAGCTCTATGCCAGTTTCCGCACACCCTCCCACTCAGTGGCGTGTACAAGTAGACACTAGGTGGTGCTAGAGTGTCTGCCCTTTGCCCTCTGGACCAAGAAAGTGTCTTTTTGGAAGTTTTTGATAACAGTCTATGAAGGTATTTTTGGTGCAAAAAGGTTTGTGCATCTGTAACATGTGCTTTGTAGTTGTGTACAGTGATTGTGTATTAGTAAATGACAAATCCGCATTCTGTGAGTTGTATACTTGTAGATTTTTTTTATTTCCAAAAGTACAAAACAACATTTACACATTCACAAATTCTTAATTACAGGTGCACAAATCCTATTTTACAAGTCACAGCTCAACTCAACTTTATTTGTAAAGCACTTTTAAACAACCACAGCTGAACAAAGTGCTGTACATAAATAGACAAAACAACACAGACATAAAAACAATGGATAAAATAAAAGCAGGTATTAAAAAGTAAAACATAGTTTCAATGTTTTTAAAAACTAATTCAAAAACATAGAAACAAATAACTAAAAACAAACCATATAACACTAAAACAGGAGCCTCATGCAGGGTTGAAAGCCAATGAATAAAAATGGGTTTTAAGACGAGTTTCAAAAAATGGACAGTGTGGAGGCTTGTCTGATTTGGAGAGCTAGCTCGTTCCATAATCTTGAGGCTGCAACAGAAAAAGATCTATCCCCTCTGAGCTTCAGTTTGGACCTCGGTACCTCCAGGAGCAGCTGATCAGCTGACCTGAGGCACCGAGCAGGGGTGTAGGGGTGGAGAAGCTCAGAGAGGTAAGATGGAGCCAGACTATTTAAAGATTTAAAAACAAATAAAAGAATCTTAAAATGAACTCGAAAATGCAGAGGCAACCAGTGGAGGGAGGCCAGGATGGGAGTAATGTGCTCCCTCTTACATACTCCAGTTAAGAGTCAGGCGGCTGCATTTTGTACTAACAGATTCAAACTCTAACACGCTCACATTTTTGCTCCAATTGTTGCTGCATATTTGGTGCAGAACATATTTGTGCACCTGTATGAGCAATTGGAAGTTGTATGGAAGTTGTGCAAAAAAATGTTACATTTATGTACAATAAGCTTTCACGAAAATAGTTGTGTTGTTTTAAAACACCAATATAAATTGATAATTACAAACACTGGAATCTTCCCCACGAATCACAGATTGTGAATTGTGAAAAATATAAAATGTCATATTTGCTGCCCTTGCCATTGAAAACACTTTAACATTTTAAAAGTACCCTCTGGCATCCCTTCAAACAGATACATGTAAAAATGGGGCCCTATTGATGCCCGTCTGATAGATAAAATGAAAAAATGCGTTCTTAATACTTTTACAGCATAAAAACAATGAAAGGTGAAAACAGTACTTATACAATGTACTATGTCATATTCTATATATAGAAGATATAAGAAATCTGATGGCTGTGGGTACAAAAGATCTGTAGGCCTTTTAAATCTCTCAGTACTGCAGTGAAGAGAGGGGAGCTATCCACCATATATATATATATATTTTTTTTTGTTTTGTTTTTTTTTTTTGTTTTTGGAGAGAGATGTCTGATGTTTCCCCAGGGATCTGTTGGAGCCATTTCTCCAGTGTAGAGTTTACTGCCCCGAGTGCCCCGATGACCACAGGCACCACCTTCCAGGCTTTCTCAAACTCCTCTTTAAGCCCTTAGTACTTCTGTAGTTTCTCACGTTCCTTCTTCATGATGTTGGAATCGCTCGGGATGGCAACATCTACCACAATGGCTTTCCTCTGCTGTTTGTCTACGATTACAATGTTCAGTTGGTTAGCCATTACCATTTTGTCGGTCTGTATCTGGAAGTCCCACTGGATCTGGGCTGTGTGTGTGTGTGTGTGTGTGTGTGTCTGTCTGTCTGTCTGTCTGTCTGTCTGTCTATCTATCTATCTATCTATCTATCTATCTATCTATCTATCTATCTATCAAATTACATTTCTGCCATTTAAAAATGCCCTAATATTTACCAAAACACAGGGAATCAAGTGCTAGAGGCAAAAATTTTCAGAGAGAGAACCCAGTGTCCCATTAATGCCTTTCTGTTAAAATGAACTTTAAATTGGCATCAGGAGATGTCAGTAACACTATTTAAATTCTGTAACCTCCAGGCTTCTGGAAGAGCCAGAACAGGTTCTGTTACACTTGTTAACAGGTTTTTCAAGGAGAGACAGAAAAGGTGCATGGTTTACAAAATGGGCTTCAAAATGCTACTAGCAGCAGACCTTATCTAATCACAACATTGTAAGCACTGATGACCCATGGCAAACTGAAGGTGCCCCTTCTAAAACTGTGGCCCCTGAATCTCAAACAGCTTGGATACGCTCCTGCTTCCGACTGCGGATTGGCTTGAGTGTGCGCATGGGCCTACTTCATTGCAGCTTGTCAACGCATCTCTCTCTCCACCGATTAGGAGGTTGGAGGGAGGGGAAGTGGAAGTGTAGGTAGGACTGAAAGAGGGCGGGTGGAGGAGTGGATGGTCAAAGGAAAGTGAAGCCTAAGAGCCTAATTTTTTTTTATCAATAATTTCCAACGATGTGTGCTGTTTGTGTCGGGAAAAGTGAATAGCTCTGTGTCCGCCGTGAACTGCATCGGCACCACGCCGATAAAGGATGATGAGATTGATGAAATAGCGTAATTTCATTATCTGCAGTTCGCAAAAAAAGGACGAGGCAAATTATGATCCGAGGATGATATCTGCAAAGAAAACTCCGGAGAAGCTTCGTTATCCAATCCACTATTTGGTGTGGCACAACAAACACCGACAGCTCGAGAAAGAGCTGACAACGAACGAGCAGGTGAGACATGGAGCGAGATGCTGCAGCCTAAACCTCCTCTTATAGACGAAGGCTTTGTCTTCAGGAGCGGCAACATTGTAGGGCAATGAATTCAAAAACGGTGCTGTAATCGTTGTCAGCGAAGGAGTGCCTTACTTGCAAACCAAGTAAAAAGCAGATAGGCCTGAGAACCCAGTTTCATTGCTCTTAGTAGGCTGGGAGGTAGTGGTCTTCGTGGGTGGGGTGGGGGTAAGGGGGCACTTGTAGACATGGGAGGAGCCGGCCTTTTTCACGGGGGTGTCCAAACTAGGGCTGTGAGTTTTAGCAGGGGTAGTAGCCAGTTGTAGGAATATGATGTGCTGGTGCAAACCTGGGAGGGCCATGGTCCCCAAGGAAGATTATTTCATATTATGACATGCCTATAAATTTCCTTGAGCAAACCTTACTAAAAGGATAAATTAAGTTGTACCCAATCTAATCTAAAAGGCATTTAGACAGAAATATAAATTATAGAATGTCAGAGAAAAATTAAAAATCCCAAAGTTCTTTAGATCCTACATTTCATTTCCAACCATTCTAATTAATGCAATAACATTTCCTTTGCAAGACATATTCATGTAATACATGTTATTGCTTATATTCATGTGTTACTCACAACTGATGCTTTGCTCACGTTTATCTTGATACTTTAAATATATTTTTTATACACTTTAAATTTTTATATGACTATTTTTTAAAAACTTGATAACAGTGGCTGCTTCAAAAAGACTGCTGCTAAACAATGTTTAGTTGTACTGTGAAGTACAATGACAATAAAGATTCTACTTATTCAGCTGTCCTCACTATGCTATATCAAAAAACAACATACTGTATTTACAACAAATTTTCTTTGCTGTTTTCATTTTACTTTATATGTTAACTTTGGACAGACACGGTAGATAAAGTAGGCCTACCAACAAGAGAAGTTTCCAAGACTGAAATGCAAAGAAGCTACAAGTGGTTTGTTGAAACCATAGACTGTATATAGAATGGATGCCGTCTGCCTCCTCGCTGGGTGAAGCCACTCCAAGAACAGCACCCTCTGGTGACGGGCTGCAGTATAGGTCATAAATCCCGCCTCCTCCAGTAAAGCTTATGGGGCTGTGGACAAACTTTAGAAATTTATTACACAGAACATAATTAGTCTCCCCCCTGCTTGCGACGTTGACATATCGTTACTGTAAGACTGGTTTGTGCTCAAGTCCTCTTTTTTTCTGTACAGCTCCATTTTTAAAAGTTATTAGGGGGTTTGTGTTATCGATGAATGACACCTGATACAGCCTATGGGCGTACGAAGATTGCGTAGCTCACCTGGGGGGTATGCTGTTTGAGCCGAAGGTCATCACTGCGACTCACGGTGACTCTCCCGCCGAATTGTTGGTTTCAGGAAATGGAGAGAAAAACGCGGAAATATAGAGAGCTTTGCTGCTTCAAATCCGTATACTGGTGGAAGGCAGAACCAAGTTGTCGATAGTATATACAGTCTATGGTTGAATACAGTGGCAGACCTAGGGGATGCCCTTGACCCCACTGAAATCTGATCAGCCACCAAAGTGACCCTCCTGAAATCCCACACCATGTTTGGCTGCTTGCCTTGTCAGAAGCATTTGAATTGAAAACAACTTTTTTAGGGTTTTGTTCAACAAGCTGCTCGTAGCTTTTTGCATTTCACTGTGGAACAGTTTCTTTTACGACTATAAATGGGAACTTTGGACAACAAACTTCTTTTGCGATCTCAACGAGTGACATTGAAAAGCTAATAACGTTCTCTACTCTGTAGTTACCTCCTAAAGTTAGAAATAAATACCAGAATATAGTATTTTTTATATGTCACTTTAGAAATGTAGGTAGGAGTAATTAGTGGAAATAACCCTTCAAAGTTGGAGGCAATCTTGGTTTGGCAACCCCCTATAAAAGTCAGTGCCCCTTTCTGGCCACCTCAGTCAAAAGAGTTTGGCTCTAACCCTGGTTAAGACATGATCTAATTTGCGAATGCCAATATAAATGTTGTTTCTGATAAGGCAGGTCACCCCTGGCTGCACCCTTTCCAGTTGAGATATCCACAGATATGAATTTGCACAGGTGGTTTTTGCTGTTGTTTTTGAAGTCACAACATGACATTTCAGACTTATTGTTTATAGAGGTTGGAAATAAAATATCCCTGTCATTATATATTGCACGATAAGTTAAAAACAGAGTTAAGCCTATATGGAAAAACTGCAAGTGTCAGCTATAATTGCTGACCCCGACAGTTATCAAATCTGAAGTGTGTGTGTGTGCGTGCATGCATGCATGTTTGTGTTGCCAATGTTGCTGTGCCTGTGTGCTAATGTACTTCTGCACTTTGCACTTCAGTGAAAGCAACACTCTTATGTGATCTACTCGAAACTACAGCACTTTACCCTCCAACCAGCAAATCTGTTTATGAGTGGGTGAGACACAGATATTGAGCATGTGGGCAGATGGTTGTCATCCATCACGGTTAACATGGTAATGTAATGGTAAAGGTATTAGCTTACTATGATTGAAAGCATACAAAGAAATATTCGACCACTGGTTGAACTTGAACTTTGAGGAGAGTTAAAGTACATGAAACGAGAAACATCATTGTTTGTTTTATTTTGTATTTTTTGGAGAGTTATGAGACAATATTTGGGTGAGGGTATATTAGTGCTCCTGTTTTTTATTTTGTAAAAAATTTTTAGATGAAGTGTAAATCATTTTGAATGCTTACACTCAGTGGTTTTGAGAAAGTAGTTTTCAACATACTTGACATCTTTTAAAATGTTCCATGATGCCGTGTTATTGAAAACAGGGGCAGTCTCCAGTTTTACAGCACTTGTCTCACCCAACGTTGTTTGCACCATATGTAATGCCGCAGGGAGTGTGAGCTCCTTTGCTGTCATCTGTAGTTTCCAGCACTAAGCAATTCTGTGTGCACCTGTCTTGTTTGTCTCAGGAGATTTAGCTGTTTTTCTTTTCACCTCTGTAAGTTAAAAAAAATGTTTCTAATGTAATTTTTATTCCTTTACTTTTTAATGTTTTAAAAGAAGCCAGGAAGAACACGACTACACCGCCTATTAAAAAAAAAACAACCTAATTTTCTTGCTCCCTCCACAAATCCTACCCTGTGTCTCACAACAAAGGAGACTCTGATGGGGAAATGGGACAACCTTTCAAAACTACAGAAATTGTTCTCCTCAGTCTTCAGAGGTTTAAGGAGTGTTGTGAAAAGAAAAATTCATTATAATTTTTGACAAGCTTTTTACACTCCTATTGCGAGTCTCACCAAAAAATGCTCTGACTGTGGAGTGAAAAAACTCAGGTGTCTGTGGCAGCTGCAGGACAATGTCACGTTCGCCCCCCAAAATTGATTTGGCTAAAGTGAAATAATTGGACAAGCTTCCTATCGACCTGTTTACCTGCATTGCACATTCTGTGTACAAGATCCCATCAAGTGTTTGAAAGATGACATATAATGTAATGTGTGGTTTTTCTTTTTAAAGCTCGACAACAGCATGAGTGTTGAACTAAAAGTGATTAAATCAAAGGCTACCAAAGAAGCAGCTCGGGACAGGGTAGACTCAACCAATAGTTTTGAGTCTGTACTGAACTGTATCAGCATTGTCATAAATAATATGCAAGCTTATATAATGCTTCTATGTTGTTTTTTTTAGCTGTATTTTGTGCTAATCAGCTTAGTGTAAAGTGCAAACTACCTGTTATTGAAAGCTTTTCAGATGTTTATAGTTTAAAGAAATATAGTTTTGATGATTTTCTTAGAAACATGTTGATTAATGTGTCTCTACGGCTGCTGTTTGTGCTCCTGATCATCGCTCATAGCTTTGATAAGAGTTGCACTGTGAGTCTCTGCAGAGTGATGTAAGTGGTATGTTTAAAAGATTACACTGTTGCCCGAGGGCAGTGCAGGGTAATGTCTCAGTTAAGTTTTTCTGTTTCCCCATTTTACTCTTAACTGTCTGTTATTTTTCTATCTTTTCTATTCCATCTCCTATTTTTTTTCATTTAGATTGATCTAGAGTCTCTAGACCCACGTGGCCGGACTCCCCTCCATCTGGCTGTAACACTGGGCCACTTAGACTGTGCCAGGGTCCTACTGCAGCGTGGAGCTGATAGTAGCAAGGACAATCGCAATGGATGGACAGGTGAGACGCTCCTGCTCACTCGTATCGTTCCAATTATATTCAGGTATAATGCAGATAAATACTTGTAGTTATTACAAATGGGGCCCAGTCAACCGAAAGTAAAAAGCATTGGTGCTACTGTAGATGCCAACAGATTACCAGCAAACACAATTTTTGCAGGACTTCTAAAGCTAGGATAAAGTGACATAGTCCAGGACCAGAGGTAAACAGTTTAGCGGCGCTACAACACGCAGCAGGTCCTGTTTGACAAGAAACTCTTCTGTTACAGAAGCTTGGTTTACTTTGTTAAAGCGGTTTGCCTGTCCAGCAGAAAGGTTACAGGGTCCGTAAGATCCAAAGCTTCCCTGAAGCGTTTATGCTTCATTGATGTTGACTTGGTTTTTTAGCTCTTGTCCGGTCTACCTCCTTTTTAAGCACCTGTTATTCCGCCAGAGTCTTTGGTATTTACTTTGTTTTCGTGCTTGTGTTGGCAATCGTGGCCAAAGTAGGATTCAGACAATTTTCCGTACTTTCTGGTTGGTTTCTACTGTCTGATATTGTAGCACGCTAACTTTGTTTGGGCTTGTAAACGTTATTCGAGGACATGGAGCGTGCCTCACAACACGAGGGAGCAGCATCTGCCTTACAACCAATCAGGTTGGGGGAGGCAGATAACGGCTTTGTTTATAGTCAGAATGACCAGACCGCTCGAAATTTTTAAAATGTTGACTACACAGACACAAGAGAACACAGCGATATTCCCAAATGCCATCAATAACTAATAGCTATTGACTGATATTAAAAGCTTTTTTATATATACACCACAAAAAAAGATGCTTCTTTAACGGGATCCTGCCTACCCCACCTTTAAATACAGCCAAGTCAATGAATTCACAAGCAAAGTGGCTAAGCGGAAGCCTTCGGCAATTGGTTGTACAAGCTTTTTCTTTGGCCTACTTAAGTTTTAGCCGTTCTCACTAGCCCCCTTAAAGTGCTGGTGACTAAATTTTAAATGAGGCCTGAGTGATTGGCTCTGTTTTATACATTCTCACTCCTTCTCTCACTTCTTTCTCCTGATTGCAGTTCTTCAGGAGGCAGTAAGTACCAGAGATCCAGAGCTGGTGCGTCTTGTGCTTCGTTATCGTGACTACCAGAGGACAGCCAAGAGGCTGGCAAATATCCCTGTCCTGCTAGAGAAACTGCGCCAAGTAGGATTCAACTCAAACATAAACACATGCATATACTTGTTTATTAATGAAGAGGGGCAGTTAGCAGGATGGCAGTGCTTTGAATTGTAGTTTCAGTTTTTGTTTTGTATGTAAATCTTTGACTCAATATTTATGACTTGTAAATTAGAAAAACAGTGGCAGAGATTTACCACATAGCTGCTGTCAAATAGTCCATCTATCTATGTCTCTGCCCACACCAGCTACCTGATGTGGACACAACCAAACACATGTCCACACATTTATTAGCATAAAGAATTCTTAAAGGTAAACTTTCATGTATTCTGTATTTGTCACATGTAAAGTGCATTTAAAAACCTTTTTGTTCTCAATTTAATGATTATGACTGATAGCTCATGAAAATCAAAATCCAACATCTCTATACCATATAAATACTTACTGTACTGTAAATAAATACTGCTTGATACAGTATGTTATAGAGGCATTTTGTCTGTGGCATGCTAAGGTGTTGTTGAATCCTAGGTTGCATTAATAATGGCTTTCAGATATGTATTTTGAGGTCAGGTTTTGCCCCTGTTACTCTTAACAATACTGCATACATCCACTGTTGGTTCTCTCTCGGTGCTGGTTGGCTGGCGGTCAGTCACACAGTAATATTGTGGTTAGTAGTTGTTTTAGCACTGTGGCCCGGTGCTTAGACCTGCTATGAGAAGAAATAGGTCTATATCAGCAAGCCTTTCAGCAGATGGAAGCATAAAGAGCTCCAAGATCTCCAGGTAGTCAGCTGATTGCTTTTGATTGAAACATGGTGGTGCAACACCAGTAGATGACAGGGTACCCTAAATCATCAAAGACCGCCTCTCTCTGCACTTTGGATCCTGTGCCTCTCTACTTTTCCTCCAGACTTTTAAACTTACATTTTTGAAAAAAAGTCAAAATCATAGTGTTGTTATTAGAAATTCAAGATAGACTCTCATTTGAAAGGAGACTCAAGGCAGAGGAGCAATAGACCTTTTTTTAAGATGCTTCTGAAATGGTCTTTTGGTCAGCTGTGTCCTGATATTGGGAATGAAGCAGTCTTTACCCTTTTCCTGTTACTGAACCAACACTAGCCTCAGTCTAGTCCCTTTGAAGCTCTCCTAAGATCTTGAATGTACTTTTACGCCAATCTTGTGAAGGTTGGTGTCATCCCTGTTGCTTGTGTGCCTTTTTCATACCTCACTTTTCCCATCTGGCTAACTTTCCATTAGTATGCCTAAATACAGCGCTCAGAATAACTGCTCCTTTCAGCAATGGCTTTAACTTTCTTGTGGAGGTTGTCAGTGATGGTCTTTTTGACAACTGTCGTGTCTTGCCATGTCAGAAAACTCCCTGATGACTGTGGTCACATGAACCGAACTCGTCTATAAGAAATATATATCTGTACTGTTCAATGATTTACTGTTTTTCATTCTGTTCTAATGATTCAGCTGCATCTGTGTCTCCTCAACTCTTTTTTCTGTGTCATTTGTGTTGATCTTCCCCCATCTCATCCTTCTATCCCTGCCTTTTTCTGACCAGGCTCAGGACTTTTATGTGGAGATGAAATGGGAATTTACCAGCTGGGGTGAGTCCAGGCTCTATCAGTCCAGTCAGTTAAGCAGTATAAGCAGCCAGAACTAATCATGTTTTCATCTCCAGCTGGGGCTGAAGAGTTTTTCATCTTTTATCTGTACTGCACACCCAAACTCACACTGTCTGGCTTTGGATTTATAGTTAATACAATTTATGCTCTACAAAACCACAGATTATAAACAGGATTAGTATGGATGCTGGATTTGTGTCTAATTGTTTCCATTTTTATGTGTATACATATATCCTGCATCTCAGTTCTCTGAAGTGACAGTCCTCCTGTCTTCAGCCAAACCTAAAGTAGTTTTGAGTCCCTCACATGAAGGGACTGGAAAAGTGAAAGAGAAATGAGGGGAGAAGAGGGAAATCTGATAAGTGATGCCTGGGGAAAGATATAAAGCTGCCTTCAAAAAGTCTTTACTAACTGACAAGCTGCTGTATCAGATATCACTCAATGATATTGAACAGACTTCAGGGAAAGTTCACAACTTCCTTAAAACAGATACCTAAGGGTATCTCAAAGCAGTAAATAAAAAGAGTTGATAGTCAGTGATGAGCTGGAGTTAAAACAGTTTTACCTGAGTATAAAAAATGAAGATTGGTGAGTTTTAACATCTGAAAAGTTTTCTGATTCACTGTTTAATCAAAATACCCACTGAGCATTTTTTGGCCTAGACATAGCCTAGACGACTGGTCTAAAATCAGGCTACCACAGGTATAAAAATGAAAGTATTTAAGACGTCTAAATTTAGACCAAGTTTAGAACAACTCTAAATCTGGGCTATATCTATACTTTACTATTTATTGCTCAACGGCTATCAGAATTATTTTTGTTAAGTACTTGGAGATCAGTTATGCAACTCACATTTGCTTTTTGAAATAAATAGTTATTGAATGATAGGTTAAAATGCAACGTCTGAATCTGTCTAAAAATACACAGAATCTAGACGGTTGAAATTAGGTCTAAAAAAAACTAGCTGTCTAATAGCCGTCTATTGCTCAGTGGGTACCAATGATTCAGTCCAATGTCATCGTTTAACATAGTTATTTTCTCTTTATAGGCAGATATTTCTCTGGTTGAATTTTATCATGGAGTATTAAAGTCTGACAGTGGGAGTCTAATTGCAATTAACACTTGCTACATTTACTGTTATGACGATCAAGTTTCATACAAGGCCAATCATTAATGACCGCTGAGTTTGAAACGAGGTACTTGATTTCTTCATTTCCTGAAACTTTCAACCTGATGAATAATTTCCAATGTTCCAGAGACATCACAGTAGTTTGTGAATCCATGAAATACAGGGTTCACAATCAGCTTGTCCATAAATGACAACGCTAATGTTAATCTTTTTCTGTATCTCTGGTGGGAGAGACCAAGACGCAAGGAAAAGAATTTAACTTCAGAGAACTGAGACGCACTCCTTGTTGTTACAATCTGGATTTTTTAAAATACTACACAAAAAAACTGACAACATGAACTAAATATATTTTCTAAAAATCTATTAGAAATGGCACTGTTTGATTTATTGTGATTCTGTTGTCCTTAGTGCCTCTGGTGTCTCGAATCTGCCCAAGTGACACCTATAGAGTTTGGAAGAGTGGCCAATGTCTCCGCATTGACACCACTTTGATGGGATTTGAGCATATGACCTGGCAGAGGGGAAACAGAAGCTTTATCTTCAGGGGACAAGGTCAGAATCTTAACTTTACTTATATTGTGAACTTTTGTGTTTGTGTATGTTTGTGTGACGGTATACAGTATTGTGCTGTATTTGGAAATATGTAACCCACTGGTACAGACCCAGATGTTGCACACAGGCATTGATGGTAATAAGCTTCAATTTTGACTACAGCAATCAACAGGAAAACATGGGTAAGAATAAACTCAGTCCTGTCAATGTTCAGACCATATATACAGTCTATGGTTCGGACCGGAAACACACACACACACGCGCACACACGCGCACACACACACAGATGTCATCAAGTTCATCTCAGTATCACAGCTCTGTGAGGGAGCTGGCAGGAGAAGCAACAGGTCCAAATTTAGATAAGTGTGAATAACTGACAGTCAAGTAAGCGGTAGATGAAAGGGAAATCAAACTCAGGCAGCGGTCCTGGAAGCACGTAGGTTAATGTCCAGAAAATACACACACAGTGATCAGTGTGGTAAGACTGTGAAAGCCTCAGAACACAGGTGAATGCCAAACAGCCAGGTGATGATGAGGCAGAGGGGAACCAGGAATGTTGAGACACAACTTGCGCTTTGGTTCAAAAAGTGATTACTGGGTGACAAGGCTGGCAGGTCAGAGAGAAATGAGGTTGGTGATGGGGAAATGGTCCATATGAGAATGCGTGGATGCCTAACATGGGAAAACAATCCAGCTGTAAGTTAGAGGAAAAGGCTTTAATGCTAGCATGACTGGCAGACAGAATGGCACACAGTTTTGTTCACAGGTAAGTCAAGTGGGCTTAATGAGGTGGGAGTTGTTGGCTGATGGAGCAGCAGAGGTGAGCTGAGAGGAAAATGGAAACTAGGAGGAGGCAGGTTAGCGATGCAGCTGAACTGTGATAATATTCTCATTAACATACACATTAACATGAAATTCCACTACAAAAAATTAGATACTGAATGGACTGAGAGAGATATACATTTTCAAAGTAACAGAAAACAGTGTAGTACACTCATTTAGTCCTTTATCAGTTGAGATGAAATCATTGAAGATTGTCACAGTAGCCATAATGTTTGTGTCCTGCACCATAATTCACACGCTTAAAGGGATATTCTGGCGTAAAATTAATTTAGGGTTAAATACCCTGTAACACTGAGTTAGACACCCCCTTGAGAGATGAATGTTGCCGACCGCTTGCTTCTTTAGTTACACCAACTTTAGTAGCAACCGCAGGATAGCAATACACAGTGGTCTGAGGAGCCATCAACAAACCTCAACCAAAACGCCACTCTATAGCCACAAATAATGCAAACTCGGTGTTACGGTGTGTTTGACCCTAAATTAATTTTACGCCATTATATCCCTCTAAGTGATTCCTTTCTCATCTTTCCTTTATATTTTGGTGCCAACAATTGCTGATCAGATTCCAGCGCAAAAGTGATGGAGGTTGACCATGACAAGCAGCTGGTATACTGTGAGACTTTGTCTCCAGCTGCCTTATCACCTGGTCGAATGAATGGCAGTTCATGCAGCAACAGCATAGCTGGTCTGGGCCTTCTGGGGACTGCACAGCCCAGTGATGAGCACGTAGCAGGAAGACTGTCGGCCCCTGTGGTGACCACTCAGCTGGACACCCGCAACATTGCCTTTGAAAGGTCAGATACATACCAATACACTAAACATGAATATACAGGATAATTTTATAATCCTAAATAAGTACAACCTGGAAAGCACATCTAAGTAGCCTGAAGTGTTGTCTTTTATTGTTTTTGTAAGTGTTAAATTTCTGTCACTTTTGAATGTTGTTGATAAAGCCATAGCTTGTGATTGTAACCAGGAAGTTGATTTACTCTCAGGCAAAAGGGGTAATCTACATCAACTGGCAATGCAACTTTAGGATGACTCAACATTGAGACCACAGAAAACTTATTTGGGATATGTTTAATCTCTGTTGCAGAAATAAGACAGGTATACTGGGCTGGAAAAGTGAGAAGACTGAGACGGTTAATGGATATGAAGCCAAGGTAGAACACACACACACACACACTGCCTCCACAGATCTCTTACACAGAGCGGAGAAATCACTACATTCAGAACACAATGTGGTGTTTCCTTACAACTTTACATATCCAGTTTTATTTAAGAATGGACCACTCCAAAAGCTGATTTCAATTTTTTTCTTCAGATTTTTACATTTCGAAGCAGCTTTGAGAAACTGGTATTTTCTGTTTATGTTGGTGTCTTCTAAGGGTAAGAGTGAGGCACAGGGGGTTGATCTGGTTTTAATAGCAAGTAAGAGGAAAACAAAATTGTATTTTTATGTTGTTTTTATTCGGTAAGCTGTTTTCAGGATGCATAGCAATGAGTTGCTGCATTTGTGGTAATATGAAGGTAGATAACTACAGTGTGGTTTGGGTGAGACTTACATTGTTTGTTTACTATAAACTGGAAATATGTATGCAATGTAGATAATTTTGGTAGCTTGATATTTGTTAAAGAGGGGGTATGGTGGATTTTTTCAGACTCTATATTTCCTTTCTGATACATCTTTAATAACTTTACATGATTTTCAGTTTAAGAAAAGCCTCCATTTTTTATAGTGGTGTATTAGAATATCATTATTTCAAACACTGCGTTTAAGCTGCAGTCTCCACGCCCCACAGCGTTGAAGGTTTTGATGTAATGTGTTCTTGAAGCCCATTAGATTCAGTAAAAAAGACAGTAATTGGTGTGTAGTTGAACCATCAGGAGTATATTTTAGTGCTTACATGAGGAGAGATTAAGTGTTCTGTTCAGAGTAGATAGCCCTCATGCTGCTGGCTAAAAAAAAAGAAGTCATATAAAGCATTGTTTCTAAGTAGAAAGACTCAAAAGGCAGGCCATCTATTATTTACTGGTCCACAACACTCTATATGACTACTGGTTGGGGATGAAGTCTAAAAATGAGCAGAAATAATGGAATATAAATTGGTCATTTGCCCAAACACAACATGTATGTGAACAATGTGGAAGTAAAGCCAGGCCTAACACAACAGTCAATTGTGTCATTCAGGTGTACGCAGCATCTAATGTAGAGCTGATCACCAGGACCAGAACTGACCATCTCTCAGACCAGAACAAAACCAAGACAAAGGGTAGGTTCCTCTGACAGATTTAATAAACTACATGTCTGAAATTATACTGACTGATGAGTAATACCCTTTACCTTAACTTGGTATGATATACTGTGTATTGCAAGGGTGAAAGAAAAAAATTGATTCACACAAGTATGGCGATTTTTTGTTTTACAATTTTTAAATCGATTTCTATGTTCAAAAATCTTTTTTTTTTCTTTTTCAAATTTAAGAATCTTAAAAACTGACTTACATGTGATGTGTATTTGTTTTGGGAAATATGGTTCTTGGAATAGTCAGTAGACAATCATAATCATTCAACTGTTTCACTGCTGTTAAAAAGATCGACGATATAGTAGAATCGCAGTTTAAATTAAATTGGATCCAATTAGTTGTAGAAGAATTGAATCCGATGTTAAGCATATCGTCCCAGTCCTAGTACATTGTATTCATTTGAAGTGATTTATGTCATTGAAGTGTTGAGATCCTGTAGTTAATCACCATTACATTTGAGTCATTAACTACAGTCTTTTTACCTTTCCTTGTCACTCCTGTGTACCCATGAGAAGGGGGGAAGACTCCACTGCAGAACTTCCTGGGGATTGCCGAGCAACACATGGGGCCTACCAATGGGGTGAGTGGAGAGGTACTATCAGAAGAATTGTACATATTGATTATGCAGAAAATAAAGAATATTTAGTTTCTTTGGTCTTTGGGTCAGTAAAATCTCCTGGAACCTGTCTTTTTTTCATACGAGCATCTTAACCCCCCCTTTTTGAAACACAGTTCATTTGCATCAAGAAAACATGTCCTCAGAGTGACGCACCAGCGCCGAGGCTGCTCAAACCTGATGGTTTATTCATTGTTTTCTGAATCCTGTCATGCTTTCTCCTCTTTCTGACTTCAGTCAAATCACTTTTTAATCTTACAGTTGCATCAGTGTTCTTTTTTATTAGTTTGTTTTGCCAAACTCTAAATTGGTTGGGATGAACTGACTACTCAAGCACTATTATTTAAAATATCTGTTGTTTGTTCAGACTCTGGCAGCCTTACTTTGTGGAATTATAGTGGTCTACCACAGAAAAGTATACCCAAGACTTGGCCATTAGGATTGAGCTACTGATAGAAGTGTCACGATTCAGGGTGAAACAAAAAGGGGAAGGACCCCAGTGCAGAACCAAAAATGATTTATTTAAAAATAATGAAATAAAAAGCAACAAAAACTTACTTTAAATGTCCAACAGAAAAATTCCCAAAGGCAAAAAAAAGAGACAGAGGCAAAATCCAAATGAACCAAAAATCCCAAATTCAACAAAAGACACTGGGAGGAAAAAAAATCACAAGGAGACACTGGTATACAGACACATAGACATACAACACAATGAACCAAAAAGGAAACAGGGGAAGACAGGAACTATATATACACACACAGGGAAACGAGCAACGAGAGGCAGGTGAGGCTAACGAGACACAGGTGCAGACAATTACAGAGGGGGGAAAACTGAGGAAGTAACACAAGATTAGAAACGCAGGGAATAAACTACTACAGAATAAAACAGGAAACACTGAAAACTGATGTAAGGAATAAAACACTAAAAACAGGAGGGAACTGGGGTCAGACACAAACTGAAAAGGCCGGACGACAGGGGAGCAGGAACAATAGGGAACAGAAACACTAGGGTAAAATCACAAAACCAGAAAAACTAAAAACCAGAACATATCATGACAAGAAGCAGTGAACTAACAGACCAGATCTAATGTTGTGATATAAAAAGAACAAGTGAAGTATTTTTAAAGGAAAACAACTTTAGAGATGTTGGAAATGTCAGCAGGTGAGGTGAAAGTCTGTAGAGTTCCACAATAAACTATGGCAAAGAAAAGTGAGCTGAACAATTTAAGAAAGTCGGCACATTTGCATTAGTAAGATACTCCTCTGGTTATGCTATTTACTGTCTGCAGGCTCTAGTGACCCAGCTCTCCTGTCCTGCGGTGACCAATCCTGCAGCACTCACAGCAGAAGAATATTTCAACCCCAGCATTTCACAAACTCAGAGGGATATCGGCCTCCCCTGCCAGCTCACCACCAAGACCCAAAGGTGACGAGGAACCAACAGTTTAAAAAAACAAAAAGCTATAGTGTAACAATAGGCCTTGTAGAAATCAGTTTCCTTTTTTAATTGGAGTAAAGTCAATACAGCGATTAGCTCTTCAATGAAAGACATTAACTAGTTATGTTTACTTTAGTGCTGCCAAGGTCAGCATGAGTTTTGTTTGTATGTGATATTTGTTTTCCTATTTCCAGGTTTAAAGCCAAGCTGTGGTTGTGTGAGTCCCATCCTCTGTCCTTGGCAGAACAAGTGGTGCCTATCATTGATCTTATGGCCATCTCAAACACCCTGTTCGCTAAGCTTCGGGACTTCATCACTCTGCGCTTGCCACCTGGCTTCCCTGTCAAGATCGGTGAGAGCTGGGATAGTGAGATGGAAAGAGGGAGGAAGGGAGGGGTTGGTGGATGGTTAAATGAAGGAGATGGAAAGTTTGAAATAGAATAAAAAGATACAGCAATGAGATGAAAAAAAAGAAAAAATTAGATGAATGAAAGGAAGTCAAAATGAAGAATTCCTATGAAAGGCACTCTGTTAACTGGGTTATTTTTCTGTTTTTTACTCAATGCAGAGATCCCTCTTTACCACATCCTGAACGCTAGGATTACGTTCAGTAACCTCAATGGCTGCGAGGAGGGAAACGGCTCCTTTGCTGACAATGAAGCTGGTTTAGAGACTGATGGACCGAGAGAGACTCTGAGGACAGACACCCCATCTCCTGGAAGTGACTGCTCAAGTTTGTCCAGCTCCAGCTCCACCAGTAAGATATCTATTATGTCACATCTCACTTTAAGAGCTCGAAAATAGCTGAGCGCTAAAACTCACATGATAGAGTTTACACAATATTTCTGTTCAGAAAGACCTCTTCTTATACTAAAAATAATGTAGATGCAGAGTTTTAATGAAGATTTATCATCGTTTCACTTGTAAATTGCGGCTCTGCTTCCCCCCATCATGCTCTTTTTCATTTCCTTCAGCGTCTAATAATGTTTTCCACTGTCTCTTGCCCTTTGCCTTTCTCCCACATGGTGTAGTGTCATGTCGAGCTGGAGAGGTTCCCTCGTGTGTGTTTGAGCCTCCACCTGGATACACCATGCTAGGTGGCAAGCAGAGAGACAGCATGAGGGATGAGGAGGAGGACTTACTACAGTTCGCAATACAGCAGAGTCTGCTGGAGGCTGGCTCTGAATATGATCAGGTGAGCTGAGTGTGATGCTCTTGAGGGATAAGAATCCAGCTAGACACAAACAATATAAACACGTCTTTTTATAATCTTTAATCTATCTAAATCCCGGTGAAATGATGAGTTTGGCAGAGAATGTCCAATGACCATGCAAAATTTCAATGTTAATTCATCATTATTATGTACTTTGATAACAAACAACTGATCTGCTCAGTGACTCAAAGACAAGCTAGTTATCACCATGACAGTGAATAATGTAATTGTAATGCATTAATGTCCTCATGCATCCTCATACTCATAGAGGTTTGGGTATGCCCAGTGTTTTTGGGCAGTGTTTGGGAGACATTCTGAATGTAAACACTACCCCTCCCAACCAGTTTTCACCTCAGCTTCTCCGTCCCCCTCCCTCTCTGCTCCAGCAAGCCCCGCCCACAAACAGACACTCCTGCGCTCTGGTATTGTTCCAATTAAATTCAGATATAGTGCAGGTAAATACTTCGGATAGTTACAAATGGAGCCCAGTCAACATGAAAGTAAAAAGCATTGGTGCTACTGTAGATGCCAACAGACTACCAGCAAACACAATGTTTGCAGGTCCCGTTTGACAAATAACACTTCTGTTACACTTGGCTTACTTTGTTAAAGCGGTTTACCTGTCCAGCAGAAAGGTTACAAGGTCCGTAAGATCCTGAAGAGTCCCCCATAGTTTTTTGTTGACCCTGCTTTTTAGCTCTTGTCCGGGTGGTCTACCTCCATTCATACCTCCAGCATCAATTATTCCGCCAGAGTCTCCGGTACTTAATTCATTTTCTTGCTTGTGTTGGTAGTCGTGGCTAAAGGAGGATTTCCTGTACTTTCTGGTTGGTTTCTACTGTCAGATATTGTAGCACGCTAACTTTGTTTTTGCTCGTGCTCATTATTCGAGGACATGGAGCGTGCCTCACAACATGAGGAAGCAGCATCTGCCTCACAGCCAATCAGGCCGGGGAAGTGGAGAATAACTTTGTTTACAGTCAGAATGAGCGGCCCGCTCAAAAACATATAAAATGTTGACTACACAGACATAAGAGAACACGGTGATATCGTTATATTACCAAATGTCATCAATAACTAATAGCTATTGACTGATATTAAAATTTTTGTTGTATATACGCCACAAAAAAAGATGCTTCTTTAATGGATTCCTGCCCACCCCACCTTTAAGTTGGGTAATCCAATTATCACTGTGTTATTTTCTTGGGTCTGAAATATGCAAAAAACAAAAATGGTAAAGATACTGATAAAGAGGATGGTAATACAAAATAGGAGTTGTGTTTTATTTGTTATATCATAAAAAACAACTACCTGTTGCATGATGCAAGGGTACATGGAAGTAAAGTGTGTGTTTCTGTGCAATTGTTCCTGTCAGATGGAAGCATCTGTTAACTTTCTCTTCTTTTGTGCCTTCGTCTGTCTGCTAACTTTCTGATTTTCTTCGCACCTCTGTGTACAGGTGACCATCTGGGAGGCACTGACCAATAGCAAACCAGGAACACACCCGCTGTCCTCTGACCCAAGTCGTCTAGAGAGGTCAGTTTTTCACTGTTACTGTTTAACTTTCTCCCTGCCACAGTCTCTGCTCCCTCTCTGTTCTGTACATTGGTTCACTCATCGTCACCTGACATTTCTAAATGCTTAGAGATATGACATGGTTAAGAAAAGGCAGGGTCTTCAGTAGGTTCTCTTTAATTGCAGTGCTTGAAGCAGAGGAGGGATGGTGAAAGACTGCATTTTAGAACTGAGATGAGGATAAGAGGCAAAGCAGACAGCAGGCAAATTTACAAGCATGCAGGCAAAAAAAAGCTCAATCCTTAGCACTGTGAGTTATAAATTTAAGAGCAAATTTCTAATTCGGTAAAGCCTGAAACACAGCTGTCCCTTTCTGCAGAACAGCTGTCTTAGTTTGTTGTTATTTTTAATACCCAACACCTTATAAATCCTTTTTCTTCATCCCTTTTGGTTCTCATCTTATGTCTGCTCTACCATAGTCAGTGTGTTTGGAGTGAAGAAGAAAGCAAAAAAGGATTGAATATGACATTTTTCACAATTTTTACCTCTCTTTTGTCCCCTCTTTTTGAAAGAGATATAAGCAGTGCAAAGATGGATCCCAAATTAAACTAAGGTGGTTTTAATCATCTCTGACTCGAGTCTTTTAAGTGTTTGCGGTGGGGCACTGATGTAGCTTGGTTTGTGGAGTGGTGACCCCTGTGGGTGGAGGCTGTAGTCCTCAATGCATCAGCTGCTGGTTCAGCTCTCAGCTGTGGCCTTTTTGGTGTGTTTCCCCCACGCTGCCCTTCTTCTTCTTGCTTTTGTGTCTAGCTGTCTAACAAGTCATCAGTAATGAAGCTACAAATGTGAATGTGGTCATTTTGAAGATCAGAAAGCAAAGAAGTTACACAACTTAGAAATCCACAGCGAGGTTTCTTCTTCAAACAACATGTAGAGCAGTTTGCCTCCATTATAGATTTTTAAAGCATCAATTATATAATACTATATATATATATTTTTTTTTTTTTTGACTTGATTTGATAATTTTATTAAGTGTCATACACCAACATTGGTGCCCAGCCCACATGGGCTTATTAGACACTGATCAACAGATTCAAAACACAATGTATCCAAGACAGCCACGCAACATAATATACAACAACAATAACAACAAAAATCCATTAAGAATTGTAACACAAACAATGAGGATAATGAAAGAAAAACAAAAAAGTTCATCCTACAGGGTACAAAATACTTTGCCGCATATGCCAAGCCTTTTCAACAAATTTTGCCAAAACAAAAACATCCTCTTCGAACAACCAACCCAAAATCTCACCTTCACTCTTCCAAAAAAAATCAGGATTTTTAAACTGAATTGATTCAAAAATGACATTCCTTAAGTCAACGTACAAGGGACAATTGAAAACAAAATGAAATTCATCCTCAACCACCTGTAAATCACAGAATTCACACAAACGTGCTATATAGGAACAAACAGAGTGATTGACATCAGATCACTGTTAGCCCAGAGGATGACGTATTCTCAGTCTTATAACAAGAATTTACACGTTTTCCTCTTATTTATATCCTTAAACTGTTCCTCAGGACACCTCAGCACAAGCCCTGTCCTCCACCCAGCCTCTCCTCCACCCCCTCCAAGAAACAACCCTCCAGCTGCTATGACGAGCAGCTACGCATCGCCATGGAGATCTCAGCTCGGGAACAGGAGGAAGCAAAGCTCCGGCAGCAGCGGGAGGAGGAGGAGCTACAGCGTATCATCAAGCTGTCACTCATGGAGAAATAATAATTGAGTTGCCATGCCAATCAAGGTTCTGAAGGGAGAGGTCTGGACCAAAGATGTATAGGAGAAAAAGTGAAAACGAGGCTGCCTTAAAAGTTTAAGGCACACTCTGCAAGCGGCTGGATATAAATGCCTAAATCAACTTTGAACAATTTTGTAAAATCAGATTTCTCCTTCCTATCAACTTGGCCAGACCTTCCCCATTAAAGCCATACTGTGATGGAGCTGTCCCGCCTCAGACAGCCAGAGAGGGACACCAGTTTCCTCTTTCTCGTGCCACACGGTTCTTTGTTGACCAGTGCCAGTTTACACCCAACAATACATTCAGTACAAGTTACATAAAATGCCGACTTGGATGGTTGATTTCTGCCTGTTTGCAGAATGTGTGTTTCTGTGTATTTGTGTGTTTTCTTCAAAACCAGCTCTCCACCAAGGAGTTAACAGATTACCCTCTGTCCTAAAAAAAAAAAATGAGTTGGGCCAACTCTCCTGCACAAATGCTCATTGGCTCCTTCTGCTGCTGTTGGATTAAAAATCAGGCATTTTTTTTTTAAAGCAGTGACAATGCAGAAGCAATTGTGTAGAGACTAATGTAACCTTTTCTGTCATGTTGAATTGAAGGTCAAAAAACCATCAGTTTTTTTAGTTTTTAATGAGACAAAAGCATGTAAATTGATTTGCACAAAATCCAAATGTACTGTACTTAGCTTGTGGGTGATCACATTTGACTGTTAATGGAAGTGGACAAGGAGTTTGAGCACAAAGTAGATATAACCATAATCATACAGACACATGATAATGCTTGTGAGTAAAATGTGGAGTAGAAGTGTAACTGAAAGACATTTTCTGTATATTTGCTTCTCACCTAATGATTTCTGTATTCACAAGACAATACTTCTGCATGGTTTGCACTGTTTTGGTTTCATTTCTATCCACTTGAGTCTAACCCTGAGACCTGCAATACAAAAGCATGTTTCAGAGGGAAAATGGAACCTCTGAAATTGTTATTCAGCAATTTAGGTTCAATTGCACATTAGAGTTGATTCCCTAACTACGCTACGAGCATACCACAAAAAAAAGACATTTCAGATCTTAGATTCAAAAGATTGTCCAAACTGGCTTAATTCGGTATCTTAATGCTTCTAGGCTCAAGGTTGCAAAACACAGAGAAACAGGTTTTGTTGTAAGAAATGAGGACTGAGGGGCAGCTTATTTTCTTTCTCATGTTTGAAACAAATGTACAAATTTGACACTCCAACATCAGCACAAACTTGAAGGGGACCTTCTGTCTCCTCTTCCAATCATTAAACTTGCCTGATGAGAAATACATTCTTATTTTTTACTTTTTACAGATGTTGAAATGCAGCAGAGATGTTTTAATTGTGTATGCTGGTAAGTGGGTTTGAATTCAAATAAAAAAAAAAAAAAACATCTCTAAGAGAAGCAATGTGCAAGTGAGTTATTCATTTAATTTTGATTCACAGCTTTCACATGTTTTTAACCCCTCATCCCAACATAGTTATAGCTTTCTGCGAGTAAGTTCGCTCTTTGACAGTCCTGAGTAAAGAACGATGACAAAAACAATGTGAACAAGTCAGTCGGAAAGAGAGCTGACCTGTTTTTGGCAGCTTGTACTCCATCATCCTTTCTCTAACACAGATTCCCAGTAGTCCAGCTTGATCTGAGGAGAACTTGACAAGCCAGTGAAACAAAACAAGGTTTTTGTCGGTCAGAGACACACAGAAGCTTGTAGAATCATTGCGCAAAAAGAATAAATGTCAATTTCAGCTGTCTCATCAGGGGATTTACACCACTTGGTATCCACTCGTTACTTTAGTTCGATGTGAACACGTGGTTCAAGAGACACCTCCTCATCCCATCTATCTGCTTTGTCTGACTGAGGAGATGTAACATTAGTTCTTCTTAAGCCAGCATGGCCTTAAATTATTATACCTCCCACTTCTTAATGTAGTCAAGCCCTACTGCCATTATTTCATAAACAGTGATTGGATCTGACCTGTTAGCGTGCATCTCACTGGAGGCTCTGATGGTCTAAATCTCAGCCATCAGTTACCCACATGAAACAGTGAGTACAATACTAGACTAAAGTGAGCTGTACTAAATGCTAGACTAAAGCGTACTGAGCAATGGTGAGGATCACACTGCAATTAATGACACCAGTTATGAAGTTCATTTTCCTCTAAAGCCAAGGGTTTGGTTACTTAGGCTTGGAGTTGTTTTGATACACAAGTACAGGACCACTTTCCTCTCTTCTCTAAATGATGTGTAAACCGATCCTCTTCATCTGGACAGGAGATGGAAGTGGAGTCATTATCAGATCTGGTTTAATATTTGCAAAAACAATAAACTTCAAAGAGAGAAATAGTACACACTTGGAAACATGAGTATAGTCTCTGCAGATTTAGAGCATGTACAACCTGCTCAAGAAAGGTGTATGAAATACAAGGTAGCAGTTTTCTAACTTGTTCACTTTAGAAACAAAAACACACACACCAATGATATTAAGATCAGTGCGAAACAATCCTCGGGGGGTTAGACACAGATTTCGAATAAAAGAAAATGACCAAAAAGAAGTTAAGTGCTTGTTTAATGAAAAAAGCAACTCATGTAGTTTTAAAAACACTAAAATCGAAAAACAAGTCCCTCCAAAGTGGAGACAACGATAATGGAAAACGTACAAAACACACTCAAACATGTTCATTCAATCCCACCTACCAATACACAGATTTCATAAGGCTGCAGTGTAATTCTACACGCTTACACACATCATTAAGCCTCTCTCATTCGCCTGCACATGCTAACAGGATTGTCCTTTCCAGTCCATTAGTTTGAGGTTACATAGTGTTGTACAGCACAGTGATAGCTCGCTGCTTTTTCTCAGCAGACGCTTTGCGAGAACGTCTCGAGTGTCCCCTCCCTTGCTGACATGATGTAGTGACTGACCCTCTTCCGGTGCTTTCTTGCTCCCCCTTCATGTCAGCGTCACCTTTTTGATGAGTAATGTGAGGTAAGCAGGGAGATGGTGAAAATGATGACTCTTCCAGATCCTTTTCCCTGAGAGACAGTACTGTTTTTCCAACGCAGGTGTTTTGAGCCAACACTTTCTGCTTCTTCCAGGTGTCATCAGCGTGAGGTGGGGGAATATGGGAAGAGTCTTGGGAGTGGAGTGATGTTGTCTCGGTGTGCGGCTTCAAGTCTAGGTCACAGAGGTCATTGGTTGACAGCTCCAGACAGCCCAGCTTCGCCAAAGAGGCTGACCTCTTCATTAGAGAAGGAGTTGTGAGGCCAGCTTGACGGATACGAGATTCCAGCCTCACACCTTTGTGCCGCTTTGGCTGTTCTAGGCAGCTCCTCTCCTCTTGCTCTCTCAGACCCTGCCCCACATGTAAGGTTGTGGGGGTCTGTTCTAAACTCTTCCTTCTATTAGTGTCTTTCACATTTCTAACTTTTCCTTCTTGTCTTTCAACACCCTTGTAAAGGAATGCCTGCAGCTCTCTTAGTGTCTCTTCAATCCTCTCGAGCCTTCTGCTATCACAATCCATCCAGCTATGGCCGTCACAACCAGGGTCACAGGCCCCTTGCCCACCCTGGGAACTGGACTCCTCATCTGTTTCAGACTGCTGCCCTTTCACCACATCCAGAGTCACTGGGTGAGAACAGGTGTGAGGCTGGGGCTGAACCAGTTGGCACTGAGTTGAGGTATCTTTGGTTGAATTACGTGACTGGCTCGGAGAGACCAGAGATGGCGATTCCACATGGCTATCAAAATTAGGGAAAGCCCCACATGCTTGGCTCGTATTTGAGATAAGGGGGTCTGTACCTGGCAGGTCAAGTCTCTGAAGTTCTGTGTGTGACCATGTTTGCCTCTTTCTGTCTTTTGACTTACAAGATTCAACTGTGTTTTCTCTCTCGGTGATATTTTTCTCTGATAAGTCTTGAGGGGAGTCAAGTGGAGGATGCTCATTGCTTAAGGGACATGGGGACAGCCTGATAGCTGTGTGCTTGGTGTTTGGGGTATGAAATGGGGATTGCAGAGGAGCAGCTACTTCCATCTTGCACTTAAGCTTCTGCTCCAGCTGCTCAGTCACTCTCCGGACCAAACCGGCTGGCCAATCACATGGCAACGTGGTCGAAGACTGAGGGTGCAATTGTGGAGTAAGCGAGTCGTTTGTGGTCTTAGAAGTCTCTACCTCAGTCTTATTTCCTGCATGCAAATGAGGGCTATCAGAGGATGTGTAGAGCAATGAAGAAGAGGGACGTGTGATGGAGGGGGACGGCTGGCATATGGCTTCAATTTCTGTGACAATGTGGTGGACTGACACTCCGCTGTGGTGGTGAGATGGATGAGTCGGGTCAGGGGTGGCCTTATCCACGCTTTCTTCTGACTGTTTGAGCACAAAAACAAAGATGTCAGAGTCTGACTTTTTTAATGAACATGTCTGTGAGGGTGTGTCTATCTTCCACTTCTAATGCGAAACATTTATAAGACATAATATCAGTTAGAGAAACATTACCAATTGTAGTGTCCATCAAGTTTAATGAATATCTTTCATTGATTACTAACTGATTGAGATTGTCTGGACAGAGAGATAGAAAACAAAGTTAAAGCATTTTTATTGACTATTCTCTATTATCCAATTCATACTGATAATCTTTGACATCCGTGTATTATAGATCTGTTCAGTATCTGCTTCTTGCGAGTCTTGTTTTAGTACAGTGGTTCTTTTAAGTCCAGTCTTCGAGGCCCACTGTCCTGCATGTTTTGGATGTTTCCCTGCTCCAACACACCTGATTCAAATGATGAGCTCGTTATCAAGCTCTGTAATGGCTTAATAACGAGCTGATAATTTGAATCAGGTGTGTTGGAGCGGGGAAACATCCAAAACATGCAGGACAGTGGGCCTCGAGGACTGGACCTGAGAACCACTGTTTTAGTGTGTTAGTGAAACTGTGTTTGCAAAAGTTTGCACACCAGGGCTGCTCCTACAAACAATGACCTTTCACCCCCAGGATTAAATCTGACATGCCCTAACAATTTTTTTTTACTTTAAGCCTTTTTCTAAAGCTGTGAAATCTACATTTACACAGATTCTCTAAGTTCAGGTACAAATATACTGGAAGTTCAGTTTAAATTTAATTTGGCAATGTCTGAACTTCGATTATGAACAGAAACTGAGCACTTAAGTGGTGTAAATGTAAATATTTTGAATGAAGAATATTTAATGTCATTAATAATAATCTGCACTCGTCACATTTTTTTGTTGTACTGTGGCAGTTTTAACAATAACTGAGATATGGACAGGGTCGCTCACATGGCAACCCCCACCCAAAGCTCAAATAATTCATTGTTATTGGTTTGCACCTTTTCATATCCACAGCATTCTTTAGACGAGTGATATCATCCCATAAATCATTTTGTACTGGTATTTTATACCAGACACTGATGCTGCTAAATACAAACAAACAGAAGGTCTTCCTTCATCCCAGAACAATGTTTTAAATTTGCGGTAAAGGGCTCAGTACATATGCTCTGCAGTCTTATGCCTTTTTACGGGCATTAGAGAGGTGGTTACCTATGCTAATTTGGAACAACCGGCACAAGCTTCTAACTTCTGAAGCAATGGCATTCACCAGTCTGTGATCACACGTCTATGACTTCCACTTAGTAAAGGGTCATAAATTGGGTTTAAACTATTCTTACTCACTTTTATATCTTTAAAGAAAAACTTCAGAAGTTATAGGTGAATGAGGTCCAGGTGAAAGACTCTGAAGGGTTACGTACCTGGCTTGTCCTGTTTTCCTGTTTCCTTCGTTCTTCAGCCTCAGTTACTCCAGTTTCCTGAAGTGATGAGGGTTTTCTGTCATGCGTCTGCTCCCTGGCGTTCAAGGAGCGTATACTGCCTTCACTGTGGTTGAACAGCCCATCAGCATTGCTGTAACGGTCCCACTTACTGCAAACCTGTAACTCACTTTGGTTGTTGTTTTTTTCTTTGGGTGAAAGTTGAGAAAGGCTTGCTGGGCTGAGTGTGCTGTGTTTGTTGCTCATTAAATCTGATATTGATTGGTCTAATGTTGCTGGAACAGTGGTTTCCAGATTGAGAGGAAGGATTTCCTCCGAGCTACTCTTCTCAGGCACATTGAGGCATGGTTCCACTGTTTTGTGTTGAGGCACTGAAATAAACAGTTCTGTGGGCTGCCTCCGGTCAGATCTCTTGAGTTCAGGAGTAGGAGGTAAGATGTGGAGTGATGGTGGAGGATGAGGCAGAGCAATTGGCACAGCTACACCTGTTGAGTTGTCAAGGTTTTCCTCTGGCACAACAGCGACAGCTAGATGGTTAGGGACAGCTGATGGGAGAAGGTCTCCTAGGTCATCTTGACCTGGTAAGTTACATACACTATCAGATTCTGTGGGTGAATCAGGGGGGGTGTGTGATTTGGCAAAGTCTTCGGTTACAGCACCTCGCCGTTCCAACTCCCCAACCCCGAGGAAGTTGTGAAAAGAGGGGATGGACGAATTGTTGTTTGAATCTGAGCGACGCAGAAAGCAAGGTTTACACTTGGAGCCCGGGCAATCTGAGAGTTCACTATCAGAATGTGAGCGCCATAGCTTATTGTGCCTTTGTTTGCTATGAAAACACAGAAAAATACAGGTTTGTTAGCACTGAAATGATAAGAAAAATCGACAGTAAATAGTTTCTTCAGTATGCAAGCACACCTGGCCAGCAGAATTCCTTGGTACTCCTCTAGCTGTTTCATGAAGGATGGGTTTGGTTTGGTGACAGTTCGTTTTTCCTTGACATATTCAAAGGCAGTGTCCAAGTCCCAGCCGTACTCTTTCATTGCATAGGCTATCACTGTGGAGGCAGATCGACTCACCCCCATCTTACAGTGAACCAAACACTTTGCACCAGCTTTCCTACAGGAAAAAAAAGAGAGAGATAATGGTGTAACAAATTTAGAGGAGAGAAGACCAATTTTGTTTAACATGCTCACAAATAACATCAACTTGGTAAAGTTGTGCGGTGTTAGAACCTACCTGGCTTTGGAAATAAACTTATAAGTTTCATTCCAGTATTCTAAAAGGTTGGTGGCCTCTTCATCATAAACTCTGATGTTGTGGTACTCAAACATCCCAGGGAAGAAGTTGTCTATTTCTCTGGTTACGTTCAGGATGTAGCGCACTCTGTGTAAAAAGAGACAGGTGGAGGTGTGTACATTGGCTGACCTCAAATACAAATTTAATGGATAGCCCCTTGAGCTGAAGCATCTTGTTTTCAAGCGAGTCAAACATACAATACAACACAAGACACTATTATACTATACAACACAGTCACAAACACACAGTTGCAAACAACATACATTAAGCTCTTAGTTAGCACCCTACCCCACATTATTCTCACAAGCCCACATCACCCACACAAAGCACAGAGTATAGCACTAAACCATTACTACACCATCCATGGAACAGCAAAGGCACTAATGTACAATAAAACCTAATAATCTGTAAACAATAAAACTAATAAGGCAACCGCAATAGAAACATGCAAGATAGCATCCATTACAAGCAGTTACAAGATGATTTGAGAATATAAAATATGGAATTTAAAAAAAAAGGAAAATTAATTAATTTAATGTACTTTATGTGACAGAAAATTCCAGTCTGACGGAGCTTTATATTTGAAAGCACGTCTACCAAATTCTTTAATATGTTCCCAACGGTTGCTGAGTGTGTCTGAGAGTTCAAGTATGTCTTCGGCTTATATTTCTGTGCATGTTTTTGATAACAGCTGCAGAACAGGTGAACCACAACATGGAAGAAAAAATGAGATAGTGCTGATGAACTCAATGCTCTTGAAAACCTAGAAGCTGGATTAAGTATTTGGGGCTATAGTCAACCAAAGACAGATTTGGTTGACTAAAATGACACCCCGTCATTGACCATTGATGTTTTATGTCAAGTATGACACATTTAAAACACCAATCTTGGTTGATGCAGGTTTACAAATAAGGCTGATAAATGTCAGAGTCACTGATAATGGTGAGTGTGCCTTGCATACATTGGTTTTCATATTGAATTAAGCAACTTGGCTAGAGAGTGACTGTACTCTTACCCACTGTTCTGCAGCTCCTCCAGGTTTGAGGCATTCCACTCAGAACCCTAGAGACAGAACCGTTATAGTCAATATCACGATGTACACAAACATGTTTTTTTTTGCAGTAAGACTTGACACAAAAAGATGAGATATTTTGAGCATGGTTCTTGTAAATAGCTTCAACCTCGAATGTAGGATAACAAAGTAAGAGTTAATTTGTCTCTGTGCTTCAACATGAGTAACAGACAAACTAGTCTAAATCAAACTTGTTGGCTCATGGATTCTTACCAGATAAACATGCTCAAAAATTTCAGTGGGGCTGTCCATTTGTCCCAGGATGATGATCATCTCTTTGTCTATGAACTCCCTGAATTCCCTCAGGTTACACACCATCTGTCTCTCCAGTTCTGTTCGGATCTGGGGAAGCAAACAGCAGTAAGGAGTGGGACATCTGTTACTAATACTTCTCCTTCATGGCTATTGATTATGAATGACTTTACTCTTTTACAGAAACGGAATTTTGTTCATGCAATAGGGGAGATGCAATACACACATATAGAAAGAAAAAACAATTGTAAGACAGTAAAAACAGACAAATATTCTTTCTCATTCTCACCTCCTTGGAGGTGACATTCTCCAGGTCTTTCTGCATCATGATCTCTCGGAGGTGCATTTTAATCAGCCTCTCTGTGCGCTCCCTCTCTGTGGGCCTGTAAATAGAAACAAAAACTTAAAAACGGAGACATTAACCCTGAGAAACGGAGTGCTACTGCAGGTCATTCATCCCATCTGCAGTCAAACTCTATAACACCAGCACTATGCTGTAATGTTGACACTTCTCAATAATCATCCTGTCTCATCTCACTACACGGCAGCTGCTTTGTGACTTTGCATTATTGCTCATCTATCACTTATACACACATTCAAATAACTTTATCATTTTAAATCTTCTGATGTTTGAATTATTGCAATACTAATGATTAAGGCATACCTACCCTTTTATATATCATCATAAAGTATAGTATTATAATTAGTATAATTATTATTACTGTTTTTATTACATTAGAAGGTTACAATCTTCTTTAAAGTCCCACTCCGATCATCTTTTTTTACTACTAAAAGTGTTCTCAGTGCTCTTTAAATTGTGATTATGAAGGTTTTTGCTAAAATCGTGTTACCTGTGCCATTTTGAAGGACTTTTTCTCTGCAGAGCTCCAGTAGACCATTAGCAATTCGCCTCTGTGTTGTGGGCAAAGACAGCGCTGCTCTGTACACTCATCCTCACGTTAGTTAGCAGCCTAACATTGCTTGTGCAGCAGAAGTGGCAGGTAACATAGGAGCTTTTAAGCTCTCGGACACTAATGTCTTAAGGGACATGATGAAAGCTAATATCATAAGCTTTCTTACGAGCATTGCAATCCGCTAACACACATGCTTGTTCCACGATTGTCCTCTGTATTTCTCCTCTATATGCAGAGCCTGGCCTGCATAGCGGTGCTCCGGGGGCGGAGCTTGGATTGGTTACATAAGAAATCTCACTGTTTCTGAACCTGCTGTTTGGGTCTGCCAGAGATTCACAGCAATTTGAATGAAGAAATACTCAGAAAAGCAATTTTGCGTTTAGTTTTCTCATGATATGTCCTTTAGCATCAGAAAAATGCCATATGAACATGTGAAAAAAACATGATTTTCACCGGTGTGGGCCTGTAAATAGAAATGACATTTTTACGTATTCATACAGTTGTGTTAAATACCTCATCTGCAGCACTCATGTCATCATATGATTCATAGTGTGTGTTGTTAACAACTTGCTGAAATTCTGTGCAGTAACCAATTTAAACACAATTATTTTTAGTTCATTTTTCTATTTTTACCTTTAATATTGTTTCATTCAACCTTTGTAAGTACATTGTTGAACTCCTCTGTCCTCTGTTTTTTGAGCTGCTCTAACAAGAGAATTTCCCCAAAAAATCTTATCTAACATCCATCCCTTATCTTATATGTTAGATCATTCCAGCATAATTGCACACTGTGCACTAGTGTCATGCGTCTCTAATATTAAATGATTAAAGGGGTAATCCGGCTTGTTTTACTCACAGGTCTGTGAAAAGGATGGTTGAATTGGCACGGTGTGACTCCACATCCTGCATGGCATTCCACTCATTGATGCAGAGTTGGCTGGATGAGATCTTGCTATGATAGTAACTGACCCAGGTCAGGAACAGGCTACCAGGGTAGTAGTTGTGACACCGAGCCACATCACAGGCTTTGTGAAGAGACTGGAGGGCTGACCTGAGTAATTATAGACAAGAGAGGGGACATCTGGATTGGATCAGACTGTTTGTCAAATAATTGGCTTAAAGTAAAATTATCAGGAAAGACTATGTGTAGAAGTGGGATAGGAATAAAGAAGATCAGGTAAGGTGTGAGTGATAGGTAAATTAAGTGAAACAGAGAGAAAGCAAAAATACTGCACAAGTCAGGAACTGAAGGATAAAACACATTTGATAGAGAGAAGTTAAGACAGGATGGAAAGCCAAAAACAGAGGATGCTTAAAAGTAGAGGGCCATCAAATAAAGAGTGGAAGTCAAAAAGGAATAGAAAAATAAATAATGAAGACGAACACTGGAGAAAATAAACATGGAAGTTTTATGTAAAGACAGAAAAGAAAAGACTGGATGAATCATTGTTAGAGGCTGAGGGTCACTTACCACATGGCTTGGACAGAAACTGGCTTAAAAACATGAACCCTGTTCACGGTCGAAACACTAAATCCACTGCAAAGACAGAACAAAGGAGGAAATTATAAGTCATATTCAGGCTGTCACTTTAATTTTGAAACTCAAGTCTTTATTCAAATGTGGGAAAAGTTCACGTTCAAACTGTAATGAGCCGTTCAAATACAAAGATCAGCATGACATTTTCAGTCTTTGTCCTAACTTTGCCCTAAAAAGTTTTCTCAGAAACAGTTCAGAATTTAAAAAACAATCAACCAGACCTTCCTCTAAATAGGTAAAAACGGTCATGTGTTTACAAGACATCATAACACTTGACTTGTGAGACCAAGTAGCGGTATACAACAGCACACGCTAAATGCTATGTCTTACCCATCGCCATCCAAGTGGATCATCGTGTCGCTCCACAGAGGCAGAACCAGACCCACTGTGCAGAAGCTGGTGGGGGAAAATCATGTGACTGATGAGCAGTGAAAATGGGTGGATTTGTTCAGAGCAAAGTTGAAACATCAAAGTAAATACTCACTTCATCATACACAAAATACTGTCCTTTGGTTTCTTTAGCAATGATGTGAAGGTCAACAGAAAAAAGACACAAAAAAACGGAGATCGAATCTTGGAAATCTATTGATCAATTATGCCCCTCCAAGTATAGAACGGCTAAATTAAAAAAAGGAAACATTCTCTTGTAGTCTTTCTCAGATTATGGGACTGAAGCTAGTGTAAATATCATTCTACAAGACACTAAGGAGTGCTGTCAATGTGGCACTGACCTATCAGAGGCATCAAAGTCCATGCCAAGCACAATGCTTTCCTCCGTGTCCTGTCGACCATTGGTGGAGACCACCACCATATAGCGGGTTACCTGGGGCAAAGCACTCTCAAGACGCACAGCCTGGAAGAAAAGACAGAAAATAACACATGGAGAAAGGAGTGAAAGGAGAGATAAAGAGATTAGATAGGTAATTTATCCACAATTCCCACAGAACAAATTTGTACATCTGTGTGTTCTGGTTCAGAGATATTTGAGAGAATGATTAACCATTCTTATTTTTCACAAAGCACCTCAAATTGCTTGCCTAACACAGACTACTCACTATTCCTTTTTTACTTCTCATATATCTACCCTCCCCCCACCCCCGCTCAATATCTATCAGCCCAACCTTTTTGTGTTACTCTTCATTATATATCTGCTCATAACTTTATCAGCAAAAACTTACAGTATTGACATATTTGACACATTGTACATGAAGATCAACATCATCAAGATTATTCTTTTCAAAAGTAATACTGCTATGAAAAATGATTAAGTTCAAGAGACATATGCTCACAAAGTGGCAGTGTCATAATCCCTGCTACAGCTAGGGGGCATAATGACTGTGGTAAATAACTACCATATGAATGTGTTCAGGTCTAACATACTGTACATCCTAAGTTTGGGTCAAGTTGGAGCATGCATGGCTGAGATTTTAAAAAAATTCTAACTCCTGTTTCATGGTGCAACACCTCACTTCAACACCTCACATCCTTTAGTGTGTTTTTTTTCTGAAAAATGACACAATTCACACTCAATGAATGAGTGCACTCACTATACTTCACTACACTCTCCATGCTCTTGACTATGCCAGACACACACCAGCAATCACAGGTAACCACAGTTTAAGTTCACAGACAAAATATAAAGGAATTAAAGTCAGCTCCTTTCAGATTGTTTTTATTACAGTTTATGAACTGAAACAAATGTGTCAGAAAACTACAGGACAGGTTTTGCATCCTGAGTGTGTGTGGTGTACCCCTAGGACCTTAAATTTGAAGTCAGCACTGGACAGTTTATGTGCATCTTCACTAAACCAAAAAAAAGTTCAGTATCAATGACTGCACCTTTTACACGGCTAAAATTACTTTTACTACCCTGATAGAACAGATTGAGTGTAATTTCAATCACTGATATAAATATTTGTACATTCAAGTGAGTAAACTCTGTGGTGTGTATCCTACTGACCAGTTTGATGGTGTCTTCTGGACGCAGCACAGTAAACATTGTCTGGAGATGTTTTTGAAGGTCTCCTGGACAAAAATGAAATCAACCTTAGGTTTCCATCTCTTTTGGACATCATTTTACTCATCATTTGAAAATGGATGTGACACCAAATGTTTTGCTAAACCTTCTGCAAGTTTGCTCTACATTCAAAGTGTACTCTCTTTTTTCTTTTACTAAAATCAACCTAATATAAAACATCTACTAATATGAAAACAGTTGTGTAGCTTTTATAGTACTGTGCTCATTGCGCATGACAAATTTAAAACCACACATCCAACTAGATAATGTCATAATTAATAACAATTAAAAAAAAAGATAATGATGCAGAGGAATGTCAAAAACAAAGTTATTTACCTGTGTGCTTGTTCCTGCATTGGCTGATACAAGGTGCAGAGTCAGGTGTAGGAATATCACCTCTTGGAAGGAACAAGGCTGCACCTTTCACAGCGAGAAAACTCTCACTTATACTGAAAAGATAGAAAACAGACAGAAATATCAACATAAGTCTTAACTTGACATTTGTAGAACGATGGAGGGCTCTTAAATTACTAATACTGAGTGTCACTAAAAAGAATGAATTGTAGTACAGTGATTGGGTAAACTTAACAGCGCTAATGGGGCTTGTATCTCCACTACAACAGAACTTTCGAGTTCAAAGTGAATTTCAACTGACTGATTCAGTTTTCCAAAATGATCAAAAGGAATAGATTATGGCTGTGATTCAAATGGACAAAGGAGAAACCCTAAGCACTGTAACTCCTGACAACTGCCACTGTAGTTCTGTCAAAGCAAAGTTGATTTCATGATAAATATATTCCATTTCTAAAACAGTGACCTGTGAACTGCCATGTCAGGAAATAACTATGTTTTCAGCAGTAACTTCAAACAGCTCAAAAAAATATAGGAGATGTCTAAAAACACAAACAGCTCTTAAGTTATAAAAACCCTGCTCATCATAGATTCAGTTACAGGCTGCACCGTGCTGGGAAGTGAACCGTTTCACCTCTCTGCACTCATGCATGAGTTGTGTATGACACCACAGGCTTGTTGGGGTGGATAGGGATGTCACAGCAAGTGTGTGTGTGTGTGACCATCTTTGATTTTGTATTACCATTATTGGAAAATAAAAGCATTGATATAAATTTCAAGTTATTTTGCCCACCCTGAGTGCTACTCTACAAAAGCCAGCACTTTCACTGAGAATCATGCACAAGAGGTTGTTGACATAAAGCAAACATGCAAACATGCTCCTCTCCCCCTGCTTTGTGGGATTTCCACAGTCTGACCGTTTAAGAGGTGGGGGGCTATAAATGGCACTCAACCCCAATTTCTAAAAATACCGTAGTCCTTTAAAAGTCACAGCTATTTATATACCACATTCAGAAGAGCACTGGCGACTTACTGTACATGAGAGTCTCTCTCTCACAACCAAACAAAGACTCAGAGAAGCTTAATGAAGCTACTTGGACAGCTCCACAACTATGACTCAATTAGAACAGAAAAACCCTGACAGGTTTTTTCATTTGAACATTTTAATGCTGTTATCGGTGTATATATATAATATTTTATAATAGTTATATAGGTATAGCTTTATAAGCAAGTTGAAATAAATAAATAAATAAATAAAAAGCACTATAGTGGTGTTAGATGCCCACCAATATAGTTTACTGAATTTCACAGATTTAAATTGTTCGTTGATAATACGAGAAATCAGGGATGTCTAAATCAGCTTTTTTGACCCTGTTGCAATTTTTTGAAAATTGAGTACCTGTCGACATCAGTTTCAAACATGATACCTACACACTAGAGCTGCAAATGTCATTAGTTTTTTTCATTTTTCTTTTTCAGTGTAGTTTACAAAAATAACTAAAGCAAAGATATTAACCATCAGATGTTCTTCTGCCTATTACTTTTATCTTTGTTAAGCTGACAACTCACATGTAAAAACTAAATTTCACTCAGATTGGTATAATCGCTTTGTTTACTTTAATATTCAGTCAGTCCTCCATCGCTTGTTTTACATGTTGTACTGTACAAGACTCTGAAAACCAGTGTCTACACATAGTTTCAAACTTAAAGTGGAGGAGTCAATCCAGTGTGCGGCGAGGCTCAGCTATGTCACGTGACAAATGCCAGCGTTCCAAACGACTGCTTTAAAACTAACAGCTGTCATATCATGTTTTAAATCACTTCTTATGTTGGCATGTTTACTGTATAGCTCTCGGAGGGTCATGTCTGAAATGAATGCAGTCACTTTCTCTGTGAGCTTTTTATCCTTGTCACTCTCTCAAGAATATTTATTCTTTATTTCAAAGTACAGTTTGCTGCTTTGATGAATCAGTCTTTTCCTCTGTAGCTTAAACATGCTGTGATCAATTCTATGTTGTTTGTTTATGTCAAATTGTTCATATTGATAAAATTCTACCACAACCACTTTATGGAAAACAGCTTTCTAGTTGAAAATATTTCCAGGCAGTATAACCATCCAACCATCCATGTCCTAATGTTAGCATTATGAACTTGTGCGATGAATTACTGTAGACTGATTTAATCTACACTGGCAGCTTTAAAACACAAGCTTGTCTGCAAAGTTTTTTAAGACCAATACTGATGTTGATTATTGTTAGTTCATGAGACCAATAAGGTAAATTTAGTGCCCACTCGCATTGACAGTATAAAATGAAAACTTTTAGTTAATTAAGTATTTTGGGTACATAATAAAATCCAACACAAAGCTTTGTTAACTTGCCTCTTGCAAATGTTTGATCAACATCATATACAGGGGTTGACAGTTAATCCAGTAAATTTACAGCACAGAGTTACATCACACTAATCTAGCCAGTCAGATAGTGTGGTTGGCAGGACATCAGGAGAGACAAGGTGGTGCAAGACAGACCCAGAGAGAGATGCCAAATATTAGCATATCGGCCAGAGCCACAAACATGACCCACAAACAGTTTGAATTCCAAATCATTAGTCCAGACAGTACAGAGGCTGGATCACCTGTACATTTTCAAACAGATGTTAGTGTTTTGATCTAAACATCCATCATTTAACATGGTAAAATCAAGATGTTACAGTTTTATTTCGCTGACACGTTTGTCCAAACAGACACACATTTGAGAGAAAGGAAGAATCTAGACAGGAGGGGACAACAGTGGTGAGTGTTTCAAGCCCAACTGAACAGAGAAGCGTGTACTCCTGGTAAACATGGTGTATAATTGTGTTTCTAGATTGAAAATGAAACTCAGTGAGGCTGATTCAAGATTTTGGTAAGGCTCTGAATAAAAAAGGGAAATGTATACATTTTTAGCATTAAAAAGTAATTATTGAGTGAAATAAACAAAATGTTACATCCTGATGTAAGGGTAAGGGGCTGGAAATGGGCCCGGTCCATCAGACTACAGGTGATCCAAATACACACAGAAACAGAGTTAAAATAAACTGGACTTCTAAGTATGTCAAAGAGAGCAGGGAGGGTCATCTTTTGGCATCCAGCCATTCCAGGCTTTGGGTAGAAGGGAAATGCAGGTACTTGTTAGGGCAACAGTCACAGACACAATCATCACTATGTAAGGACCACTCCACATAGTGGCCAGATAACCCCCACCTACCCATGACCATATTAGTCACTCCCAAAAAGAGAGTAAGATAAATATAGGGCACAGATCTATGTGGGGCTGCCCCAGATAAGGCCTTACTAGTTCACACCCAAGACAGATACGGCCCATGGGGAAAAAAAGGGAATTAGTAGATTTATGATTTATGTAACAGCATTTGAAAATCTACAGGTCACTGGAGCAATGCATTAGAAGAGAAGTAAAGTTGAAGTTAAAGGGGTGTCATGAAATAGAGACACAAAATTCCTGCAAAAGTTTTCATGCTCAGGTCTTGCTGCAGGGCGTTTTGATGCATATCATCTCACTCACTCAAACCCCTGTCTACTTAAAGCACATCCTCCTTGAAATAGGGCTCAGGACTTATTCAGTTGCACAAGATATTGCAGTGGCAAATCTCTGACACAGGAGGGCAGTAAATGTGGACAACCAGAGAAGATAACGGTCAGGACTGACAACAGGAGGGATCCTAGGTCTGAGACACAGATTTTCATCATCTCGCAGATTTGCACATCGAGATATTGGCTTAGACATTTTGGTACTGTTTGTTGGAATAAAGGCCACATGTTTTGCTAGCGTTTTTTTTTTGTGCTGAACTGTGTAGCTTGACACATTACTTCAAAGTTGTATCATTGTTTTGAGTAAAGTTGGTAGGGTTAGATCGGAAACTGTTGTATTCTACTGAAATTAAATCACACAATAGTCTTCCTGTGGGTCATCTGAACACATTATTACCACTTGTAATGTGTGCATTCGGTTTGCTGTCTGATTATTCTAAAAAAGTATGTTAATAAAGTCTCATTAAATCAGTTCTATATTTGTATGTACTCTCACAAGGTCTCAACATTATAACTTATTATCATTATTTCCAGTTTTGGATCTCAAACAACTGTTTCTGTTCCCAAAATGTTCACCAACTTATTTAGCTGATATATTAAAGTGCAGTAAACAAATGATTTGAACTGGCACCTATCATTTCACTCAGACGATCAGATAAGACTACACTCCACTACACCTGGGAAGAGAAAATTTGCATAATTCAAGTACTGGCTCTGTAAAACAGGGTTTTCTGGGTGTCCCATGTCCCTAAGGCCAGAATTACAATCTGGCTGTTGCCTGTACTTGCTTCGCTAGCATGGTTCTTCATTGTGTTACACATATATTGGCATAACCTCTTTCAGTCAAGAGTGATATTTGGTTGGTTAATTTTTAGTTTTGGGTCTATACCCTAAAAAAACAAAAACATATGACATAGTTGATTTTTGAGGGTGAACATGTTTCAAGACAGGTTCTTTGAAGAGGCGTGAGAAGATCTAAAAATGTGAACACCTGCATCCATCAAACTTGCAAACAATATAACTAATAGTAATGTTTCCATACTAGATCTTCATTGGTTAACAATCGCTATTATCACAAATGTTGAAATACCTACCATACTACAAATACCTCTTTACCATGTTTATATTCAAGGTAATTTTACCCAACATTAATGAATCAACCTCTACAACCTGAAGATACATAAAAGCAATGACAAAATGCTGAACAAAGGTCCTTAATGTGGTGCAGTAATCAGGTGATATGTTCCTGACTCAAGGAAGTACCCTCTCTCTGTGTGGACCAGTGAAACTAGTGGGATGACTCACAGTTTCTGCAGGGACACTGTCTTAATAAGGTCAAAAAGAAACAAGTATGGATAGATACAGTTAAAGACTGATAAAGATCCTGATCCTTATAAAGAGATTAGTTTCAGCACTCATTTTACACAATAGTCATCTGGCTCAGGGTGTGAATGTTCAACATCTTTAGTTTTTCCAATGTCTCCATCTCAGAATAATGTTGTAATTTCAATTAAATTTTAATGTAAAAAACAACTGTCATCACTGAATCAAACACTAATTTCACAATTGGCCTCAATGATTATCATGCATGAGCTTCAAGTCATCACATTTCCAGTTTGACTTCTCATCCAAACTTGAATAAGTTCATAGTAGAGTGAAAGAATACTCTTGTTTATTTTACTTACAGCTGGTTGATCTGATTTTTGGACAACAGTTCGTTGTCGCCTAAGGATGGCACCATCCTGGCCCCGCAGCAGGAGCAGAAGCTGCCCGCCGACGTGCTGTCGGCTCCGGACACTGCGCCAAGTGTCATGCCGGCGTGGGGTACACAGGCGGCGAGGAAAATGTGTCAGGTGCTTTTTCAGTCAGGGGGAAATCTTCAAGTCCTCGCCCGCGGCCATGTGCATCATATCGCGATGGCAACACACTCCCTGCCTTGGCCTTAACAGCAAAAAAGGACACAATATCCCCTCAAAAACGCCACGCAGAAACTGGATGTTTACAGAAAGTTAAACTTTACGCAGGCTGAGTCAAACAAGGCGACTGGCACACTGTGTTCCAAAAACCGACGGCTCACCTAAAGTTTCCAATTACGCAGTTAAAAGTCATTTACACAATTATATCTCCGTGTCGTTTCCCACACACGTGTATTCCCTCTACAAGACAATATCCTTCACAGGTCAGGATACCCTACAGAGACATGAGCGTGAAGACTTGTTCCTGGAGGAGAACTCAGACCAGGGTGAAATTGGGGACATGTGATCTGAGGAAAAGCCAGGAACCAATGAGGACTAGAGAAAATAAGACCGCCCCTACTTGTACTGATCTCTTGCACTGCCAGTGTAGAACAGCATATTGTGTTCAAAACAATTGGGGTCATGCGCCAAGCGAGCCCCACACTATTCCAGCTGCAGATGACTCACACTCAAGTTACCCCTCCCTGTCATAATGTGCCAATACAAAAGCTGTGTACTTCAAAAACAAGTCAAACTATTGTATAAGAAATGAAAATGTGAATTAGGCTGTAGGTTCCTTGGCTCACACACAGAAATGATCTAAGGAATAAGTATGGAAACAGTTGTAGATTTCCTATTACATCAGAAATCATACTGTTGTGTTCAGGAAGGTGATGAAATTGAGTTTATTAAACCCACATGAGTTTTTGCTCTGGTAGTTTTCTTATTGGAGAGACTTCACCCTTTTCTCAGTAATATATCCCTGGTGATTTTGTTGCATAAGAGGAGAGACAAATGAGAAACAGGTTGAAGCTATCCAGGCTGGGAGGCCATGGCAACAGGCCTGTAGTATTTAAGGGGAGTAATCTGGAGCCAGTCTTGACAAGTCTTTGGCAGTTATTGCCCTCCTTAAATAAGGGTAGTCAGACATAGAGATCAAATGACACACTGCATGCAGAAGTACACACTGCATTTTGTTAATTTTGACAGCTACAGCCTCGCTATGGCCATTTTTATTTCAGTGGCACCTGATTTGCCCAAAATGTAGTATGCAGTGTGCAGAATGCAAACAAATGGGAGAGTCTCAAAAATTCAAATAAAACACTTATAATTTTTTTTTGTGTGTGTGTAAATGGATGGACAACATTGTACGCTTTTGTTTCACTGTTTTCTTTTATTAAATGAACTATGAAAATTTTTTATACAAACAGTATAGATGTGCTCAAAAGTTCCAGGTAGAAAACCCAGACGAGGTAAAGAAAAAAAATATAATAATAGGGACATTGTGATATTGCAAGATTTGACAAATTAATCAAGTATTATTCCTCTACAAGGTCCCCATTAATAATATTGTGGTTATATTACTTTTTTTCCCTTTTAAATTACAATACAATAGAGGAACTTTATTTATCCCCCAAGGGAAATTCATTTGTCTGTAATCTCATTAAAAAAAATGTCGCTGGAAGAACAGTTAACAAACTGTAAATCCAGTCAGGTGAGAGAAGTGGGTGACATGGTTGAAAGTGTCCTGGTATTATTACAAGTGCCTCAGGATGTTGAGTCTGTATCCTGGCAATGGTATCATTGAGAATACATGTATACAAGTATTGTTATGATATGACTGAACTCCCTTAGAACATAATATGGCCAAAGACCAACTGCCAACAGTTGAACATCTGGACATCACAACTTCTCCTCGACAGTTAGTATGTGTGAAGAGTTACACCATCTCTGGTTGACAAATGTGTATTTGTTTTTCATAACACAAAAACAATTTCACTTTAACTATTTGACATGTTGTCTTTGATTTTCCAGTGAAATGTGAGGCTTAGATTACATGAAAAAATATCGAACCCTTAAAAAAGAAATTTTTAAACAGCACCCAAAATTGTATATTTCAGCCACTGTCTTAAAACTCTTGGTCTCTTTTGCTGCTGGTGCATCAACATCCACCATGTGACCATTGCCTTCACCACTTTTACAATTTATATTTGCCTTAACATAAGACACCCTCTCTCATCTTCACTCTTCAGCACCTCTGATTTCCCATAGCTAACTCTCTGTCACATGACAATCAGACAGCGTGAAAGGGAGTGATTGACGGCTAAAATAAAGCAATCTAAAATCTGTTTGAAAGTTAAAAACATTACGCTGATGTTTGAAAGATTATGTGAGCTCTGATTTTAACAGTACAGTGGTTGATTAATAATGCCTGCAGAGGGGCGCATGTTGCTCTTGACTGATGCCATAAGACTGCATTGCTGCTCAACGACTGTTCATTGTTGTAGTGTACTTTTTAATGGAGAAAAAAAAGTCACACTACAGCAATTATCTGTACTTGCACAAATTTTCTCAGGTCAAAGGGTGAGTGCGGTAACTCAGATAAACGACTGACTCATAATTGTGTGTGTGTGTGTGTGTGTGTGTGTGTGACATCACTTGCTGCTTTTGCTTTGCTATTACTTAACAGAATATTGGGACCACATGTTCTTGGCACACATCTGGTGTGTTAAAGCTAGCTGAACTGATGTCACCAAGTTTCAGTTTTCAAATGCTTTCAACACTGAACAAAGTCTTTTTCTGATACACTTACTCTGAGTCGTACTCCACGCTGATCCAGGTGCCGTGTATCATGTTTAGTTGCTCAACAAGAGGCACTCTAGATATTTGGCACCTTTAACAACCTTTTTGGTTGCATAATTGTATGAGATTTCATGTTGTTACCAATGACTAATGCTTTAGAGATGTTTGTTTATAATTTGATAAGCAGGATTTTTCAAGAATCTTGAAACAGTTGAGTGCCAAAACCGCCATAAGTGCAACTGGGCATAATGCTGTCATGCAGCGTAAAAGACAATACACTTTTTTCATTGTAAAGTAAGTAAGTCACCAACTATATAAAGCATCATCTCTATTCCCATTATTATCATCAGTAACCTGCCAAATGCTGCGTTGTGCTTCACTCATGTGGGTTTGGGATGGGTTAAATCTTTTCCCATCTCAAGGTTGGGTCTTTTGTAAACATCAAACAATGAGTTTGGTCCAGACCTGCTCTTTTGGAAGGCATCTCAGTATAATGACTGTTGTAATTTGGCTTTATATAAATAGAAATTGATTGATTGATTGACATCAAAGGCAAATCATTTACTCCATGACAAAGATCAGTTCAAATCATCACATTGGTACTTGCATGAACACATAATTTGTAAGCATTACAAATATACAGGAAACCGTTAAGAACCATTGTTGTTTATTCTCACTTGGTTTGGCCCAATCCTTAAATGAGAGATGACCATGTAACCAAACAAATATATAACTAGGTATTGCATTACCTTAGTTCTGATGGTTTGCCAAGCCTAATTACAAATGTCAGGATTCAACAGTTTTGCCTTTCCCCCTTCTTCTTTCCAATGTCTCCTTTTTTCTTTGTTTTTCTGTTTGAACTTACATTACTTTACCCTGTAGATAATATATCCATAACACAGAAGCTTTACGACATTTTCTCTTATTCAGTTGCAAATGGAAGTGAAAAGTAAGCACCTTTGCACAACAAGCTCAATCAACAATTCTGTGTTTTTCTCTGCAACATGATCCTGACTCGATTATATCCACTGAGTATATATATGAGAGAAGTACCGTGTAGCCTGGAGAGGAAATCTAACTTTACAATGGATAACAACATGCTGTAGCTTGTAAGCTCATACTGACTGTGTGTAGACTGTGTTAGAAACTGAGGCAACCCTGTATATCCAATGTACTGCCTCCCCCTAGTGGACTGAGTCTCATTTTACTTGATCTTAAGATGCCATGCCTCTTCAGTGCTTGAGTAAACTACTGCAAGAAACCAGAGACTGAAAAATAAGAAATAGTCTTACCTCCTGGGATGGGGATGATGTTCATCTTCACCACTTTCTGACTCCTTGCAATGTAAAAATAGTGATAGAAAAATATCATCACTATAAAAAGAAAGGTATGTTCATCTGTCCCATATTAGCAGCTTGTAGTTGGATGTAGAGCATGATGTATCACACTGACCAGTGACATGCTGGGCCAGACCCATTAACCTCAAATCGTAAGATTACTAAAGGCCGGCGGCTTTGAGCCTACCCCCTACCCTTCACCATGGCTTTGGGCAAGAAAGAGCCAAACTGGTATTTTAGACCAGAGACTAGGGTTGGGATAAAAAAATACAATCATCCTCCCTCATCTCTGCAACCACCAGTTTAAACACACACACGCACACACGCACACATTTGCACACTTGTAATCCTTGTCTTTTTTTAGTAATCCTTCAAAAATAAATAAGGAACTGTCTGATGGCATCAGTCTGTCAGTCCTTGCTACAGCATGGGCCAAGACATGAACAAAACCCCAGATACATATCTTGTATTTCAAAAAAAAGCATATTGGACAGTAAACATTAATAAGGATGCTGATCCTGAAGCTGGTGGTGGAGGATTAAGAAGATAAGGGCGATGGCTGGGTGCCTAAATAAGGAGGTGCTGAAACTTGATGAGGAGGGAAAGGTTTTCATCTATTCCTAAACCTGCTTTACCAGATATAATTGAGGTTTCTGACATACTTGTACTTAATGCAACAGCAGCTTAACAGACAACTTAAACTGAAACAGGAGAAAAGAAGTACATCAATAGGCTTAAATACATGCTGAATACATATCTGAAAAGATGCCTCAGCAGACATCAGAGTCAAATGTGTTGCCAGTGCACTGTTATGCCACTGCAATGTGTTACCACACAGATTACTGATGAAGAGAAACACCATATACTATATATTGTAATTTGTGATATTTATTTATATATATTACAGCAGACGCAACAGGACTACTCAACTCCTAGGAGAGGATACTGAGTGTCTTTATTTTTCAGTCTTAGTTTTTTTTTTATGTCAATTTTTGTTGTTCCTGTCAAATCAATTGCAGAGAAAATGTTCATTTTTATTGTGGCAGAAACAAATTACATATTTTAATTTTGCCCCAAAAACCCATGTGTCATTTGGAGGAGTTAGTTGGGGGGAAATGTGTGGTTTTCTTTTGATAGTAACAGGTCAGCAGGGGTCGCTATATTACAGGGGAAATGTAAAGGTATTATTATCAATCTCTCTTTCGATACTAACGGTCGATGGATTATCCTTCTCATAGATGTTGACCATTCTCAGTTTATGATTATGAATATGTATACCTCCAGTAGTAAACAAAATGACGCAGTTATATTTTCAACGATAGACAACAAAATTAACCAGCTGTTCCTAACATACAGCCCAAGTA